ATGAGCTTTGAATGCAATCCCCATCAAGCATTCGCTTAAACAATGCAGCTCTTGCCTGACATTTGCTTCATCCTTGTTCCTGGGCTGTCATCGTAGCAGGTTCGAAACGGTGACACCCAACAGCATCCCGTATCATTGGGACATTAGCACAAACTGAAGGACACTGATGGTTTGATCAACTTCAGGGCCATGAGATATCTAAGATGCTATACGCCGTCATTGCTTACCCAAAGCGTACACTTCGAGCCGTCAAACCCGCCCAGCATTGCCAATCCAGGCAACCAGCATCAGTCTGGTTGGGCCCCCCCTATGCTCTAGCTACGGATGAAGCCCGAGTGACCAAATATTGAATATTGCCAGGCTCGGTTGTTCGGATGGGGCACAACCAAACCCTCTAGGTTTTGCTGTTGAGCATGTTCCTCGGGTGTGGTACGCTACTGTATTGTAACTATGTGCTACAGACGGCCCTTCAACCCGGCACCACCAACAGCCGTCCCAAAGTTGCAAACTTTGAGTCGGCCGGCACAGTACCTATGGTCAATCCTGGTGTTAGTCTACAAGGCTGAGTTGGGTAGTAACGACGAGCTAAACAGGTATCAGGGCCAGCCACGCGAAACAAGAGGAGATTCCCGGCCGCCAACAATTCTTCCTGTTTTGACCATCCAGTTGAGATTTCGCCCAAAGGGGAAAGGGACGCCTATGGCGCAGAACTGAGCTTTGGCGTCGGTATTGGCGGGGTTTCGCAGCCTTCGGGAGAGCTTCTAGAAAACTCGGAACGGGCGCAACGGCGTTGCTCGAATGTGTCTGCAGCCCTCACAGAGGGTGTGCAGTTGCTCCAATGGGCATGGGCCTAAATGCGTCGCCGAACTGACGACTGTTATCGGCCTGTTCCGCAAGTGTTACGCCTGGAACTGTTGGGTCGAACCTAGAATGAAAGTAGTAGGTATTGGGTTCGTTAGCTTGAGGTTTGGCGTGCAAGAGCCTTTGCCGTCGTCCACTTGCCAATCTTCACTTCGGTCAGCAATCACTCACTTGCCTACCAGCCTACCTTCTTTGGCTAAACTGAAGACGCCAGACAATTAAGTTAAGAAAATGGTCGTCGTGTAGAAGCACGGACTTTGACGCGCCTTACATCAAATGTATCACAGCTCTCGACGGAATCGACACAAGTCGCGCCTGTACTGAATTCCTGCATCACACGCGTATCTACAGTCACATACTTCGTTTCCATTTGGCAGAAAGACTTTGAATCACGAGAAGTCAGGTCCGGTGACGAGACTCGAGGGGTGCATCGATACTTTGAAACATTGGCTAGATAGGGGGGTTGCTGCCTCTGGCCAGCGGAACAAATGTGGACCGGATGCTCAGGCCACTCTGGAATACAACGATGCATGGTTGTACTATTCACGAAATACGTCTGAGGGCTCGAACAGAACAGAGCGCCAGGCCTTTCCCTGACTAGCAGGGAGTCCAAAATCCGACCAGGGTATCACCTCTCCGTGTAAAAGTGAAGGACCCTGAACCATTCAAGGAAAAGTCGCAACCGCTTTGTCGGGACCCGAGGCCGAATCAAAACCATAGGTGCTCCGCTGTATGCATGGTCGATGTTACGGATACAGTGAGTCCGATCGTTCTTGCGAAAGGGTGGATGGAAGGAACGGGAGCGACTGGCATTGGTTTGTTGCCGACGCAGAACCAGCTTGCTCTCATTCCAATCGTCGTAATCGTCGCAGCGTGGGAGGAGACAACCGACCGAGCTCTGACGTCGGTACCAGACAATACGACTTGTTCACGGCTAGCCAGTGTCCATGATCTGACAAACATACCCTCGACAACGGAGGCACCAGCGACGCAAAGCTTGGCTCCACCGCACCCGGTCCAGATCACAACATGCTCGGCTAAGCTCAAAGAGGGCCTTCGGTGAGAAGACCTGGAGCCAGCCCAAATCGCCAAGACTGCCTGAGCGAGGCTTGGAAACTGTGGCTGTCGGGAGAAGCTCAACAAGGAAGCTCAAGACTGCCAAGGCACCCATCGATCGAGTGCTCTGCTAGGCAGTCACCTATGAGCGACGAGATGGCTGTAAGCATGTATTTACGGGCATCAATACCCTGAATGCCCGCACTAATGATGGGGACAAGGAAGGGTTCGCCTGTCGTCACCAACACAAGGCCAGGCTGATGGACTCGCCAAGAACCGCTGGGGTTTTACCAGTAGTGTACTTACAATTCTGCCCTTGCAGCTTCTCTTGTTCAGGGCATCGCCGTAGGGGGGCACCAAGCACGGATGCCCCCGGATAAAACACGCAAGTAGAGAGGGCCCCAGGGCTGTTGGGGGAGGTAACCAGGGAGAAAACCACTCACATTTAGGAGGCACTAGCAGCTCCGACCGAGCGGGTCCGGCACCGGGCGACCAGCAGTTTACGGGAGGTCGTCTAGATGCGAGTGGGACGGATTACTAACCCCATCCGGCCAGCATCCCGAGATGGCAAACCAGGGGCAACAAACCTACAGGTGTACCAACAACAACAACAACAACAACAACAACAATAACGACGATAACAATAACGCCTGACAGACGCTGACGCTTGACGGCCACGCTCCCAATGCGTTGCTTTTCGTTCGATTCCAGGTTCCAGGTCACACCTTGAAGACTTCCTCAACGGCTGCCAGTCACTCAGTCGCCCCGGTATCGATAGCATTAGGTACGAATTGCCCATCGGCGGCGGTTGATGGGCCCACCCCTTTTCCCAAGCCAACTCCTCCCCCCACCCCACTACGCACTTTGGGCGCGAGACCTCGTTCTTCCCCTCATAAATGTGTGACGACACATTTCGACGTCAAGACCACGCGTGTGTGCTTGTCAGCGCTGTTTGTTACGATATGTCCAATCAGTGCTACCGTCACAGGTCCGCCAAGCAACTCGTGGCTCCTTTCTGCCTCGATCTCGAGCTCTCCGAGCCGACTGCGAGCCAGACTAGGAGCCGGCTTCCGCTACCCGGTCCGGATATCACCTACATGGCTTCCCTGCGAGCACATACTACGATGCAGTGTAGCGGTCCACTAGGGAGCCAAGCGTATGCCATTGGGACTGGAACCGTCATGCTATATTCTCTCGTCAGCTGCAAGACGACTTTGTGAAGGCAAAAACGACCGGTCGTCTGGGCACAAACCCGCAGCGGATAAATCCCTCCGATCAACTGCAGAACCCGAAGAAGAGGGTTTACGAAGCACAAGACTCCGCGGCGCAACGGAGGAATCACTGCCAGACGTCATGCCGAATCTGACTTGACGCCGCCGCACACACCCTATAGCTATAGACTACCTATAGTAGACCTTAGCGCACGGTCGCAGCCGACGAAGAGTTGCAAAAAGCAACGGCAGCCGGCCCCTCCTTGGACCACGACACCGAATGCTAACGTCTCCTCCGGCCACATTCCGCTTGATCTGAGTAAACTTGACCAACCATCAAGAGGTCCAGTGTGGAGGCCATTACGACCGATGCACGAGAAGAAAAACTGCTCTTCCACTTTTCAAGGCATGTTATCCCGCAATGCTTCGGAAAGATGATGGCACCCCGGGACTTCACAAACGACTAGGACAAGCCCCCCTCGCACCACGTTCGTCTTTCTCCACCAGACCCCAGCCCCACCGGTCTCCTCGTCGCCCCTGGCCTCCCCAAAGGTTCCTCCAGATCCTCGAAATCAAAATGGCTTGCATCTTCATTTTCCTTCCGAAAAGAAGCGACGGTCAATGTGTCAGACTGGTCCGGGAAATTCCCATCCCCTTTAGTGCTCCAGGGGCCCATCAACCTAGCTGATCTTAGTGTAAACCTGTTTGCCTGTCAGACATTAGACCAACAATGTGAGGGATTGCATCCCCGCATAACAAATGTGGTTATTTGACGGGGGCCTTTGGACACAACGCTCGCTCTCTTGGGCTCCGAACCGGATCGCGAAATCGTTGTGAAAGGCATTGCCCAAGCAGGCGATCAGACGGCATTCTCGTATTTCGTACACTGGTACCGAGCCCACGGCTTGCTCCCTCGATCATATTAGTCTCTTTATTGATGCGGGCCGTGGTTCGACCAAGATAACCAACCACTTACTCAACCACGTTTGATGCTCTTCCCTGGACTTCCCTAAAACGCTGATTGGACATCCTAGACTTTTCACGCCGTATCCTCGGGATGAACACAAGACTTGTACGTCCGTCCAAGACCCGATGGTCTCGAACATCAGTCCTCTACAGCTTGTGCAACAGAAACCAATCCTGACGCGACAGGGCAGATTGGCATTCGTTCTGTTCTCCATGTTATGCTCCCCACGCAAACAGAGATTCGAATCCCGTCACAACCCTGGACCTCTCAGCATGAGTCCGCATGCCCCAATGCAGGCACAAAGCGTCTTGGGTGGTTGAATAGGCCACAAACCGTGCTTGTGATTGGTCGACGAATCCCAAGGGGTGGGTGAGATGCATCTGGGCATCGCAGGCACCACGCCATCCGTTGCGTAGGTGCTTACTGTTCGCAGTGGATATGGCATCATGATTCCATCGCGCAAGGCCGGACGGGGGCCCTCTGGGACTAGTTGTCTATTTGTCCCCGTACGCTGTCATGGCCGCCACCCATCGTCTCGCGGCAATCCTTCCCTGAACTTGCCCTGGGAGTGGAATCGTTCCCAAAGGATTAGACAAGTCCACTACCCCCAAGACGATCCAGCCCTCTTTTCTTCCTAAAACATGACCCGCCTGGACAGTGCCCCCGGCCCTGCTATGCAGGAGGACGTGGGCAGAGGCCGGTCCGAATAATTGCTCAGGTGGGTCGGGGCACTATGAGGAAAGGCACGATGGGTCACTTCCCGGTGGGAGCCTTGCAGCCCTGGGGAAAGGTCGGTCGAGCCCACTGCAGAATCCATGAGGGAACCTTTGGAGCCGCGATGCGGAGAAGAGTGACGAAAAGGCTTGCAGGTGGCGCGAGCTCATTTAACAACGACTTCCTCAGTCATGCACTGGATTCTTGAAGAGGAGAAACTGACCGTCGTTGGTGTGCGGCACAGCTTCGCCAACGCGATGGCGTTCGCCTCTGGTGTGTATGCAGTCAGTTGGAACGAGCATGCAGGCCAAGCACAATTCTACGCGACGCATCCATCGGCCGAGGGGGTGGCGTTGGCGACGAGGAGGAAGGGCAACTGACGACCGCGGCCGCCTGTCAAAACGGTTTCTTTTCTGCGGACTGCACCCCGGCCTCTTTCAATCTTGTCTAGAGGTCTTACTTTTTCCCACTTAGACGAAGCCTGGCACTTCATTTCGCGAAACCATCCCGCCGGTGGGCTGTGCGCTCTACACGACACAGAAAAGGCTAATGATGAGCGGGCTAGCGTCGAAACTAGTGACTGACCCTCGTTGCAGGCCTACCAATTTAGCAGTGCAGAAGGCGGAAAGGGTCGAGAAGCGAGGATACTCTCCGAGAATAAACCCTTAACGCGACGTTGACGCTTTGTTTGATAGAATTGCCCGTCTTTGTGTTGATCGACATAAATTACTCCGTCGGGGTGCGCAGCAGACTTACCCAGAAGGGAGCAGAAGAGCAAATTGGGGGCCGTCGATCCGGCCATATGGGGTTCATGTTTCCGCTCGGGCGTCCCGTTTCTACGGACAATTGTTTTTATTTATTTTATCATCGTCGGAGTCGTGGTAATCCCCACTGGGTGAAACCACTAGAAGCCTTCGACGAGACAGTCTAGTCTACTGGTTTGGACTATCCCGTAGCAAACCAAGACATTGCTGACTTTGGTCTAGGCTGGCGCCGGACAGCGTCGCATGGCGCTGTGCTGTCAGAAGTATCGGCCAACGACAGGCTTCTCGCAGGGCAATGATCAACGGGCCTCTGCTGGATTTGGTTATCGGCCTGGTGGATATTCAACCATTTGACGGCCCAACGTGGGCACCGACTCGGTACGCTTGCTTCCTGTGCAGTTCCAATGCTACGTCGGCATCGAAAACTTCGCTGCGTCGTTGCTGTTCGTTTCCTCACGCCCTCGTGGGCCTTGAGCCGTCCGTCCTGCGTCGGTCTGTGTGCGCTGGCGTACACCGCGGCGGCGGTGCAGTAGTATGTCTCAGACCTGTCGTCTTACTCGTGCATCGCCGAGGTTGGGCCTTGGGATCTGATCTGTGATGAGGCCCTCTCCAGTCCTCCGGGTCGATGTCGAGTCGTCTCTTGTCAGCCATGAGGCGGCGAGTCAAGACTAGTAGAGCGGACAACGGCGCTTTGACCCTGGAGACGAGATGTAACGTTCGAGTGAAAATCACGTCCCATGGTGATCGCCCGGCGAATGGCAAGAGCAACCATGTTGGTCGATCCCCAAACATGGATGTGCTGGCGAGGGAAAGGGCGCCTTGAGAGCAACGAGTGATTGTGCGATGCGCATGCAGGGATTCATTCGGCCTTTGGAGATGGTCGTGGCTCTGCAATCGACGGCTACTGGCTGCATAGTGAAGTCTCAGTCGAGGAAGACGTCGCCCGCGATGAAGGGGTTTCTTCTCGAAGAGCTCGATGTCAATCCTACAGGCTGTACCCATGGATGTAACTCTGAGACCAGCTCCAGAGGAAATCAGAGTCAGTGAAGCCGAAGGAGCCAAGACCGCTGACGTCGGCTGTCCGGGGACAGGAAGGGCAGGCGCGATATGGCCGCCTCCACCCTGTTCTTCCCGTCCTCTTTATCTTCACCAGATCTCTTCCGCCTGTGTGAAACAGATGGATGCTGGAATGGTGCAGAAAGACGAGGACGATCAGGAGGGTATAAGGGCAGTAAGGGCAAGTAGCAAGACAACGGCAGCCAAGAGACCAAGGATTAAAAAGGGTCAGGGAAACCAGAAAGTCGAATGACGCGGACCCTTCGTCTCCTCGTCTCTTCGTTCACGTCCTTGGGTTGCCTCCTTAATGTCTCAGCCCACCGGATTACATGGAGCAGCGGCCGAACCTGTGAAAGAGCCGACATTCTCTGATGGCCTCAAGACCCGTGCGAAGATGAACATCTTCTACCACGTTCCATCAGCGTCCTTACGTCAGGGAGAGTAGATGTTGCGGCTTTTGCGGCTGCGTGTCAACATGTCGGCCAATGTAGCTCCTTTACCAAACTGGTTGAGAGCGACTAACACCTGATTTCCTTTTCATGAACTGAACCTACGAAGAGAGTACTTTGTGAAGGCTTTGGAACCACGAAGGGACTCGCGATGGTAAAAAAAGGCACTGACAGTAGTCCACTCCCTCCTACCCCCTTTGGCCATATGCCATCTTGGTCTTTGCTGCCTCCCCTTCCCCTTTCCTCCCCCATATGATTCCTCCCTTTGAACTTCTCACATATCTTTCAAAGTAGTGACTTTCTTGAAGAAGCTCTCGAATCCGACCTTGACTTCGCTCCATCCGCCGAGCTTATGTCGTTCTCCCTCGCATCGACGTATTACCGTGGTGGAGTTGGGCGCCGCTCATCTGCCCGCGTGTGAACGTCCTTGGGGCCGTGCACTTCATCTTCTTGAGGCGTATAAGTAGGGAGGATTAGTCGACGCAGGAGACAGGCCGTCATTGTTCAAAGTCTCCGAGGTCCTGTCCTCTTCCAGGGAATCGGATGGCGCCGCCTCGGGTCGGACACCGGCAGGTAGTGAAAACCCCCGGAGCAGGAACTGCTTTCTCTTCCTTACGTGGCTTCCCTATAGTCCCCCTGGGGTTTCCGTCTGATTCGGCCACCCTTCACGGTCTCTGCCGTTTTTGCCCATGGAGTCTTTGGAGTGGTTGAGCTGTCTCGATATTGGCGTGTTCTCCCTTGTCAACTTCTCAAACATCCGATGCTTGCGTGTTATCCGGGCCTTGTCTCTGTGGCTCATTGTCAGTTGGAGAGTAGAAATCACGGAAAGACTTACTCTCCTTAATCTCAGTAAGCAAGTTGCCTACTGCAATATCTTTTGCTTTGACCTGGACGCGGATATCATTGTTGGTGGGTCTCGTTGCGTTGAGATTGAGGGTCACTGCGAATATACTGCAGAGAAGGGCAATGCCGTTGTCGTTGGACTCGAGAGACGGCTTGAGCTTGATGGACAACGCAGGCGAGGCGAGTGACCCCATCTGAGAATGTCAGAACGCAGCTGGGTACAGTGAGGAGTGTACTACGCAGTAGGGTTGGAGTTGCAATGGTCACCACCGTGGGAAGGCAAAAGACTTGAAGCTCATTTAAAAGTGGGAGTTCGTCGTACATCGCAGGCACCTATGAGGGTGAGGGAGGCGAGTGACGACAACCTCCAAGGTGAGTAGCTTGTATGCTGAAATCGTAAAAGGCCCTCAAGGGTTGATGTCATCAACCAGGGCAAGGAGCAAGGAATAACACAAGGTCTTATGGCACTAAATGGAAGGAAGAAATTGCTCACTGCCTTGATAAATATAATCTTTGGGTGTTGGTGGTGGAAAAGAATTAGAAAGAAAAAGATAAGGAACAAAAGTAGATGTGTCATCTCGTATTTACAGGTTCGATCATCGCAACGAAGCACGATGTTTTTCTACTGTACTCTATGATTCGTAATTAAATTAATGTATAAACTTACACGAAATCTGGAAAGATTTAGGTAGAAAACATGTAAAGAAACCACCGTCGAGTCCGAAGACCGCCTCTTTGCCCACTACTCCATGGCCAAGCTATACTCGTCCCACCGTAGGCTTTTGATCTCGTCGACATTGGCCAATGCCACCAATTATTGGCTGATATTTTGGATAAGAGAGCCAGTTTCTAATACCGCAAAGGTGGCACATCCTCCTTCTGGGGACGAGGAGTTATGGCAGCATAGAGACGAACAGTTGGCAGAGGCTGGAGGGAAGTAAACACTGGATGAGAACCGTCACCACATGTTTCACGGATTGTGTACATCACTGTGCGATACCGGATTGCGAGGCAAATAATTTGGGCCCTAGAGGAAATGCCATTCCCACTCGGCTTGTCTCGTGCTCATAGAGGAAGCCAAGTGGTTCCGATTCAAGTCCCGACATTCAGAAAGCCTCCGAATGCCTATGCAAGACAACAAGCTTTATATTCAAGCCATTCTGATTCTCTTAAAATTTCTCGGTACGATAAATAGTCTCTCGGATATGGTATAGACAAGTATGGCGTGCCTATGTAGGGCTTCCGAGCAATGCGGCTATGTCGTCGCCGTCCATTTGCATTGAACCTACATTTGCAGATTTATCCTACAACGATTCGTCCCTAAATTACAGGGCACATGTACAGACTCAAACATTGGACATTATCGGCCGCAGTCGTCACACCCCTCGCCCAGCCTACTCAGACAAAATTCATACACTCTCCTGCCCGACCGATAACCTCCGACTCGTACCCTTCGCGCCGTCCTTACCATAAAGCTCGGCATCCGTATACACGCTTTTGATAGTCACCCTCGCCGGCGACGCCAACCTCGACGTGCCCGGTTCAGAAGCCGCGGACGCGGTCGGATCCCTTGTGGCCTTCCCCGTCACGGCCGAAGTGGCCGTGCTACCCGTGCCCGCCGTCGACGACTTTCCTCCCGTACTGCCGTCGCCCGCGGGTATGAAGAACCGCCACCAGGTCCGGAGAATAGGCATGCCGAGGACGAGGTTACCGACCAGCATCGCCGTGCTGACCTCGCGAACGGACCACAGGAACCAGATGGGGTCGGTCGAGTTGGTGAAGACGGCGACTTTCATCAGGATCGCGCAGAGCATCTTTCGACGGAGCACTGTCAGGAAAACCGGGCGGATCACTTGCGCAACGGGGAGGACTTACGACGAATACGCCCATGCTGAACAAGCAAATGAGAAGGAGTTTCCTGACAAAACCATCCCCGTTAGCATTCTGCGGTCGAGGCAGTATGGAAACGACACTGCAAAGTGCCAAGCGAGGAGCACGTACTTCCCAATCCTCATCTTGAGCTTGCTGATGAGCGTGACGGGTATCGCCAGCAGGATGAGATCCGTCGAGAGGTTCATCGTGATTTGCAGGATGTTGTAGTTTGTCCATGTCAAACACTGGGCTGGACATAATGTTAGCCAGGCTTGCAAAAGCACACTTGGTAATTTGCAATCACTTTGATGCCTCAATGATCTCTAATCAACGGGCAAACTTACTATTGCCAGGCTCAAGTTCCATGTAGTCGGAGAATGGGCGACACCACCCTCCATACAGCGCCACAATGACCGCAAGATATGCCAGTCCCGTGTAAATGGCAACAGCGAACCATGTGTTGCGGTAGTGTCCAAGGAGGCTGTCGTTCGTGAGCTTTCCGTGTCTACATCTCGTAGGGCAACAACGTACGTCAGGCGGTTGTACAATAGGAGCAGACAGCATTTGTTGCCCCACAACGTCGTCTGTATGGCTGTTTCGGCGAGGATGTTGAGTATCCCTAGTTTGCGGCCGATTGCGGCACTCTGTTCGGGGGTGATGGAGTCGAAATCGGTTTCCGCAACAATTTCAAAGTACATGTATAGGGCTGTGATTGCCGGGGTATATATGAACTGGCCAGCCCAATAAGTCAGCATAGAGACCTGTCAGGGAATCTCCTGAATCAAGAATGAGGAAGGCATAAGAGAGGGGGCATGTGCGTGTCTGCAAGGGAGCGATGGAAAAGGCAGGCTTACGACGAGGATGAGCATCAAAGTGTCATCCACAGGGATGTTGCTAAGGAACTTGCGCTTTCGAATAATATACTGAGACATACTTCACCAGCGTGTCAGCAACAGAAGGCTCGGCAAGACAGAAGGGCGCTTCGAACTGACAATCTCATGATGACCGAGGAGATGGCCAACGCAAACCAAATCCAACATTCTGCTTTCGCGCCCAGTGGCAGAGACGACATTGTAGCGGTGACGAGATTGGTAGGACCGAAACGTCCACCAAGTCAACCCAGGGGTTTACGTCAATTCGGATCCAGATTTTGATGACGATGGTGACGCGGCTGCGACCTTTGTTTCTTTGGTGTTGATGGTGACAACCCGCCGAAGGATCAACGCGGAAAACGGGTGTCTTTGCATTACAAGGACGGAGACAAACAACAACCCCCAAGCCGGGTCCACATGCGACTATATCATCGCGCCAGAAGCCGAGCGGAACGATGGTGAATTCCAGACGCAGAAACCACCGAACCGCATCCGGCGGGCTGAGGGGGAGCTGGCGGAAAGGCTAGAACATGCCCTCGCTGGGGATGTGTATCGAACAAGTCCCCAACACAAAGATGGCTTTCAGCCGATCGCAACCAAGACAGCCACACGCGCAGCTTGGGAGGCAAAACCGTCAAAGGAAAGTTCCGCGCCAACGGTTGACTACAAGTGAGAAGCATCAACTGCTGGAGAGTAAAGGTAGGCAAAGCGGTTAGGGAGATCGCGGGCGATCGTGAGCCCTGAGCCGGATGCGGCCGTCAACCATCGACCAGCGCCGCCGAGGTTTAGCGTCACCTACCTGGCAAGCCACCCCGCCATGTAGCTTACTGACCTGAAAATCACTGTCTTTTTTCTCGAACTTGGAAGATCTTTATCGTTTACTCGGTCCTCAGATGGGACTAACGCGGCCGATTAGACTTTCGGCGGCGGCAACGCCTCTTGGCCAGCTGCTGTTTGTTCGGAACTCGTCAACGGAGCACTGCCACGGTGCGTATTTCGTTCGCTTCGGCCTCGGATTCCAAGCCAGCATCAAATTCAAATCAACTGGTTAGTTCATCCCATTCAATCTACAGTCCATTCATTGTTGCTCGACTGCTGCTGCCCCGCCGCACTTCGACCCAACTACGCCCCCTTTGGTCTCCCGCGCTTTCGAACCGATGATCTTCTTAGCCGCATGTCAAGACTTGGTTTTCAGGTGAACATATGAGCCGCACACCAGACCAATTATTGCGACGCTGGGTCGTCATCAACCAAGTCGCCAGGCCCGCCTCCGGCCAAGCCACAGGAATAGCAGTACTAATGCCTTCTGTGACAGTCACCTACGAGCTTTCCCCAGCCTTCCATTGGGGTTTGGATGGAAGTTAGGCAAGACACTACACGAGAATGGCGGCATCTGAAGTTCTGCTGTCTCCTACAACATTAGGTTGTGCATATAGCCACTGTCCAACAGCGTAATGGTGCACCTTGCTGTCAATCTGCTGAACCAACTCTGGCGACGAAGTGGCAAGTGGTATGTATCAAATATACTCGGGAAGCCGAAGACTCGTGAAGTTTGTGTTCTTTTCGTAACCTGCCATTTTGCTGCGGCTGAGACATGCCCTGCCATGGGGCGCAAGAGTTCCGATGGGCGGAATGTTGCCTTGTTATTGTTGGAAAAAGCCGAGAGACTCATACATTGATCAGTCGACTGACGGGCCAAGATGAAGAGCGACCGCGGTTCTGGACCGGTAAAAGTCGATATGCCGGAGATGACATATATTTCACACCCTTACGTTGAGACCTTCGTAGCCGGATCCAAGCCTCAGACCAGAATCCGGTCTGAAAAGAAGCTTCTGGTGCAAAGATTGCCCATGTCATGCCTGATAAAGTGAGCAACGATTACACCGGGAGTTGGAATGTGCTACCAATGGTGTGCCTCGGTATCAGGACAAGCCTGCAGCGAACAGCTACTCGGAGCTGTCACCGGGAGACGCTAGAGCCAGGGTACCATCCCCAGACGATCGATCCAAGGGGACGTCCAAACAAGGAATTGTCTGACCGGATCCCGCAGCTTCCTATGGACGCTGCAAGCTGCAACGGGGCGAGGACGACGTGCTTACCCGGCCGAGGTAGTGGATCTTCGGTGGCCGGTTTGGGCGTAGTACGTATGTGGGTTCGCTTGTTGGGATGTAGGTTGGTGGTGTCTGGTGAGCAAGAGACCCAGGCATTACGGCGGCGCAGCCGCACCAATCGATGCCCAGAGATTTATGCTGTTGGACTGTCTTTCTGTGAGTGAGTAGAAAAGATGGTTGGACGGTCGTACAAGCAGCATACCCAATGATCGACATGTCCATCCTTGACGGGACTTGGCAAGACGAAGATGACGTCTGGCGGTTGTCCCAGTGGAGGCAGAGATCGAATAGAAAGCTGCAGGGGAACGCACTCGCTCACAATGTAGACGATGACTACGCCGTCATGTCGAGGCAGCTGGACTCCTGCAAGGTGAGGCACCAAAGAATGGGGCTCGCTAAGGCTGAGCAGGTGGATGGAGAACGGCACTGAAAAGAGGAGGCGGAAGCGGGAGATTGATCTAGAACTAAATAAACTTCAAAAGATAAGGAAGAACACGTCCAATTGCACCAATAGCTACAGATACGTACGTGCCTGGTTGTCGAACTAACACTTCGACCAAACGTGGAGAGGGGCTCTACAGTCTCCACCGCGAACCCCCACGATGGGGTCGTCTCGGCGCAGCTGTTCTAGAACGACTTTTACCTTTAGTCGTCCATCAAACCTGGGCCGGAACGTCGAAAGGCTTGGTTAGTAAGCATCGCCGCTCCGGCTCAGGCCCGCGTCACCCATGCTTAGCGATGCCCAGGATTTGAAGCACTTCAAACAAGCCCTCCTTGAATCTATGCCCAGATCTTCTGGGCTGCGTCCGTTTCTCGTGGCGTCATCTCGAACCCCCAGGTTTTGTGTCTCCAACGTGGGTCGTACACCTTCTCGTGAGGTATGTGGACCGTAGGGTGCTGATAGCCAATCGCCAATCGAAGGCCTGCCATGACGGATAATATGTATTCCATCGAGGTACTCTTGGTACTCAAGTTGGCCCAGTTGTCCGTCAAGTTCGTACAAGCCACACAGGTAGTTTCCACAGTCCATGCTCGAAATGCTCGTCGACAGCGACTAATCGGCACGAGAAACATTACGCATGTACTTGGACACGGCATCATGACAATCATAGGACCTCAGGAACGCAGATCGGCTGTTCGTACATCGATGATTTCATTGTTCTGGCCATTTTCGCCTTTGAGCCAGTAGTTGAACCGGGTGTATGCGGCTGACTGTTATTCCCATGCGCGATTGCCGCCGGCGTGCGGATCGTAGACATGTGATTGGGATGATCCCTGGAAAGCAGCCATCATGTAGGGTTCAGTTGCCAGCCATGGTGACAAAAATCCTTTGCTCTGCGGTGCGTGAACGGGACGATAGGATAGGTCGACAGAGTATTGCAAGATCGAGAACCTGTGCTGCAAGGTGCGAGCGGCCGCTAGGTTGCTGGAAGAAGCCACCCGACCACGGTGATACGGGGAGGCTGTGATAGCCTAGACCCTATGGGACCTTGGGAAATAGACTTGGACGAGAACCGACGCATTTGAGGCTGTAGGTGGAATTTAGACGTCCCTAGACGGAGGTTGATAGAGCAGGCGATGGGACTTGCTGCTAGCGACCATATGCACGCACGAAAAAGCAGTCAAGTCATAGAAAAGAGCAATGTTCCAGTTTACCGAATAGCAGCAGTAAGTAAAGGCTCAGACCTTGTAGGTGGCTGAAAATATTGCTGTCCTGTGTATTGCATTGGTGTTGACTACCTAGTATGCTAGTCGGGCCACAGATACTTGACAGGTAGCAACCAGCTGTCAGCCAGTTGGGCCTGCTGTCGTACCGACAGAGACTGGACCGAGAACCCCCACCATCACCAGCCAATAAGAAAGCGAGAAATGCTTGACCCCGAACGGTGTGGGGTGGGTAGGTAGTCCTTTCTGGGGTCCCCAATGGCCTTGATGAATAAAGTGTCATAAGGCACAAAGCGCTGCATAAACCCTTTCTTCATTTCGTTTCTCATGGTAAAGCTAGCTAAGCACTCAACACTATCCAGGGATACACGACAGGGTGTAGAAGAGCCTTGTTTCTGTAAGAGCTCTTTCTTTATGTGCTCCATCTATGTTTATATAGACTCTTTTCCCTACAAAATAGCTATTCCCATAGAGAAATACTCAAAAGGCCCTGTTCCGCTTGGATCCACCTTTCTGCCACACTTCACCGCATAGTAAAACAGGTAAGCTTCAGTCTCCAACGTACTGCATGTAAAAAATTTGTTCAAGTATCACCACAAGCATCACATTCGAGGTTTTTAAAAACATTACCGTGATACAGGGGCAAAAATGGCATCGCAGTACGACACCTACCAAACGTCTTTGACGGGCCGCTACTGCAGCCCGGAAATGTCCGGGCTCTTCAGCCAGCGATCTCGGCACTCGACCTGGCGCAAGTTGTGGCTTGGCCTCGCTGAGAGCGAGAGAGAACTCGGTATTGATACCATCACGCCCGAGGCGCTGGAACAGATGAAGGCCCACCTCGTGGTCACGGATGAGGATTTTGAGGTTGCTCGCGTCGAAGAGAAGCGTCGCAGACATGTAGGAAAACTAGCTTGCCTTCTTACAAAAGGGGATCCATTGCTGATAATGCCATTCTGTAGGATGTCATGGCGGTAAGCCTTTCGCCGTTTTTCTGATGGTCGCTGTGTCGTCTTTCCCTGCTCTAGCTAATTCTAGAGCAGCATGTCCACGCGTTCGGCGTCGTTGCCCCGGCTGCGGCCGGCGTGATGCATTATGGCGCGACGAGCTGTTTCGTCACCGATAATGCCGAACTGATTCTCATCCGTGATGCCCTCGATCTGTTGATCAAGAAGCTGGCCAAGGTCATCTCCAACCTTTCCGCCTTTGCGCTCAAGTGGAAGGGTGAGTCTTTGCAAAACCCCCGCATCCACCATGTTCTGCGACCGTGCAGCGCAGACCGGCTCCTGCTGACTGTCATCCAGCCGAACCCACTCTCGCATACACCCACCTTCAGGCAGCCCAGCTGATCACGGTCGGAAAGCGAGCCGCCCAGTGGGCGCAAGACCTCATGCTTGACCTCCACAGTATGGAGCAAGTCCGCAGCGAGCTCAAGTTCCGTGGCGCCCAAGGCACAACCGGCACACAGGCCTCCTTTTTGGAGATCTTCCAGGGAGACTCTGCAAAGTGCGACAAGCTGAACGAGCTCCTCTGTGAGAAGTTTGGGTTCCCGTCCTGCTACGATGTGTCCACCCAGACCTACACCCGCAAGGTTGACCTGATTGTCGCCAACGCTGTCGCCGGTCTTGGTTCTTCAGCGCAGAAGATTGCGGGAGACATTCGCCATCTCGCGCACTGGAAGGAGATCGAAGAGCCTTTTGAGGCTTCTCAGATTGGATCCTCTGCTATGGTCAGTGCTCCACATCACGGCTTCCACCTGATCGCTCCTATTTCAACGATGCTAACTTTATATCCATGTAGGCATACAAGCGCAACCCCGTAGGTACTTCTTGTTTCTTGTCCATCTCGCTGTTCTGACTCTTGTAGATGCGCTCCGAGAGAATCTACAGCTTGGCGCGCGAGTTGCTGTCCAAGCCGGCTACTTTCGCCAACACTCACGCAGACCAATGGGTAAGTGGCATAACCTCATGTGGATTGGTGGCTTGAGTTGTAAAGCTAATTTGGTTCCAAGTGTGAGCGAACTCTTGACGACAGTGCTGTTCGCAGTAAGTCACAGTCGTGCTCGTGCGGTTCTCCTTAGCGAGTCTAACGACAGGACAGGAATCGACATTCCCGAGATGATGCTTCTCGCAGACGCTATTTGCATAGGCCTTGTAAGTTGGACCATGAAGATGCCTTCGCGAATCCTGCTGACATAATCTACCCACTCGCTAGGACAATGTTACCAACGGCCTGGTTGTGTACCCCAAGCGCATCGCTGCTCACGTGCAGTCCGAGTTGCCCTTCATGCTGACGGTACGCAAACCTGTTGTCCTTGGCATAGAGATCTCCGCTGACTTGTAATGTAGGAGTCCATCCTGATGAAGCTTTGTGCTAAGGGAGCTTCAAGACAGGAGGCACACGAACAGATTCGTGTTCTTTCTAACGAAGCAGGAAGCGTCGTGAAGAATGAGGTGAGCCAACCCGGACTTTTGACACGTTTCTCATACTGCTTTTGCCATGGACTGGGTTGTTGACTGTCGCAGGGCAAACCGAATGACCTAGTATCGCGGATCAGGAGCAACGAATTCTTCAAGCCTGTCTGGAACGATCTTGATGATATGCTCAGAGCAGAGCTCTACATCGGTCGTAGCGTGGAGATTGTCGACAAGTACTGCGGTCCCGGGGGCCCTGTCGAGAAGGCGTTGGCGCCCTACATGACGTACATCAAGAGCTCCAGCACCGCAGAGCTCAATGTATAGTTGAACTCTGTACACACAGGCCGAAACATGACGAAGAGTCAGGCGCTTGGGTGGGGACATCTGGGCAGTAGGCAAGGGACAGGACGCAGCACGAGTCCGAGATGGGCTACAAAGAGGCTTCTCGCGTGATCACAAGATGAGTCACATGTTCACTGATGGCGTGACGGACGGCTCATCAAAGTGGTTGATGCTGCGAAGAAACCCATCGAGTACCTTACATGCTGCAGCCCTATTTGAGTTCGGTCCAGCTCTGGCGACGTTTGATACGGATAACAGGCATGAATAACTAAAAATAAAATGAAATAAAAGCTTCTTGGCTGCAGTAACTCACAAGACCAGGTTGTACAGCAACCTACTATACCCTGCGACAAGCATACCTGCAGCCAATAGAGAAAAGGGCAATTCCAATCGCAAATCATCATGTGCAGTGGGCCTCGAGGCCAACGAAAAGCGTGAAATAACAGTAAAACAACAGCTCGGCAAGCCACGGCAACGGTCAGGTGGCACCGACCCGCAGGCGAGGACAGCCAGCCACAGGTACGTACACGCCTGATCGTCGAGCTGACGCTTCTTCGACGAAACAAGGGAGAGAGGGGCTCTGCAGTCCCCACCGTGAACCCCCCACGACGAGGTAGACGCAGCGCGGCTGTTCTAGAACGACCTTTTACCTAAGGAATTCCGTTCCACGCAGGCCAGGCTCCTCGGAGCAAACCGGTCGACGATTGGTTGCTGGCTGGCCATTGTTTTACACAGGACACGCAGGTAGTCGGTGAGGCCCTGAGACGAGGATACCGCCGACAAATATAGAAAAACAACAACTCTTTCTGTAAGTCAGCAACGTGAGCAATGCTCGTCTCGTGATGCACGCGATAACAGATTTCCCAACAGGGATTTCCCATGGACGTTCATCCGGCCGAATCCAAGATTCGCAATGGGCCAGGAGGCCAATACGACGCCGCGTAGACTATCGACGCCCAACTACCGGCCGGGTCAATCAAAAACAGCACACAGGTTACATTCTCAGCGTGTGTGGTCCCCATAGCCGCACCCCTTCATGACATGCAGGCGGTGCAGCAGCGCCGATTCGGGGCTCTATATTAAACCGCGCTGCAGGCAGGACCTGCCAGTGTTATGGATCATGTCGGAAATGGGACCGACCTGAGGACGGGGTTCAGCCGTGGACAGGGGCTCCGCCGGCCGGGAAGGAGTGAGATGACGCCCATGCTGCGGGAACCACCCTGCCCTTCGACTTTGGGCTTGGTCGCCGTCGTTTTCTCGTGTGCGACGAGAGTCTTCACCCAACAGGTCGATCCAAGACGGCGGAACACGCCTTTTGTAGGCGGCTGGGATGCCATCGTCCCGCCCGCGTGCATGCGTGCTCGCCCGTCCGGGCCTGGAGCGGTAAAGCTCGAGCTCGGTTGTAACGAACTTGTGTAGCGTGGCGTCGGCCGCCGTTGCCGATAGGGGACCGAACCCACTAAAGTTAATCTTGCTGGCCCAAAGCCTCTGTGTGATCGGAGCGCCTGTCCGTAGCATGGCATTGTGGGAGAAAATTTTCTCCCGAGCCAGTCTCCCGTCGGTTTGATGAACTCCCTGGCTCTCCGCCCCGGCGACCGGGGATTCGTAGTTGTCTTGGTCGAGTACGATGGCCTCGGTTCCCCTCGAATGGCTGGCCATCGCACACTGGCCAATTCCCCGACAAACACTCCGAGAGGGGCAGCCCTCACAGCGCTTCAGAGAGGGGAAAAGAGGAGGTTTTCGTCCCATGGAGAAGGTTGGACAAGGTCGGCTTGAGCACAGACGGGACCCTTGGGGCAGGCAATTCGGTGGACTTAGTCAAGACGTTTACCTTAGTCCTCGGAGACTTGGATGTCTGAGTAGTAACAGTCCCTGGTAACGGCGCTGCTTCCCGGCTTCACACTTTTTCTACCGAGTGGTTCGGACAGTGCTGAAGGAGGTGAAGACGGATGTTTCCGGATGGTGGCCGACCGGACATGAAACCTTGTTAGGCAGTCGTTTCGATCGAATGGTCATTGAATACAGCTTCAGGTGCAGGCGTGTGAGTGAGAGGCAGAAAAGAGACAGAGAGAGAGAGGGAGAGACTGGGGGTTTGGCCAAGCCTGCACAGGGACTGCGTCTCAATTTGCTGACGATCTGGGATTTTTTTTTAGCGGGATCCGGCTCCCAAGTGAGATCATTCGGATGCGCTTGCACTGTTGTAGCATCTCGCACCGGCAATGATGAGCAGGTGAGCGAGCTGCCGTCCCCTCGGGTTTTACCGCCTGTCGGTCGCTTCGACGAGGTCTACACACTACAAAAAGTCCCTGTGCCAGGGGACCCCCAAGGAGCATGAATGCGCTGGGCACGGGCCAGTTCTCTCACCACACATCCTGGGAGAGTTGGAGAGGTTCCCAGGCGTGGATCCGCCGGCGTGCGCAAAATGAAATAAAAAATGTGTCCACGGGCTCGTCAACCAGTCACCGGCCGCCAATGGCAGTGCATCTGAACCCACCCCGTCGACGTCCCCACTCCATCCTCCTCCGGGGGTGTGTGCCCCCACCATTATCACCTGCTTGTTCGCGCTGCCGCTGCCACTGCCACTGCCTCTTCCGTCCCTCGCCGTAGTGTCCTTCTCCTCCAGCCTCTCTCTCCACCAAGAGAGGCAGGTTTTCCTGCTTCCACCACCCCTTTCTCGACTCCAACTTCGCCCTTCCTTCACTCGAGCTGCTGTTTAGAAAGGATTTCTGTTTGGCGTCGGATGAGCCCAAAGTCTCCTACCGATATCATTCGGCGCGAGGCACTGCGCTCTATTTCCCGTGCGCCCTGAACACCCGTCCGTGTTCCCCACGGATCTCGAACACGACCCCACGACAAGCGGCCTATTGCCTTGCCTGCCTCATGCGCAGTCTGCCGACCCTCCTGGACCGCCTTCAGCCTGATATTATTTCACGACTGTCGCTATCGACCTGGAATTTCGACGACAATTCCTTCTCTTGATCCGAGTTGGGCGATAGGAATTTGTTGGATTACGAACCCGCAGACGAGCGCACTCACCACCTGCGCTCGAGACATCGGAATCCTGCGCCCCGGGAGCCCACTGCAGCCATGATGGACGCTGCGTCTTGGAACCCCCAGGACCAGGGCCTGCCACCCAACCACGATGAGGAGTTTCAGCAGTTTTTGGATATGGGCGGGATGGGAAATCTCAGCGACACGATGCCGTTCGACTTCCACGACTACCAGAGCGGAAATGGCTCCGGCATGATGCACCAGCCTGGGCGCGAACAACTCGACACTCAAATGGGAGGAACCGATGCATCCATGGTCATGGGAAATGCCAACTCGGCCATGCAGGCGCAGCTCATCAACATGACGACCGCCGCCTCGCACCCCGCCATCCCGGCCCAGATGATCCCCCCGCGACGCCCACGGACACCATCACGGAGATTGATGCCCAGATCCAGTACCTCCAACAGCAGCGGATGCAGCAGCAGCATCGTCAGATCCAGGAACAACAAGTCGCCTACTACACTAGCCAGAATCATGCCGTCCCGCCGACGCCCCAAAGCCTTGAGATGCCGCCCGCTAGCAACCAGTTCTACTCGACAGACCATGGCCACAACACCATGTTCAACAACAGTAGGTACCAGCGGATGAAGGAGCAACAGGATGTAAGAACCCGCTCACCTGGAGCCTGCTTTAACTCCCAAGCTAACTCCTCCAGATGGCCTTCACTCCGTTGGTCTCGCCAGCAGTGACGCCCCTGGATCCCCATTTTCAGATGGAAGCCGGCGGCTTTACTATTCCAGGCGCATACTTTAGCCCTCTTACATCACCAGCACTTCATGCGCAGAGCGACCAAGGCCTGCTGTATGATCGGCGGTCGTCCCTCTCGGCCCACAACTCGCCAGCCGAGATGGAAGTCGAGACGAGTACGCAGTCTCCCGTGGCCGACCTGGCAAAGAAGGCCCGCAAGACCAACGCCTCGAGAGCAAAGACAAAGAGCAGCGTGCGACAGTCGCCCATCTCGAAGCCTCAGCGCAAGAAGGCCACAGCCACGCCAAAGATGGTTTCGCAGGCTCTCCGAGAAGTGAACGAGGACGGCCTCGATCAAATGCTACCCTCGACTGCTCTCCCCGGTCTGATGAGCAGCGAAGAGTCGGAGAATGCGTCAGTGTCTCCCGAAAATCTCTCAGACATGCCGCCGCCGCCCCTTCCTCAGCCGAAACAGTCGAGTAAATCACCATTCATCCAACCTCAGCCGCAGCCCCAACCTCATCCTGCGATACCGGCTCACATCCAAGGGAAACCCTCTCCTGCTACGCCGGCGTCTCTGATGAAGCTCCCCGCTTCCAGTGCAAACAACTCAACCTCGTCAAACCCCAAGACCTGGGAATGTCGGACAACATCGAATCGTTCGAACTACCCGAGTCCGTCAACTTCTCTTCAAAACCACAGCCCCCGAGACTGGACACGGCCACGGCCACTCAGTCACCGTCCGACCCCGGCTCCGCGAGGGCCTCGTCGTTCCAGCCGCTGCCTTCGCCCATCTTCGCCAAACCCACTGCCGCTGCCTCGGCGAGCGCCAGTCCCAACCTAGCACCTGGCTCGACGGGTCCCACGGCGAGGAAAACGCCCAAGCTCATGGCCAGAGGCGCCCAGGGCAAGAGAGGTAGCGTCAGCTCGGTGCACGTCTCGCCCGCGCTGCGACCGAGAATATCTCCCAGCATCAAGCCGCTCTTGCCCGGAACCCCCGGCGGCATGTCTGCCGAGGATACAGCATCCCGTCTCTTGGCGTCCAAGTCCAACTACCAGAACATCCTCGAAGGCAACACTGTGCCTGGTGTCACATACCCCAGCGAGCTGTCAACCAACCTCACGTCGAAACGCACGTCCCACAAGATCGCCGAACAGGGCCGCCGGAACCGCATCAACTCGGCTTTGCAAGAGATTGCAACTCTGTTGCCCCAGCCACCGAAGGATTCCAAGACCGAGGCGGAAGAAAAGAAAGAAAGAGAAAAGGAGGCCAAGGCAGGTGGCGCCCCAAACAGCAAGGCCAGCACTGTTGAGCTCGCGATCGAGTACATCAAGCAGCTGAAGCAGGAAGTCGCCGAAGCCAACAAGCGAGCCGAGGAAGCCGAGAAGAAGCTGGAGCTGCAGACGAAGTCGGGGCAGAAAGAGACGGTGGAGGGCTAGCCGCGAGCATAATGACAGGCTTCGCGGCCTGCGACGAATCGGAGCAACCGGCGAGCCATGATATATGAAATAATTCAGGGTATAGAGGGACAGTTTGGAATTGTATAGTTCACAGGCAGCAACATTCTGCTTTTTGAAGTTCGCCATGCAAGTGGCCCTTGCCTGCAACACGCAGATGTGTCAGGCTCCAATCTTCTAGACAAGTCTAGAGTAGAGCTTGGTAAATAGCACCGACCCCCCGACAATCCAGGACCAAGCTCCAGATGTCACAACTCGTCACATATCATGTGGCTGTATATTCTAGGGTATCACAAAAATGTTAAGAAGAAAAAAAGAATCATGATGCATCGTGCCGCTCCCTGTTCATGTCGCATGCGGGTGCTTTTCTGTATGTTCCCTTGCTTTGCTTTTTCGACATCGGTAAACCCCCACCCGGCGCAGGACTCATTGGGCGTCCCGGCTGTGCTCCAAGACGTCGACGTCGAGCTCCTCCATGACCTCAACGACGAGGTTGAGGCTCTCCATGAGGCCGTTGACGGCGACGCGGAGCATGCGGTTCGTGGTGGCCTTGTAGCGGACGCGGAGGACGGACGCAGCGTCGCCGGCCGAGGAGGAGGCGTCGTCGATGAAGAAGGTCCGCCTGACGAGCGGCGACAGCTCCTGGTCGACGGCGAGGGCCTTGTGCGCCACAGAAGCGAGGCGCGGGGTAGGGAAGGGGACGTCGATGGTCCTGCGGCCCGGTGTCTTAGTATTTGTTTCTTTCCGGTGGTGGCTCAGAAACAACGCGCCACAAAAGGGAGAAAAGGGAAGCAATGCGACAACTCACAAAGAGCACGGGAACTCATGGTCAATGGTATTGTCGTCGGCCATGATTGCGGTTTCTGGCGCGGCTAGTCTGCGCTTGGAGGAGGAGGGGGGATGTGGAGGAGTGAGGGGTGTTTTGCGGGCAAGGTAGGAGGAGGAGGAATGGGAAAGTTTGCTGTTGGGCGGTTTTTTTTTTCCCCGGCCTCGTCAGAGTAAAACCGTCGTCATTGGCGGCGCAGAATTTCTGTCCGGCGCAGCCCACCGAGCGAGCGGGACACCCAAAACACAAGCACACACACAATGGCGGGCGGGAAGGGGGAGCGGAAGGGTGAGATGGGGCGGCCAGATCACACACACACACAAACAAAAGGCAAAACGACAATAAACTGCCCCGCCATTCCACAGGCTTGTTTCCATGGCGGCATTAGGTTATGTGACACCCGACGGATCCCCCAAGCCAAGCATGGCAACGCACGCACAGGACCTCCGCCCGTCCCCAAGGTGACTTGATCCATTGGATGCGCAGTGGCGTGCCGTGTTGTTTGAGAGGGATGGGATGCGGTCATCCACAAGAGGGATGCGAACGTGGGGTTGCCCTGGCGCAGCCCAGAAGTCGGGTGTGTCTGATGCAGTGCCGCCCAATAAGCAAGCCTGGAACATGTGCGGAGCAGCTCGATTGTTGTGCCTCTGGGAGGATAACACACACAGAGCGACAGGGCAGGAGAGGTTCACAGGAAGAAGGGGTTTGCGCTTGGGCGGTCGTCAACAGCCGTCAAGGACCTAAAAGGGTTTAGAGGGCTATCACCGGGGGCGGGATGGAGGCGGATGCGTTTGCCTGAGGCGTGATAGAGAGGTCCAGCGACCCCAGGCGATTGGCCAAGCGGCCGCGAGTGGCCAGTGCTTCCCCTGACGGGTTGTCTTGACAACGGCCTGGCAGCCCGGCAGCCAGCACAGCACAACGAGGCTAACAACAACCGACCCTTGCTGTTTTGGGCCGGGGCCCATATTGACCGCTTCAGCAAAACATACGCCAAACCATACAAAAACACCATCGTTCGGTCTCTCCTTGCGCTTCGCAATACCTTCCTTTTACCCATCTCGATATCTCTCCCTTTTGACCGCAAAAGAAGCACCTGGTTTCCCCAGAAATCGGGTTGTCTTTTTTCTCTTCCCCCAGGGCGTCTGCAACGTTTTTTTCTGGCGATTCTCACCCAGCCCTTGACAGAGACAGTGTTGTTGTTGTTATTGTTTCAGACCGGGCCATTTCAACATTCCTATCCTCCGCTCACCACCACGCATCGCTTCTTCCCCAGGGATCGCTTTCCCTTGCGCGCGCATTACTTTGCATACAAAGGAGTACACTCGCCTCTGGATAATTTCGGCACCTGCCATACCCTTTCGCAAACAGGCAATCGCTTGCATCTCTAATCCAAGGCGCCGCCTCGCACGAGAGCAACTGCCTTCCTCAACCCAATTGAGATAGAAATCCAAAAGGAAACAGAGAGTCACGAGACCAATGGCGCCTTCATCCAAGAGCCCCAACATGGGCCAAGTCATTGAGTACATCCCAGGTGTGTTCCCGTCCGCGTTGCCGCCTTGCATCGTGCACCCCCCCCCCCCCCCCCCCTCATCATCGCAATCATGTCGCATCGTTATCATGAGCCGTCTGGGCCGCCTCAGTCGGCGCAAGCCGGCATGAGCGCAATATGCGACAACCACAGCTATGCCTTATCCCAGCTTCATCCTTGCCTCTATTGCGCCGTCTTTCCCGTCTCTCTTCTGACTTGGCTTCCAGACCGGCTGTACCTGGCTGCGTACATCCATCCTCCCACGGCCGAGACCATCTTCCCCTACGGCGAGACCGTCCAGTCTTCCCCCAGAAAGCGATCGCAGAGGGCCGCCGACGGCCCCACGCCCGTCCAGACCGCCGCCCGTCAAACGCCCTACTACTTCACCGTCGACGACACTCTCCTGTACAACGCCTTCCACCATGACTTTGGCCCGCTGCACATCGGTCACCTGTACCGCTTCGCCCTGCAGTTCCACGACGTCCTCGGAGCCAAGGAGAACAAGGACCGCCCCATTGTCTTCTGGAGCAGAGCCGACCCCAGAAGTATGCATCCAGCGCTCTGTCGTCGTCGAACCCCCTTGCTAACGGTCTCCCAGGTCGCGCCAACGCTGCCTGCATGCTCGCCTGCTACATGGTCCTGATCCAGAACTGGCCCCCGCACCTGGCCCTGGCCCCCATCGCTCAGGTCGACCCGCCTCTGATGCCCTTCCGTGACGCTGGATACAGTCAGGCCGACTACGGCATCACCGTTCAGGATGTCGTCTACGGTGTCTGGAAGGCCAAGGAGGAGGGCTGCTGCGCCCTGGACAACTTCGACCTCGACGAGTATGAAAAGTTCGAGAGAGTGGAGCACGGAGACTTCAACTGGATCACACCGCACTTCCTGGCCTTCGCCTCGCCTCAACACACACCGGTCGCCAAGGTCCTGGAGGGCACCGAGGAGTTCGATGCGCTCCCCAAGTCGCTCGGCCAGCTAGACGCGAACAAGACGCTGCCCCAGCCCTTCAAGAACGTCTTGAAGCACTTCACCGAGAGGAACATTGGCCTTGTTGTCCGTCTCAACTCGCCGCTCTACTCGCCGTCCTTCTTCGAGTCCATGGGCATCTCCCACCTCGACATGATCTTCGACGACGGTACCTGCCCGCCCCTCACCACGGTTCGCAAGTTCATCAGACTGGCGCACGAGACCATCACGGTCAAGAAGAAGGGAATTGCTGTCCACTGCAAGGCCGGCCTTGGAAGAACTGGGTGCCTCATCGGCGCGTACCTCATCTACCGCCACGGCTTCACGGCCAACGAGATCATCGCCTTCATGCGCTTCATGCGCCCCGGCATGGTGGTGGGCCCCCAGCAACATTGGCTTCACATCAACCAGGGCATCTTCCGCGAGTGGTGGATCGAGGAGCGCATTGAGCGCAAACTCCGGAAGGAGATGGCGGCTAACGCGGCCGCCCCGAGCACCCCCATCCGCGCCATGCAAAAGACGTCGCTCCGCAACGGCCAAGCTTCCACCCCTCCCCACCGTAGCACCTCGAACCGGACGCCTCTGAGCGAAGTCGATCACGACCGCAATAACATTGGGGTTCAAGAAGACTACCTCCCGGCGCCGACGCCAGGCCAGCCGAGAAAGACAAACAGGGCAGACCGTCACCACCCCTACCAACGATCCACCTCGTATACAGCGACCGTTGAGGAGGAGACGGGGATCCACCAAGACACCGAGGTCATCACAATCCACAAGCAATCGCACAGCGCCGAGTCCGACGAGGAGCTACACATGCGGATGCGCTCGCACCGCAAGCCTTCTGCGTCGCCTGGCCGCAGCGAGAAGCGGTCAGTTAGCCACTCGGCTGCCACTGTGTACCAGACGTTCATCGACAACGACGCCAGCAACGATGTCGAAAACCTCGGCACGTCACGCGTCAAGCAGGTCGACCGTGTCAGCAGCGCATCGGGTGTCCTCACCAAGGTTCGTGGCAGCAAGCGGTCGGGAGAGTCGCCGAGGGCCAAGGACGGAGTCCGCAAGACAAGTGGCCGTGTGGGCAGCGTGGGCAACTCGGCAACGTCCGCGACCGCAGCGTCAACAGCACGAAAGGTCTCTGGCGCCTAGGTGCCGCGCAGAGCCATCCGGCCCGGCCCCCGGTTTTGAGTCTACACCTTGGACCACAAGACTCGGACCGACTGCTTACTAACCACTTACGATGATGATGATCACGACCGGTCCATGTTGTTCTGCATGAATTGGCGTTGGGTTCTGGCAACCTTGGAGATTGCGGCAAATTGGGATGGTGTTCACGGGTGGAAGCCGGCTTCGACCGGAATGATGTCCATGACAAGGCGATGATGACGACGATGATGAACAGCTACATCTTCTCTCTCTTCCCCTTCCCCAGGCATTCGATGCACATATACCTGGCCCGGCAATCGGCCGGTGTAAACTGCTTGGCTTTTGAGGCGTTCACGGAGGTGCATTGGGGTTTTCGATTGTATTGTATTTGTATTTGCCATTGTTGGTTTTGCTGCTCTTCCCACAGACATTGTTTTGGTCTTTTTACGCGCTTTGGGCACAGAGAAGGGGCAAAAGGAGGAAAGTGAGGCAGTGGCAGTGGGCATGCCTCGTTTCCTGGGGAGATGTTTCTGGACATTGCTTGTCACATGAAGCATAAGCACATGATGGAGGTGGATTTGCCCGTTTGATTTTCCGTATCAATACAAAAGTACGCACACACATTATCGCCTTGGGGATTTGCACCGTGATAGTACGAGTACGTGTCTGCTGTGAGACCCTACCAACCGAGTTGGCCCAGAAGGATGGGGTTCGTGGCTGACAATTGTAAGGTCGACGGTTGATAGTTAACCTGTGAGCGTTTCTACCCGGAGACGGCCTTCGATCTGGCTGGCAGCAGAGATCAACCACCACCGAGGCTTACATATAGCCCAACCAGTGTCCCATGCCCGCACATCGCACACCTCTCGGTGACTGGAGGACGGGACCAGCACAACCGCACCCCCCCCCCCCCCCCCCCCCCCCCCCCAAGCGGACTCTCCCTGTTTAAGCAACTTCTGGCCCGGCCAACACCACATGCGACCATACCCACCGGAGAACTCGGGATCCCGTCCGCTCTCCCATCGATAAACCAGTGAGGGCCGGAGTAGTAGTTGGGTCGGAGACGACCAGCGAATGCCTGGTGTTGCATGTACATTTTTTTTGCTCCAAGAACTTCTTGTGAGCCGAAGCTCAGCTGACATGAGGCATTGCGGACTTTTCTGCATTCGAGATTGACTGGCGGCGGCAGGGACCAAGGCAACTGCGTGATCCCTACCGCCGTGGGGTGGTTGAACCTGCGTATATACCAACAGGCCAGAGATCACGAGGACGAGGCGCAGAGTTGCGGACACAACCTTTAGTTTTGCGGCCTTGTTACCATGGACGCACGCACGTCGCTCTTCGAACCCGTTACTGGTTGTCCGCTCGAGACTCCTATCAAAGACTCAACTGGATGTGTGTGTGTGTGGTTTTTTTTCCCTTTTTTTTTTTTGCGGCTGGTTGTCTATAACCTACAGGTGCGGTCCTTCCAAGAGTACAAACACAGCAGTTGAATGAAACGAGCCATCGTCTCAATTGGGGAACCTGAAGACGGGGAAACTGCCTTTTTGTCACCAAGCCCAGCTGGTTGGCTTTGAGAAACCAATCCGTTGCCTCGCTCTGCGCGTGTCCTAACCTACACGCTTGGGCGAAGCGAGTCACCAAGAGAGTACACGAAACGCTCTACGCTATCCACTCGGGCAAAGAACCTTCTAATTGAAAGGGGGGGGGGGGGGGGGGTTGAATGGCAAGACGAGAGGTTTGCAGAGCCCGGCGGCGCCTCTGCAGCCAGCCATAACCCGGAGCACATTACCCCTGTCGCCCACCTTCTCTCCCTGCCCGCTCGCGTCCCAAGCCTACCACAGAACACTAGACACCTTTACAAGACCAAAAAAAAAGTTTAGAAACATTGCCCTCTTGTGGAGGCAACTTGATACAAGTATCAAAAAGATCTCCTCGACGGGGAATTGAACCCCGGTCCCCTGCGAGTTATGGAATGCCATGACAAGCAGATATCCTCACCACTAGACTATCGGGGATGTGTGGATGTTGTCATCCATTGATAGTTGGTTGGGGAGAGTCGGGCATTTTGCGTACATATACCACAAAATCTGGGCTCGTGCACGGTTGCGGGGGGTGGGCCAGTTTAACCCACAGATGGCAGTTGCCCGCCTCAGGAGGTCCGGAGGAGGAATGTCGAGGCCAATGTGATAAGTTCCAATCGGACGGGGAAAAGACTTGGATGTTCCGACGTGGTTCGTCTGCATTCTGCAGATATGTGACATAGTTGCACCATCCCGCTCAGAGCTGCATCTCCCACGCTCAGACTAAGCCCCTCCAGAGGGCCTCACAAAAGTCTCACCAACTCCCTCAGGGGAAGTTATGTAAATGTACAGCGATGGCAACAAAGGGCTGGTCGGCAGCAACAGTCCAGTTGTCAGCCAACCTGTTAACGCATCCAGCGACTAGATACGACAACAACAATTGTTGGCTCTACCAACACTAACGTGACGTCTCAAGCGAGAAACAGCTAGGTTTAACAAATCCTCTTGCTCCTTCTCAAGCCTGCCGTGCTCTCCTGGTATCCTCTGGAAGGTTTACAGCGCGACTTGTCATCCAGTCAAAAACGAAGGCTTCATCTTCACCCACGGCCTTCCGATTACCAATCAAATACGGGAAGGCTATCTCCTGCCTTCTTTCTCTTTATCCCTTGTTTCTCCTCATCTATTCTTTCCCATCTTCTCTTCTCTCTTCCTTCCATCACCCTATTTCAACTGTAAAATAGTGACAAATCAACCAAGCATGGTAATGCCCATCAGGGGCGGTAGTGTCCTCACACCAACTCCAGCGCCAGGGAGAACGTAGGACAGATGTCAACTCAAGCGTCAGGATAGCCGGCCACACGGCAAAACAGCTCAGAAATTCCATCAAACCTGGCCCACCTCGTCAAGCAAACTGCGCAAGGATCCAGCTTCCGCTCTCTCAGAGAAACGGGCGTGATCTGCAGAAGGGCACACAATAAAGTTCCGGAGATTGCTAGATGTGTTTCTGGCCAATGTGAAAAACGCATCGAGATCCCTTGCCGACATGTCTCTACATAGCAGCAGGACCCAGCAGTCTCACAGCGATGATAGCCCTTGTCCCAACAATATCACTAGTAAATAGCACAACCCACCTGATGGCTGTGATGCTGGCTGGTACGCCCTCTATCGCGCTGGTTTTCGGCCAACCCAGACCATCGGGTCCTCGTCACCAACCCGAATTCGCTTGCTTAACTCACTCAACATCAAACAACAGTCGACTTTATGCCGTAGCGCGGCTGCTGGACTCTCCAAGCTGAGGCAAGCGCATGCATGGCCGAGGGTCACCCCGACCATCGCACCGTGGAGCCTCCATCAGCAGTGCCCGGCCCGGCAACCACCACATGCGACCATACCCACTGGAGAACTCGGGATCCCGTCCGCTCTCCCATCGATAAACCAGTGAGGGCCGGAGTAGTAGTTGGGTCGGAGACGACCAGCGAATGCCCGGTGTTGCATGTACATTTTTTGCTCCTCGGCTTTTGGAGTATTTTTTTTTGGAAATCAAGTGTTCAACTGTGACGGACAGTCTCAAGGTTGAATCAGTCTGTCATGTGGGCATCTTCCAACAAACCCTCAGAGGAAGAGGAATAGGGGTGATGAACACTCCTCCGCTTGTGGGTCGCAGGCGAGACCGAGACATCTCGCCATCCATCCCACAATCATCGCAAAGACCGCCGGAACTTAAATGCGGTGAGCGGGGTGAGAGGGGGAGGGAGAACCGTGGTGTTGTGAACAAGGGCAGCTATGTAATTGGGTCCTTTTGTAGCATCAAGGGCGACAATATCATCAAGACCCCCTGGCTTCCAGTAATGTGTTGGACCACGAGGCAGCGTCGTAGCTTGGAGCCTGACTCTCGAGTTCTTCGGTAAGCCTTGGGCCATGTGCAATCTATCAAAGAAACCATGGTTCGGTTCTCGCTGTGGACCCGGGCCCGCGACACTAGGGGAGATCTTTGACATGACTGACGGCCGAACTGTCTGCTACTCAAGATCCCACGAAGCTGCTACTAACGCCAACACGTGCGGGCACCCTTGTGAGCCTCTTCTCTGGTGCCCGTCCTTGACGTCTCTGTGGAAATGACATTGTCCGTGACTATAGCGCAAGTGAATGGAAGTAGACAAGACCTGGACGCTCACTGCTCACCCTGCGGCCCCTTTTCGCAAACAATGCACGCCCCTGAATATCTCATGGGCGAACCTGATGGCATCCCCTTGTCCTAGCCCCGTGACCACCCAGCATCTCGGCTAGCCTTGATTGCTTATAGAGTTACGAACCCAACCCTAATGCAGAGATGAAACGGTACGCCAAAGCATACTGATTCTTGGCCGAGCCACAAGGGTTCTAGAGGCATATGATCCGTATGTCGCAGGTCCTCAACCGTACCGGTGTAAATCTCTCTGTTATGTACAGTGAGAGAGGAAGAAATAGTGCCATAATAAACAGACCTTGAAGCCATCGTCAGATCAGAACCGGACTCATAGGGATGCAGAAACCCGCCGCCACCCAAGGGATACAACCGATGCTGTGTGACGGCGGCGACGGCCGATAATCCTCGGCATGCCGCAGTCGCTGACACCCCATAAATGCACTTAAGCACTGACTAAACAGACTCTTGAGCCTGACAACAGGCGAGATGCCTGGCCGTCTGAGGCTGTCGATGGACGGGGCGCTCGGGTCGATAAACATCACGCCGACAGTCGGAGCCTGACAAACCCAGCCCATGTTCTTGCAAAGCATAGATCCTGGATACGCTCGCATGGGGGACGAGGGCACGTGGAGGACACAACCTCACACCGCATGCAACGTATCCAGCAGGTTCTGGGTTCAAAATGCCTCCGGCACTGCAGCTCAGGCATAAGATGGGCAGCCTCTGTAGAAGACCCCTGAGCAACCCGGGTCTCGCAGACATAGAATGTCCGAGGCACCCCAGTCGTGGATACAGGCATTTGTCCTACCTGAAGAGAGAACCCCAGAGGGCCGCCTCCCAGCGGATGTCGTCCGATGTCCCATCCAGGGCTTTGTGGCGGAGAGCAATCGGAAATCGGAGCGGAAACGTTCTCAAGCGGGAAAAACAGCCTCCCTGCCTGCTTCGGTTGACCACACAACTCCCAAGGAAAAGACAGCCGCGTGCGTGTGACGAGCGATTGCCGACTGTCAGGCACTAGCCAAGGCTTCCAAAGACAAAACCAACGAGACGACCAAGACAGCCGAGACGTCCGAGATGATGTCGGAGTCGGCTCTGATCAAGTCAACAACGTATGCAAGTCAAATAGCCCGGGTACGAGATTCGCCATCCGTTGGATGCCTCTGATGGATGTCCTGCAAATTGACAGAGCACACGAGTGAAGGGGGATGACGAGATGCACGACCAATGAGCGCCGTGCCGCGTCAAGACCCTGGCCTGTCACCCGGCTCAGAAGCATCACAGATCCCGACGACATGGTTCCTGAGGTGGGGGGCGGCATGCAGTTTGCAACGCTTCGACGAGAAGAATGAACGCGAGTGGAAGGCTGTTCCACACTGCGGCACAACAGGAAAACCATATGTGCTCTGATCTTTGCCAAGTCCTGACTCCTCGCAGCGGCAGTGTGTCTGGTGATGGCAGTCGGCAAATTCCAATAAGACAACGTTCCATTACACTGACGCACTGATTCAGCGCTCGAAGTTGAAAAGTGATAGCTCACCCCTGACCCCCAGCCAGGGCAAAGGAGCAATCGAGCTAACAGGTCGACACCAGCGTCAGGGACGCCTCAAGCGGTTTAGCATCCTGGAAAGGTGGGTTTGCTTACCCCCAGAAAATGGGGCCGCGCAGGTCTGTCCGCCGTGCCGCTCCATGGCACTTGTTTGGCCATCACAGGAGCCCATCTGCACAACATCCTCGCCCTACTTCTTGCCCCGGATTCAGTCGCTGTTAGACGCTCCCGTCTTTCTGGCCTGGCCGCAGGGCACCGTTCGGCGAGTGTGTCTCGAGACAGGTGTGGTGTACCGATTGTTCTCGGTGAGAGGTGGCGGGTCCGGTCATGGCCCAGATTGTGACATTTCCGTCAGCTTGTCTTCGTCCCTTCGCGTTGGCTGCGCTGATAAAATTGGAGGGTGGATTGGCCTTGTGTATGGCAGCGATGCAGGTGAAAAGGAGTCGCGAGCTGAGATCCGGCTGACCCCTTGTCAACACAAACGGGCTTGTGTTGGAGTCCCCGGCCATATCATGTCGGATATGGCTGGGTTTCCACATGCTGCGCACCAGAGTGGGATAGGCTCGGTCAGGTACCCGTTCCCTTGATCCACTAATGCACCTCATCAGAAATTTCGAGACGATTTTGCGCCAGAACAGGCCATGGTTCTGTTTGATCCGGTGCTGTCGAGAGACGTTGTGACAGCAAGGTGCTCGGCATGGACTGAGAGCGGAGGACACGTTTGCGCACAAGGTTTGGGGACAGCTGCCAGACCCTCCAAGGCGAGAAGTGTACTGGCGGTGATGGGGTGCATGCGCAAACGAGGAGGGAAATGGCGATATCGACAAGTTGTCAAGCGCATTCAGAACGCGATGCCTCAGAGTCAGGTGTTAGTCCTGAGGGCGTAAGCTTGCTGCTATGCCAAGTCAAGCTTCGCCTCATCCCAGCTGACAGGGCCGTTCTTGAAGTCTCCTATCGGAGACGGGACTGCGTCCGGGAGGCTTACAGCAAACAAAAACACAAGGTGGGAATGAGGGGAATAGGACGAGGGTTAAAAGATGGTCTAGCATCCAGACTAACACCCTGCAATATTGAGTAGAACTCTGACCGGGGATAATGCCCCGAGAGAGACGACCGGCTCCGAGGAGGCGACTGGTTGCCGCAGCGCTGATGAGCTGGAAAACTTCGCAACCCAAAGAGGCAGAAAGCGCCCAGGCAGAGTGTGTAGGCTCAGTGCCACCCTGCATGGCTCCTCTGCGTCTCGTCGCCCGCATGTAGACGCGGGTCGGCTGTCAGGTGTAAGTGAGCTTGTGTGTGCGCGCGGAAGTGCGCGAGTGGTTCCGGTATGCAAAACATATAAAGCGTATGCGTCCTGTCCCTTGCGGACGATGGAGCCGGCGATCAGCAAGAGAAAGAAAACTTTTGCCGCCAGCTCACGCGAAGAGCTCTTCGAAAACCAGACCTGCTCAGCCTCAACGAGCCCCGTGTCGTGTCACAAGCCAAACCCACCGTCTGCCTCCGCCGTCCTTGAATTGCGCCGTTGTTCGTCTCGAAACTTGACAGCCCTGGTTTCTCCGTCATAATAGTTTCGACGGGCCGAGCCGTAACACTATTCGAACGGTTGGACCAAGCCGATAAAACCGTCCCAATCCTGCGCAAGGTTCACAATGATAGAACATCCGACGAAGACGGGCTGCTGCAGAAGCATGGCCAACACAAATACGACGGACGCCCGGTCCTACATCAAGCCGCAAACAAACAACATGGCGCTCAAGTTTTGTGACCACAAGTCGGTTTGCGGTTGCGAAGTACGGATACCAGCGGACAAGAGTCTATGCGACCGATGCGCTCAGGGGTTGTGCTAAAAGTTTCGGTCTCAAGTGGAGAGAAGGATTGTACGCTGGGGGGACAGCTGAACGGGACTCATGGTAGTCTACCGGTCTTTGGTCCTCTGCTCGACATGCGACGCGAGCGCAACGCGCAGTACCGTCCGCCACATCGAGTCGCCTGTGCGGCCGTATTGGGTGCGATTCTCGATTGTGTTTTTAGCGATGCAAAGGAATGGTTTCAAGTTGATTCGGCACAACGGCTTGGGACAGACTCTCAGCTGCCGGCAGTCAGACGCGAGTCTTGCGCATACTGGTCACGGCCACGGGCGGAATCTGTAATGAGGACGACGGATCCCTTGGTTGCGAATTCTGTTTTTATTTTTTGTATGTGCTTTGGAAATCGGCTTTGTGTCTCGCATTCGGCGCAATGCGTCGAGCTGAAAAGGGAGGAAAATGAGATTCGAGTCCTGCGCTACTGTACACCGCATAGATTAATTCACGCGCCCACGCACATTGTCGTTTTTCACGTGTCAGTGCCAATCGACAAGCAGTAGTCGAGCATAGGAGCTGAGCTTGCCGGGAGGAATCAATGTGATCTCTGCAGGGATGCGCACGCCGGGATCGTGCTGCTGTTGATGCTCGATTGGCGCACAACTATTGGGAACCGAGAAGACGACAGTGAGTCTGTATCTGGTGCATGGCAGAAACGAGGGTCGGGCAGCATAAGAATTATCCACGTACCACCAAGATCACTTGCGGCGGCAGAGAGGTAACAGTTGGAAAGCCGGGACCTTGAAACAGACAGAGAGAAACAAACGGGCAGGGTGAGAAGTCGTTGGCTATCTTTTGTTCACGAGACCTAAGAAGCGGCCCGTTCCTTTAGTAGGAAACCACGTGGGCGAATCAGCGCGCGAGCCTGCCTTTCAAATCGAAATGGGTGTTGAAAACAGTCGCCATTGGTCCACCTCTGGCAACTACTACCAACGGTTGACAGTGCCCGGCTTGGGTTCACTTTGGACAGCCGTACTGTCTGAGCCGCATCTAACTCTTTCCTTTTGCCAGGTACACGGCAATGCGGCCCAGTGTCGCTCGCATTAGGTAGGCATGGTGAGGAATGTGATTGAGATCCGGGGGTGGGGAGATTGCGCCCAGGCCAGGCCAGGCCAGTTGGCTACGAGGTTCACAGGGCGCGGGTTGGTACGTCGAGACAGTGGCGAGACCAACATGTGTATGGACTGGGGTATCAATCAATGCCTGGGTAAATATGCCGAGGACTCATTTGATTTACAAGGTTTGGAGACATACACCGGCGAGCCGGTCAGATCCTCTCCCGGGAAGATCTTGCTTTGTGAGGGCCAGTCAGCTGCGTCATTCACGAAACTATAGCATGCCAGTGCCGCCGAAGGGCATGAAAAGTGAGGTCATCTCGGGGTCGTATCATTCCAAAAAAAAATAGAAGAGTATGTGCATCATCTGTAGGGTATGTATGCCAGCATCTCCAAATAGGTATAAACTCCAATCCATCCTGAAGCCCAAACAGGAAGTCCAAGGCCAGAAGTGAAGGCCATCCGGTAGCCGAGGCTCCAAACCGCTTCCCACACACACCTAGAATAGTTACGAAAAACAAATGAAATGGTCTCCAATCAGCCTGTCCCCAGAGAATAACATCGGTGTCGGTCGAGAATCGAATTTGAGACAATAGCGACCAGGTAGGTTAAGTGGCAAGTGCCGTATCCATTTAGTTGAGGGCGACGGCGGCGAGACCAACGACGACGGCCAGGAGGCCGCTCTGGACAAAAATTCCAGAGCCGGCGCTAGCAGGGGACGAGGGCACGGCGGAGGCAGCAGCGGACGAGCCGGCCGAGGTCTTGATAGGGAGGACGGTGGACTTGGTCCAAGGGGCAGAGGCAGTCGGGCCGGCAAAGCTGGTGGAGTTGGCAGCCGGGTAGAAGTGGGACGAAGAGGAGGAGGAGGAGGAGGACGAGGAGGATGACGACGACGACGAAGAAGACGTCGAGGTGGAAGTAGAGGTCGTCGAGTTGATGGTCGGGACGATGATCGAGGTCGGCGTGTACAGGGGGCAGGCGGTGTTGGTCGGGTTGCACTTGGTGATGGTGATGGTCTTAGTGGTGGTCGCGGTCAGGGTCGTGGTGGTCTCATCGGCCGAGGACTGAGCAACGGCGACGGAGGCGGCCAAGAGAGCGAAGACGCTGGTGAAACGCATTTTGACTGATTGAATATGAACACGGCGTGTTGTGGTATAAATGATTCGACGCTTAGTGCGAGTCGATGTGTGACCAAAGCTGTTGAGTTTCTATCGGGATTGAGCTGTGAGCGTGCAGGCGTGGGTCGTAGAGAATGCAATGTCAAGGAACTGACGAGACTGTCTTGTCGGTATGGGTAATGATGGACTGAATGAGTGTGATGTGCAACAAAGGCACGACGACGAAGAGCAGTTGCAAGAGAGTGTGGGCACTGGACGCAGTGGTGATGAGAGCAACGGTGAGGAAGAAGCGAGACCGCAAGTCGTGTGTGGGAGGGGGGCGGGCGAGGTATTTCTCCTTTTATTAATTCGGCCGAACAACCACGATGACCTGGGGAGGTACGCCCACCACACGCACACACAAGCGCTTTGCTGGGCGTGGGCTACCGGAAATTTTTGCGAGCGTTAGGCGACATGGCGTCTCCTCAGTTCCTGCTTGTGCCTGTAAAGGCCCCGTCCCGCCGACCCTGTTGGTCGCCTGCGCGGCTGCGGAGGGTGTGTGGGTGGGCGGCCAGTGGGTGGCCAGTGGGTGCATGCTCGCGGACATGGGGGCCAAACTTGCATCTCTGTGCGCTCTGCTCGGCGTTGCCAGTTGCTTTTTCTCGTGCTGCTGATGCTAGTCATTGAACAAGGTGTGGACAAACCGACCAAGCCTGGGGGGGATTGCTACGCTGCCGTGCTGATCCGACTGCCAACCTTGAGTGCAAAGAGATGAGAAAGGCAGATCCCTGGCGGCTGGGGGTCAGGCAAATAGGCACAAGCATGAGGGTCGGCCATGGCCCTTGCCTCTTGTTATCTCTCTCTTTCTCTCTCTGAACACGGCCAAGGGACAGCCCGGGGAGGAGCGATAGTGAGAGGCCTGGCTCTGAGTGAGTCTGTCACTGTCCGACGTTCCTGTCACCTCCGTCCCAAGCCTGACCCTCAGGCCCAATGAGCCAGAAGCAGCTCGTGAGCCCGGGCGACGAGCATTATGGGATCGTGTCCAAAAATTGGGTCTGACGGATTCCTTGATCGATGGTGGCTTGGGTGATTGGCTGCGCAAACACAGCAGTGGACCGGCACTGCACGGCGCGGGCTTGGGCTTCGCTGACGGGACCTTGCTCTGGATTTTCTTAGCCTCCTTGGCCTGCAACTCCCACTGGTTCGTGCCTGGGGAGCCCTTGCGGGATCGCCTTCGCTATCCCAGCTAGCTGCATGCAGGAACAGCGTGCCCTGGTGCTTTGGAAAACAACTCATCCGAATTTGTGAGCAGATGACAGAGTCAGGACTCGTAGCTGCGCTGCGTCGCTTGGTTGCCATGCTGTGTCCTCGCTTTGCTGAGCATCGGGCCTCTCTGTATGCGCCGGATGTCGCGATGTCGCGTCCGTAGTCCATAGTACGGGGCGAGGCCTGGATCCCTCCCCTCCGGAACGTGGGCGACGTGGGAAATGCGACTGCCAATCGTTACCTGTCGAACCCAGAGATTTTCACCCTCATCACGTCTTCTCCATTTCCCGCCCCCAAAGAAAACACGCTGTTGGTTGGTGCTGTGAAAAGCCACTTGCTGGCCGCCACCCTCATCGGCATCCATACCATCGCTCTGCCCTCTCCCGCCATGGCGCCGACGCGGCTTGCTACCCGCTGACCGATAGAAGACCCCGCTGGCTGGAGGCCGAACCAGAGCCTAGTTTGTCTCGAGCTGCTCGGCCTGTTTATTTTGGGATGATGCGACTACCTAAAAAGGAACGAGCATTGGTTTGCTTCGCAACGGTGCACGGCGGAGGGACCAGCGACAGAAGCACCGTCCGACGTTTCGCTGCCCGCAGTGACGCTGTGCATCGTCCCGTGGTTATCGTTCGGTTGCTTGAGATTCAGGTTACTCCTCGCTCTGCTTGGTCATTTAAAGGTTCCGTGGTGTGACCCCAGGCCCTCCGGGGGCCCTGGCACCGAAACATCAGTCAGGCTGTTCCTCGCACAGCCAATCCAACGGCCTTGTCTTGAGTAACCATAAGCCGCTTCTACTATGTATGTACACTAGAGGGCTTCCCTGTCGGTAGCGGCTGCAAATCGGTTACGAGAAATGACCCCAATCATGGGGGACCCCACTGCCATTTCCCAATTGAAAGGGGGATGCGCAATCCTGTGGGAGGTGACAGTATTTGTAGGCCAGGACCCCGGGAAATCCTCATCCAGCTGGATCGAGCGGGTTTGCAAGCGTGGATGCACTCTCTTGTGAAATGAGGCCAAGATGCGTACAAGTGGGCGGCGATTAGCTCTTGGAGGGTCTGTGAAGATGACAATGATGTCGACAACGGAAGCGCTTCCTAGTATGGTCTTTGCGAGAGCGATCATCATCGAGAACCGATGGCGCTACCGGCACCGATACCACAGCAACCCGGTGCTACTCTGTGTGTTGCCATGCGTATCGTCGTCAATCGAGAAGGGGCGCTTGCGCAACCCGTAGTCTAGGCGATGCCAGAGCGCCCGAACAGCCCCTCAGCGCAGGTTCGAACCCTCTGAAACATTTGTTCATCGATTCTGGCCCCCGTTGTCACATCGTGCCATTGTTGTGCTTCTCGTCGAGGTGTGTTGCAACTGTGGCAGATGCCTCTTGCATAGTCGCAGAATGAGGAGACGCTTCGTTGCAAGGAGCCCTTGTTAGGCCGTTTGATGACTATGTCTGTCGCTTGCAATGAAGTGCTCAATGGCTTCATGCAAGCTGCAGACTGCATCGAAATCCCTCGACGAAGACGGCAATACGGCAACAGAGACAATAATCGTCGGGCTGACGGCAGAGCCCAGGTCACTCGTTGATGAGTGTCGTTATTGGGCTAGGATAGTTCACCATTGTGTCCTGCCATGCTGGCGCATGGCAGAAATTAGGTGCTGGCGACGGGATCCATCCCTCTGGGTTTGTCGACGTTCTGCGCTATTTGTGGAAAGCTTTGGACTTGGAAGCAACACCAGCTTGCGAACGGTCGACGCAAGCTGGTTAATGGAAAGAGATTCAGGTCCGACATGTTTGCCCGAAAGTTGCTGTGCAGCCTGGTGCTTCGTAGCGTAGAGTCGGTTGCACATGCACGCTATTCGGAAATGCCGAAGACCAAACACATCATCGTTTTCAGCCGAGAGTGGCCCTCGGGAAGGCGATGGGAGATGCAGGAGACACCTGCGTTGAGTCATTGGAGAACATTCTGGCTGGACGGTCTTGACGCAGATGGTTCTCATGCCAAGTTGCAGGAGCCGATGCCAGCGTTGGTTTTGATTGATGCAGCAGACGTACGATGCACGAAGCGGTCAACGTCGGTTGACACCGAGACGGTGTGCTAACATCATCACCACCGACCAGCTAGCTGGTCGGCCTGCGGCGTGTCATCGGGAAGGAGCGAAGCTGGCGGAGTCCTTGCTGGCACTGGCATTGGTATTGGTGGTGTAGTCGGTGGTGGACGCCTTGTCGCCGCCGATCATCGCGTGTCGCGCTTTCCACTTTTCTCTTTTGACCACCTCATCTTGCAGGTTTGCCAGCTCAACTCAGGAGCTACTCCTCTCGAGCCCGTCAGGCACTGCTGTGTTGTCTAAGCTCCATCATCATCACCACCTTCGTTTTTTGTAGTGTAGCATCAGGAGAGCACGGGGATTGGCTTCGCTGGAAGGATTACCCCGCCCCCGCAATCCTCAGGTAAGGCAAAGCTGCTAAAGAAGGTCTACCTGATCATACGTCTAGTACAGTGCCCGCCAGAGCTGAGTGTGCCGTGCCGCTCCCTACGACCCTTCGAGTTTCATCTGCGTGGAACCTCGCATCGCCCGCTGCTGGCTTGCCCGCGAAACACGCCGCACCGGCTCGTCTGGAACGTAGATACGTGCCATCGAGAACCCTCAATCCACGGTACGTAATGCAAAGCTCCATTCTGTACCCTGCACATCCCACATCATGCCATGTGTCCCATCTGCATCTGCATCTCCATCTCGATAGTTCCATGAGTCTGACTCTTTGCTGACGCACTTGACCCTCTTTAGCTTCCCAGTAGCTGCTCCCTTCTTTCTTCCCCCTTCTCACAAGCTCTTCCCTGCAACTAGTCTAACTCCCGCACATCCCCCGCCTCCAAGAACCCCGAACATTCAGTCATGGCGCAGTTGACTGCAACCACGTTTTCTACCGATCCGGCTCTCTGGATCTTTACCTCCCTGACCGCTGGATCCTCGCATATCGTCACCGCTACATCTCGTCTCGAAACCATCCTCCGCGCCAACCGCGTACCCTTCAAAGCCATCGACATCGCCACCGATGAAAAGGCTCGTATGCTCTGGGGCCGCCGTGCCGGAAAAGACGCCTCTGGCCGCGTAAGGAAGCTTCCGGGTCTTGTGCAAGAAGGCCTCGTGCTCGGCGTGAGTGAACCCCTATTTCCTGACCTCGATCAAGGTGGAGCCCTGAGCTGATAAGCTGCTTCTTTGTCCAGGACATCACCGAGATCGAAGAATGGAACGAATACGGCGAGCTCAAGCAGCACGTTAAGATCTACTACGACGAGTTTACGATCCCCAACATCAACAACAAGCCCAAGGAGCCTATCAAGAAGAAGATCATCAAGAAGGTCCCTAAGGGCACGCTGTCGGGGAATGCCTCGGCCTCCACCTCCGCAACCGCCCCCGCCCCTCCTCCAGCGCCTCCCCTGCCAAAGGACGAGAGCTCGACTCCCGCTGCTGCGAAGGACAAGTCTGTTGAGACACCTCGGGCCTCTACCGACAGCTCCTCTACAGTCTCTCACCGCTCCATCGCCGATGAGGCAGCTAAGAAGGCTAAGGAACTCCGGCTGCAGTCGTTGCGCGATAAGGTCTACGGCAAGAAAGACGACAAGGCTGCTGAAGGCAAGAAACCCGAGACCGATGCGTCATCCGTGGCCACCACCGAATCCGAAAAGAAAGTGGAGGCTGTGACAGACGCCTCAAAGACACCAGAGACGCCCCGGAAACCCTCTGTAGCTAGCACCGGCAGCGGCTCCTCGCTCCAGAACGCCAAGCCCGCCGGCCTCCAGTCCCCGACCACGGGCTCCTGGGGCGCCGCCGCCATGACCACGAACCCCGAAGCCCTGCGCGAGACCCTGCAGTCGCCGACAACTGCCCGGTGGAAGCCCTCCGACGTTGATAAGCCCGTAACGGTGCACATGGGCGCCGCTGTGGCGTCCGCGTCTCAGGAGGAGATTGCCGCGATTGAGAAGGCCGAGGCCATCCAGGAGGAGCCTGAAAAGGAGCATTCCGACGAAGAAGTGTCGCAGAAGAAGATTGCCGAGGTCGAGAAGGCGCAGGCCATCAAGGAGGAGCCCGAAAAGGAGGTGGTTGAAGACTCTACCAAGGCCGCCGTGCCGCCAAAGGAGACGGCGCCGAAGGAACCCCCAGCGACCGAAAAATCCGAGACCGCTACAAAGACGCCACAGCCGGAGGATGACGACGACGACGACGACGATGACGACGATAGCGACGACAGCGACGACGACGTAAGTGAACCCGAGGCGAACCCGGACGAGGCTAAGGCGAGGTTGGGATCAGAGGAAAAGGATGCAAAGGCAAAGGCAGCTGAGCCCAAGTCTGGAGGAGAGTCCAAGTCTGAGGGAGAAGCCAAGTCTGAGGGAGAACCCAAGCCTGATGGAGAGCCTGAGAAGTAGCTATGTCGCACCAAGGGTCAAGTCGAGAAGTTGTTGGATGCCGTGGTGGAGATGATGAATTTTATGTACGATGAGATGATTGCTATCCCTTCGTCATACGCTGGACTCTTTTTGCAGTGGGGTGCCATTTTCTGTATGGTAAAGCTTGTTTGCTTCAGGGGACGCCGACCTCTTCACTTCAAATCCCTCCACTTCCGATATTCTCAAACAATTTCAATTCCCCAGGGGTTCCGTCTCATATGCAAGTTATGATGCTGCTCGGTGCCATCCGCCCCCCCTATTTTCAAGATTTTTAATACAGACCCTCGTCATCACTCGCCGTGCCATCCTGGAATCCCGCAACAGCCTTTCCCTTGCCCTTACCCTTTCCATTCGTTACCGCGACCTCACCCTCGGATTCGTAGTCGTCGTCACTGCCCAGCGCCACGGCCTTGCCCTTCCCCTTGGAGGACGCCGCAAAAGCCTTGCCTTTGCCCTTGGAACTGCCCCTCGACACGACCGAGGACCCGGACACGGCCCTGACGGCCCCCGCGGCGGGCCGTTGCAGCTGTGCCTGCTTGTCCTTGTCGGGCGACCCCTCAAAGCTCGCCCTCACCCTCTCGTAGTGCGCCAGCTCGCCGGCGCTGACACTCGGCACGAGCTCCTCGTGCGCCCGCATAAAGTCCTCCTCGGTGACCATGACGGCGATGTCGTCGGGCGTGGCGTGGTGGTCGAAGAAGTAGGCCGTCGAGATGGGCGGGCGCGACGGCGCGCGAGCGGCGTTGATGTCGCGAATCTTGGCGTCGACGGCCGCCGCCTGCCGCGTGACGGCCTTGAGCATTGCGTCGCTGCAGAGGGCGTAGAAGTCGGCACCCGTGTAGGTGAAGGGGAGCCGCTGGGCGACGGACTGCAGGGAGACCGAGGGGTGGAGGGTGAACCTGGGTTGGACGTGTCAGTGTACGCACACGCGGGGGCGCGTTTTGGCTTTGGGGGACTTACTTTCTCGTGAGGGCTTCCAGGATGGTGAGCTGCTTGTCGTGGGTATCGGACACGCCGAGGTAGAGCATCTTGTCGAAGCGCCCGGGACGGAGCAGGGCGGCGTCGAGCAGATCCGGCCGGTTCGTAGCGCCGATGACGAAGACGCCGCCGCTCGTATCGTCCCCGCCCGACATGCCGTCGAGCTCGGCGAGCAGCTGCGAGACGATACGGTCCATGACGCCGCCGCTGTCTCCCTGGTTTCCGCGCTTCGGCGCGACGGAATCCAGTTCATCGAAAAAGACAACGCAAGGGCGCGCGTCGCGGGCACGTTGGAAGACGCGTCTGACGTTGGCCTCGGACTCTCCGATGTACATGTTCAGCAGCTCGGGGCCCTTGACGCTAAAGAAGTTGAGGCTGTACTCCGTCGCGATCGCCTTGGCCAGTAGTGTCTTCCCGGTTCCCGGGGGTCCGTAAAAGAGGATACCGGACCTCTTCTTCATGCCCTTGGCGAAAAGCTCGGGTCTCTCCAGGGGCAACTGGATGGTTTCCGTCACGGCATCCTTGACGTTGTTCAGGCCGCCCACGTCATCCCATGTGACGTTCGGAATCTTGGGAGCTCCGATGGCGCCTGCAAAGTTCTTTCGTGCGGCCTCGACAGCGACCTCGAAGTCGCCCTTGGTGACACATCGAGCCATCGGCCCACCGGCTACCTGAAGGTCCCGCACCGTGACGGCCTGGCCGGTGGCTTCTGTCTTCGATGATATCTGCTCCAGCCGCAGTCGCTGTGCGATGAGCGCTCGATCCACCACGTCCACTAGGTCACCGGCCACCAACGCAGCAGTCTTGAGAGCCACGCCGTTGAGGTCTACTTCGGGATCGAGGTTGATGCCCCGATCCTCGATAATAGCCCTGAGAATGCCTTCACGCTCAGCTTCGTCAGGGGCACCCATCTCAAGCTCGTGGCTAAAAAGACCACGGACTCCATCTGGGACCTTGTCGACATCGCTGGTAGTGGCAATCAGCACCCTCGTGTCCTGCAAAACTTCTCGCATGGTCGACACCATGCGGTCGGCCGTCAACGCTTCGATGTGCCTGATCAGCAGAGCGGTCGTTTCTGGGCCACAGCTCATCGCTCTTTCGGCCCTAGTCCGCAGGAGACCTTCCGTCTTAACATCACTGCCGCTGGTTCCTGCCTCACTGAGGATGTCGTATGCGTCAATCGAGTACGTGTGCAGGCCAATGTCGGAGCAGGCTTCCGATGCTACAGTTGCTTTGCCTATATTGCGGTGCGTGGCAGTAACAAGAATGGCAACTGGCGGCATCTTCAGGTGTATTGCTCTGGGACTGGTGGCAGCAGCAAGCAACTCCCGCAAACGTCTTCTGAGAGGCGAGATGTAGCGCTGGTCCTGGTCAGGGAGCGTCAGTGCCGAAGCACTCGGTGCTTTTGTGGGCATCTTCTTGACCCCAAGATAATAAGGCCATGTGTTGGATTTGGTTGCAGGTATGCGGTGTGTGGCAAAGCCGGAGCCGTGCATCGCGACAGAAGAGCTGTCGATGCATGCCACCCCTCCCCACAGCTCTTCAGACTGGTCGTTGTCGGCATCAGATTTCGACATCTGAATGTGGCCAACCTTGAACCAGGCCACTTGATCAAACCTTGCCGACCCTTCCTTTGACAAAGCCATCACGTCATCCACCTCAGACCCGTTGCTTCCGCTGGGTTGCTCTTGGAGCGCTTTGCCCAATTGTGTGTCAATAGGCACGGCGATAAGATCTCCTGTCCGTACAAGTCGGATCTTCTGGGCAAAGTAACGCTTGAGACCGCCCAGAACCGCCGATTGGTAAGCTCGTTCTGCAGTCACTGGTGACCGGACGTGCTGAATAGTGATGTCGCGAGCGTACGGAGGCCGTGAGGCGCTCGTGAATTTAGGAAGAGTTCCCTTTCCTTGATACGTTCCGCGTTTGATAGGTGACAGCCGGAGATACGACGGTTCCTCAAGATTGGCCAATAGGATTGGGGAAATGTAGGCTGTTGGGCTGGTCGGCTTCTGGAGTTGGGAATCGAAAAAAGACAATCTGCGCTCGCCATGCTTTGCACTTGGTATCCGCGTGACTGGGCGCTGAGAGTACCCCTCCGGAAGACCGTAGACCCTCACCGGGCGCCAACTGGATTCAACCGGCTCTAGTGATGTGAAGCTTCCGAGTCCGAAGGCGCCGAACCCGTTGGCAGGAGGTTCCTCGGCAGCCTCGACGCGGACCCAGTCTCCGGAGAAGCAACCAATCTTGGATAGGGAGGCAATGTCTACAAAAACCCTTGCCTCATCATCGTCCTCCGGCGCCGGCTTCGGGTGAAGAAGGTCCACGGGAATGGTTCGAACCAGCCCCTGAGCTCTAAAGAGTCGGCCCCTAGGTCGGTCTGGACGAGCGGTAGTTGCGGTATAGTTGGAAAAGACGGAGGCAGGTGTTGCAATGCCGTTGGTTTTCTTTCCTCTTCCAACCGTCATCGGGGTTCCTGGCTGCATTGTAGACACGCCACTTGCAGCCGTCGTAGGTAGTGTCGGTGCCTGCAGAGAAATCATGTCATCCATGGAGTCGTCGGAGAGATCGTCATCTTGGTCGACGCCAGAAAGCTCCGACTCCTCAGTCTCAGTCACGGAGTCTATCTCGGTATTCGCAGCGTCCGTCTTGTACCTATCTTCTGCAGCCGAGAAGAACTGATCATTGGCAGTATCCTCCTCCTCATCCTCGGGAACACCGTTCAGGCTCCGGTTTGGGGGGATTGAGGGAGCGGCTTGGCCGCGCTTCGCATGTACCCGCCCTCGCATCAAGACGATCTTTGTGGTCTCGGACAGAATTCCTTGACTCACAGGCTCGCACAGCATGATCTTTCCGGGATTCGGCGGGATATGAGTGACTGGGTGCGGTGGTAGAGGGAGTGGGAAGAGGTCACCAGAGTGAAGGACCCTTAAACTGCCCAAAGCTACGCGCAGGGACGAGATAAGACGAGCTTCGGGAGTTTCTGGAACGGTGTGACCTTTGCCATTGACGTTACTTGGATGGTCGCGGTAAAAGGTCCCTCGCCTTGTTCCAAGCGCTTCGTCAATTCGCTCTCGAGGCTGACGTATACTGTGTCCAACGACAGTGCAACCACGTCTAATATCTGTATTTCGATGCCGCTACGACTGTTACTCGAGAGCTTCGACGGCGCAACTTGCTGGAGAATAGTCGCAAAGTTCTGTAGAGACAAGGACGAGGGCGAGAATTGGACGGTCGAGTGTTTGAGAGCCGAGGATTTGACTACGGGCACCACCGTCCAGGCGGTTTCGGTCGGAGATGGGGTCGGCTCCCAGGGAGCGATGGCGACATGGCGGATGGCCTCGGAGCCATCTTCACGAGAGGGCACTACATGACAATTCAATCAGCAACTGCGTGCGAACATTCACGTTGCACAGAGGCGCATTCTCACCATCGCGGAGGTGGGGGAAAAGGTCTGTGAACAGATCCTCGGATAGAATGCCCACGTCGCCCCTCACATCGTGATCGTCCAGAATCAGCCTTGCTGCGATCGCGGGCTTGTCTTGACGACGCCTCCGCGACCTCTTGTTCCTTCTAGCCAGCGACGGCGGCGCAAGCTCTGAGGTTGTCATTGTATCGTTCGGCAGGCGGACCAGTTCAAAGCAACGGAGCGTGGCGCGCCTTAGATGCGCATTGCAGTGTAATGGGCGCAAAGCTTCGAGGTTGTTGGATGAGAGAATGAGCGGATGTTGGAGCAAGCAATGCGAGCAATGCGAACAACTGGAATCGGAAGGTATCAACAGTCGTGCGTTGACGAGTCCATGTCGCGAAGCCCGCGTCGAGGAGCTAAGCTAAGGTATGGTTGGAGGTAAGGTCCCTGGATCGGGCTGGGGTCGGGGCCGTCTCCAGCTTCGGCTTGGGGAAGCGTTAGGCCTCGGCATTGGCACATTGGATAATTGCCAGCTGCAGCCGGCAGCACAGCGACCTCCAGCCACCAGGGATCTCCGCTGAGGACAGCTCAGTGACTCTGCAGGTTCTACCTACACTAATCAACAAGCCCGAGCGGGGGAAGCATGACTAATCATCTGGGGTTGAATGTCAACCCCGAATAACCTCCGCTGCCAGGTCCCAATGTGCTTGTGCGACCACTAATGGCTTCTCAGCAGCCGACTGTCAGTCCTCCGCCTCCAAACATGTGATCGATCCAGGATCTTCCAAGACACTGCCGCGCATGTCGTCGTCTTTTCTTCATCTCATCTGAAATTGAAGGGGAAAAAGAGTTCTTCAAGAACGACGAGCGACTGAACCATCGCACTTGTCCGAGGCTAACTGGTGAAATTCATTATGAGACGAAGCCGCAGAGTCAAGCGACAACGCACCACTCCTATAGTATTCACAGGAAGAAACTGCTAACCCCGCCCCCTCTTACATCCTCGAGACACAAAATACAAGATGATGCAAAGGGTGGATGGGCTAGCAGTCAATCACATGGCCGATGGTGTTTTCCGTCATATACGCCAATTGATGAGAAAACCAAGAATATGACCTCCGTGTCGATACCAGTATTGCCCTGGGTGCTGATATGATCAACCTCAAGTAAATAAAAAGTGGCTCATATCTAGGTGTTCATTGCTGTACAGACACTCGCGGCGGCCGAGGGTGACGACGTATGCGACTCCATATTCGCTCAGGGTGGTATCCAAACGGGCCGTCCTGACCCAGCAAATGGAGACTCCATAGAGCCGGAGCCGCAGCACACTGCATCAGCCAGTGTTCGTAAGGTGGCGACCGCAAAGCCTGTTGTCATTTTGCTAAACCAGCACCCTCTTGAGTACCAAGGGATAACCACACAAGATGACGACAAAAGGTGACATTCAAATCACAAAGAGGGAAAGTATAACCTCGGTAAGGCAATCCACGAGGGAGGTCGAGGAGAGGAATGAGGGTGAAGGGCTTCGATTCTCCAACAAAACAAGGATGAGTTGGTTCAGTACAGAGTTGCGAACCCAGTGTGTCATCCGCCCAGGGCATGCCAGCTGTGATGACAACCACTAGAAAGTATTCGTACTTGGGTGTTTGGGACGGGTTTTCACTGTGGTGGTTGTGTTTCTTAAGCAAAGTTCGTTATAGTCGCATGAGACCCTGTACCTCACCGATGGTGGGTTGGTAGCGGACCATGTGATTGGCAGATGAGGCGCGATGTCTCTCCATGGTTCAATGATTGCCAGTTCGTGGTTTGTTTATTCTTGATGGACGGTAGACCCGTTGAAAATCAGGCACAGCGGGCTCTCGATGTTTGTTGATGCTGTCAGTACACATCAATGATGCTTGTTTCCAAGACAAAAGTTGGGATCGTCACATGCTTTTTCCCTCCCAGATTTGCAACGCCAATCACTGCCTACCATTGAGCAAATGCTCCGAACGACAGACATCGCAATGACGCAAGCGGGGCTCCACCCGGTTCAAGCCACACCCTCTAGTGTTCTGGCCCGACATTTGTGAGACCTTAGCCGGCAGCGTTTGGCCCGTTCTTCAGCGCCTCAATGGCAGTACGCACTGCAAACTGCAAATGACAGGGAGGCCTTGGGGGCTCAAACAAAGTTTCGAATGGCGGCTGGACCTCGTGGGGTGTAGGCTTTCTTTGCGAATCGGACGGGTGTGCGCTCTGTCGTGCTGCCCCGATCCGAAGTAACATTGACAGGAGGTCGAGACCGCTGCCAGTAGCCCGTACCGATGGGATCTGGACCGACCTCATCAGTCCATGATTGTGCGGTGAGCCCGACTGGTTGTGATGTTAGCATTGGTCAACTCGCGAGCGCATAATACCTGCGGTCAACGCCCGACTTTTCAAATTTATTCTTCCTCTTATCTTTGTTAGTCCGCTAGAGTCCCCGAGTTCGCCTCTCCCTTGCTAATCACCCGCCAACCGATCCGTTCTGGCCACTCTCCTGGTCTCCAACTAGTAATATTAGTGTGTCCGTATCCTTACATCCCCAATTTACTCTCCCACCCCTCCCCCCTTCTTCGTTCCGGATCTACTCTCTGCTTCCCTGCCTTGGCCGCCTCGACACTTCCATGAAGCCTGTTCATGCCATCAGTGGCTGCGAAGAGGACATTTGACGAGTAAATTTCCACTTCGCTTGCCTTCTTTCCCAGCTCTATTTCGCACACTCTTGCTGTCGCGCGAAGGAAAGCGACTACATCCCCCTTTTCAGCGCCCCAATCCCAACGACCCTCGAGATTTCGCGACTTTTGCGACGCTGGACACCGGTTTGCCCCTTTTGCGCGGTACCCCCAAAGACATGGGCAATTTTTCCGAGTCTCCGGACCGTAGCCGAGACCGAACACGCGACAATGGCGTCGCACATGCTGCCGTCGAGTTTGCTCAACAGGCCGAGAAGCTGTCGCTGCCGAACCACCAGAACAACGACTCCGAGGTCGCCGTCGAAGCTCGATTCGTTACACCTCAAGACCCCATCGTGGTCACCTCGGAGGGCAACAGGCTCCCGGGTGTGCCACTCGTCGAGGCGCACAAGCTGAACGTTCTCAAGGAAGAACTTAAAAATGGCCCAGCTGTAGTCAAAATTAAGCAAGGAAGTGACACGGAGGAAGAGATTGACAACGGCGGAAAGGTCCCAGGCAAGCAGGAAAAGGTCATCTCGCTACCAACAGACACAAACGGAAAGGCGATGCAAAAAGCAGAAGAGGGCTCCCTTCGTCGCCAAACGCCGCCATCACACACCAACCCCTTATTCCCGCCACTACCTCTCTATGGACCGCCGTCGTTGCTTCGCGATTTACATTGTCTTGTTTTCCGCATCTCGTCCTTCTTCCTGAGTCTGGCTTTTCTCGGAGTCATTGTACTTGGTGCACTCTTCACTAGCATACCATCATTGTGCAGGCAGGTGTTCTATCGTCTGACTTTGCGTAATCCGGACAAGACGAGGCCTTTCTTCGAAGAGGAGGCTCGCAGGAACAAGGTGCGCAAGGAGGAAAATAAAAAATGGGGGCGCAGAGAGAGCCTCGGCAAAGGCAGGGAGCTCGCCGATGAGTTCGTCCCAACGGAAGGGGGCCCGGACCCAATTGTCTGCGATGTTGGATACTACGCTCGTCGCGTCGGTCTCGACGTCGAAGAGTTCCAGGTTCAAACCGAAGACGGGTTCCTCATCGACTTGTGGCATGTATACGACCCCAAGGAATACACGAGAATGAGCGAAGACGACAGATCAGACAGAGGACCCGACATTTTCACTGCCTCCAAGAAGAAACTCAGGGACCCCAGCCAGAAGCGCAAGTTTCCCGTCCTACTCATACACGGCCTTCTCCAGAGTTCAGGAGCCTACTGCACCAACGACGATGATTCACTGGCATTCTACCTTTGCAAGTCTGGTTATGACGTCTGGCTTGGCAACAACCGCTGCGGCTTCAAGCCCAAGCATGCCTCGCTGGAGTACTCCGACCCGCGAATGTGGTGCTGGAACATCCGCCAGATGGGTGTTTTTGACCTGCCGGCGCTGACCTCTCGAGTCCTTTACGAGACCGGCTTCGAGAAGATCGGCTTGATCTGCCACTCGCAGGGCACGACTCAGACACTCGTCGCGCTGGCAAAGGAGCAACGGCCAGACTTGGGCGAGAAGCTGACGGTATTCTGCGCCCTGGCACCAGCTGCCTACGCCGGGCCCTTGATTGGGAAGATGTACTTCAAATTCATGAGAATCATCACGCCAGGCATGTTCAGGTTGATGTTCGGTATCCACGCCTTCATTCCCTTCATGATGCAGATGCACCAGCTGCTCCACCCCAAGATCTACGGCTGGCTCGGTTACAAAGTTTTCTCTTTTCTGTTCGACTGGACGGACACGAGGTGGGATCGAGGTGTAAGGGACCGCATGTTCCAGTTTGCGCCCGTCTACGTCAGCGCAGAATCAATGCGTTGGTGGCTCGGAAGAGAATGCTTCGCAAGGCACAAGTGCATCCTCTCCACCAAAGAGGACGTCCGCGCCGAGGAGAAGGAAGACAACATCAACGGACACGACTGCCACACCCTCCGGGCTGACGATGCTGACGGGCAGATGTCTCAACGGGCCCTGGACGAACACGCCCGCAAACCCAAGGGATCAACCGCATGGTACAACGAGCAAGCACCACCCTTTGCCCTCTGGGTCGCTGGAAACGACGACCTCGTTGACGGCAAAAAGCTCCTCCGCAGATTCGAGCGGGGCCGCGAGCCGCATGTCAACGTGGTCCATAGCAAGGTCATCCCCGAGTACGAGCACCTCGACGTCATTTGGGCGATGGATGCCCCTGAGCAGGTGTTCAAGGAGGTCCGCGAGGTGTTGTGGAAGACCTGTGACGCGAGAGACAAGTGTCGTGTTCCCAAGGGTTGCGAAGACGTCAAGCAGTGGACGCCACCGAACAAGACTGCGAACGTGGAGTCGGAGGAGAGCCAGTCCAGCAGCGACGATGCCGAGTAAAAGCCGAGTACGGCCCTGCGGCGACGATTATTGGATATCAACATGTCGAGTATTGGAATCGAAAAAGGAGCGACGCGTGTTTCGTATATACATACCATGGGCGGCAGATACACGTTGGGTTCCCAGCATCGCGTAGGAGTCGGAGTGTTGGTATTGGATTACACAAGGGTTTCAAGCATAGCACACGTATGAGTAATGGTAATGAGGACATAGACGCAGATGAGCCTTGGCTTCGAGGGCATACAGAGATGGTCATACAAAGACTAGACGAGATATATGAATATTTTATCACATGGAGATTTATGCCTAGGATTCTTGCGCGATTGCCGTTCCCACTTGAGTGATGGTTTTGGCCTTTGTTCAGTAAGTGTACATATAATTTCGATGATTTTCACTAAGAATAACAGGCCGGCAAACACCTTCGACCGGTTACTCATTAGGAGAAATTTAGAGTTCTTCCCTAGGGCTAGTTGTTCTCTCTAGTAACCAGGCTCTCCTATGTCTGACACTGAGCCAGATCGAATATCACTAATGCTTGCTTAGTCCGTTTTGCTTATGTCACGGACATTGTTCTTCTCCTTATCTGCAAGCGTTCGTGACCGTATCTCACAACAGCTAGCACCAAGGCAAAAGCCAATATTCCAATGTTCGCGTCAAAGGCTTTGCGGTAGCGAGGCTTATCGTCTTCCTGGAAGAGTTGTGCACCATAGATCGCTGCAATGTTTGCACTCATTATAATCCTGGTTGAATCGGTTGGCGGGCCCTCAAAGTAGGGGTGACTGTGCTCGCAACTTACATTGCCATAGCCAACGACCGCTCCTCAGAGTCGCTGCAACTCAAAGACATCCACGTGATGTTGAGAGGGTGGGGAAACGAAGCGAATATCTGTGTCCAGACGACGCCGAAATACCTGACGCCGCGGTTATTGATCTCGGTGAAGATGCGGTTGAGAACGTAGCCAAACATGTGCATGCCAATCGCGGCGATGGTAGTCTCTCCTCTTTTGTTGCTTAACATACTGTTAGCTGGAGGCGTTCTTCATTGGACAGCTTCCAGAGAAAACTTACAAGCGATCAGACACCCAGCTGAAGGCAAACGAAACGGGGACCTGAAGGAACAAGCCCACGGCAGCGAGCGCATTGCTCGTCAACGACGGGAATCCAAAGCTTCTGATGATAGTCGGGCCGTAAGTATCGAAACCTCGGAAAGGTCCATTGTTGCCAAGTGTTATGAAGATGTGCACCCAAATCCGCCAGTTTGAGAACTGCAAAGGTCTCGTTAACGAACCATTATGGGGATACGGCCATGGGCTTGACTCACAGCCTTTTTGAATGACGTGATGCCGATGTGCTGCTTCTTCCTCTCTTTGTTCGTATCATCGAGCATCACACGCGTCTGCAGAATATGGATTTCTCTTGCGGTGAAGAAGTCATGACGAGGGATGAACCAACTGTGAGGGTTATGGAACGCGTCCGGGAGGCAGAAACCTAGAACCACGCCGCTGGCCATGGTGAAGGCGCCCATGATGATGAACAGCCAAAACCATCCCGGGTATCCTGCGACACCCTTCATGTGGAGGATGCCGTAAGCTATCAGCTTGGCGGACGCCTGGCCTAATTGGTTACCGAAGAAAAACACCATGACCCGTTTCGCTGTTTCGTTGCGTGTGTACCACGTTGAGAGCGTCCAAAGACCTCCGGGGATATAGCCCGACTCCGTAACTCCGAGGAGGAAGCGAGTCACAAGGTAGCTCGAGTAGTTTGTCTGAAAAGCTTGAAACGTGCTGACTGCACCAAATAGAAAGAGCTGAAGGGTCAGCCACTTGCCCGGGCCAACCTTATAGAGGATCATGTTGGAGGGGATCTCAAAGAGCACAATTCCCAGTGACAGTAGCTGTTGCCCAACATTGAATTGAAACTGGGTTATGCCGACATCCTCCATAAATGTGTCTGTTATGGCATTCGCGATGTTTCCTCGGTCAAGTTCTGCACATTTGTCAGATTCAGAGCTCCAGTGACGACATAACCGCACTCACGCAGGCAGAAAAAACCAAGAGTAAGCATGGGCATGATGATTAGGTCCAGCCTGTACAATGAAAGGCCATTAGAGACGTCCAGGTGTGAACAATCACTCAGTTATTGGAAACTCACTTCCACTTTGCTTTTCTCTCCTCCTCGGGCGTCCAGTCAACCCGAGGAGCGTCAGTCTTGGTGTCGTCTCCATCTTGGGCGATAGATGCGTTTGTTTCAGACACCGTGAAATCTTGTGTAGCCATTTTTTCGTTGGACGAGAAGACAAGTCTCTAATGTGCTCAGTTGGTCGCAGAACCACTGGCTGGCAGATAGGGCTCAACGTGCGAGCAGCTGTTTCAATTTCTTCGTTGATGAACTTGGACAAAAACTCGTAGTTAGAGTCAATAAACAGCAGCCAAGGGTAATATAAATCGTTGTGACCGGCTGGTGTGTCCCCGAGCTAGGTAATCGGCCCATCTTCTCTGGAAGCAAGATCTTTTCTTCCAGGGTATTTCTGCCATCCTCCTTTTTTGACCCTGCTCAGGCTGAACAGGCGGTTAGGAACAAGAGGATTGCGTGCTTTTTATGGGGGTCAGTAGGGGTCGGATTGAAGCCGAAATGGCCCGTAGAATACGTAGGCTTCACGTTGTGAGTACGGCTTTGTGGAATCAGGACGTGGCGGCGTGGACGAAACTACGTGACACGACCGGCGGCGATATCAAAGTACTTCTACCCCCAAGTTACCGAATCGCTGGTATCCCTGTTGCAAATCTACGCGCTAGATAGAGTACCAGTTCGGGCAGATTTCGCCTACTCGGGCCAACACCCAACGATCACCAATTCAGACAACACATCTTGCCATCTTGACTATGCTACCCTCCTGAGTCACGAACAAAGCTTGAAACAAAGAGTGACGACGAAGGTGACAAGACATCTATCTCGCTGTAAGAAAGCTGCTGGTCCTTAATGACACTCTTGAATGTTTGCACACTCTACTCGAAAATGGGCCTAAGTAATGTAAACATCTCCGTATGCAGTGGTGCCGGGATAGGGTGTTCAGATGCGATATCTTATCCCCGCAAGAAAGCATGCTTAGTTGTGGCTATCGAAATCACGCCATCTCCCCAGTAGATTCGATCATCAGGATGTTCCAAACAATGCAGGCCCTATGTCGGGAAACTTCCGGCGACGGGACGTCGTTCCCACACCATTCGAGCGATTGTCGACTTTTTGTGAATTAGTGAGTAGACACATAAGTCCAGAAAGTTATAGACCACCTGCATTTTGACGGACCTCTACATTATACCATCTGCATACCTAACCCGACTGCTAGCAGTGAAGATGAAGACGTTATCCGACGACCAGCTCGTAAGCCTGGCAGGCCAATACTTTGCCCCCAAAGACTTGTATAAGTACACGAAAAGTCTACCGTTTCTCGGCGACCTGAAGTGTAACACAACGTCACTCGTGGCAGGCCAATGGACCGAGATCATCACCGAATACACAATCGGTGCCAGTGGACTCGCCGACGGAGCTTGGATCAAGGGAACCTTCAAATTCTACTCCGACTGGGCCTTGTTCCAAACTTCGGACCCCAAGCAGGACAACTATGTCTCGGCCGAGTACGCCCCCGGCCCGCTGCATGACGGTCAGACGCCGGCAACGGTACAGTCGCTGTCTGTTCGCTTCGACCAGAAGGGTCATGAAAGACCGTTCCAGAAGGCCATCATCATCGACATTGTTGATGGGTACATGAACCCTGGCGATAAAATCACTATCCGTATTGGCGACAGGCGATGGGGCTCGCGCGGGACACGGGTGCAGACCTTTGTGGAGGATAAGTTCCTGATGAGATGGTACATCGACCCGGTTGGGACCTCAAGATTCGCGCCCATCAAGCCAGACATTGCGTTTCCCATCAACCCCGGACCTGTTGCCCGGATCAAGGCCATCACTCCTCGTCTCGTTAAAGCAGATGTTGCTTTCCCCATCCACATTCATACGGAAGATGCGTGGGGCAACGCGACGACCAATCTCAACGGGTTGGAAAGTCAAGTGACCATTAAGAAAAAAGGTTCTGACGTAGTCTGGGAGCGTCGTTTGTCTTTCCCCAGCCAAGGCTGGACCGTCGTCAACGACACTGTATCCCTGGATTCTGACGGTGACTACGAAGTGTCAGTGACGGTACTCAACAGTGACAGTCCCGTCGTCAAAACACAAGACTACATCTCTGTCGAGTCGTCGATTCCTATCCCCCGCCCACTCTACGCAGATCTCCACGTTCACTCGGATGACACAGTGGGCACCAACTCAACGACGTACAACTTTTCATATGCCCAACAGATCGCTGGCCTCGACATTGTGGGCTACACAGCCAACGACTTCAACATCACCAAGGAGCGCTGGGAAAAGACGCTGGAGATCATCAAGCAGGTCAACTCGGAGGGCGAGTTCGTCGTATTCCCCGGCACGGAATGGTGCGGCAACTCCGCGGCAGGTGGGGACCACAATGTTGTCTTCCTCGACGATCCAGAGACGAGTCGTCCCGAGTTCCCCTTTGACAGGAACGGCAACGTGGCGCGTAGTTTCGAGTGGAACGAGAACGGTCCGGCGGAACTGGTGCCGGGCGCCTGGCCCCTTGACGAAGTGTATGCCACCTACGCCCATTCACCAGAAAAGCATCTCCTCATCCCGCATGTTGGCGGCCGGAGGTGTAATCTAGCGTGGCATCATCCTCAGCTGGAACGTCTGCTCGAGATCGGTAGTGCATGGGGCCTCTTCGAGTGGCTCCTCCGCGACGCTGTGACCCGTGGCTGGGAGATGGGAGTTTCGGCCAACTCGGACGAGCACCGTGGCCGTTGTGGTGGCGGGGTGCCGGGAACGGCCGTGTTTGGCACCAAGGGCGGCTTAACCGGCGTTCTGGCCGATAACCTGGAACGCAGTGAGGTTGCGAAGGCGCTTCGCAGCCGTAGGACGTTTGCCACCACAGGAGAACGACTCGTCGGCCTGGTCAGCACGGGCAATGGCGAACTCCAAGGCGACGACGTGGTTGTGAGAGCCGGTGAGTCTGTGAAACTCACATATCGCTTCTTCGGCTCGAGTGGCTTCTCCTCAGTCGAGGCTTGGGATGCCAGTGGGCGAGTCTTCCATCGTGACCTCCAGCAGGAAGCGTCCGAGCACGCAGAGAAGTCGACGCCTAGAAAGATTCGCGTCAAATGGGGAGGCGCCCGTGTCTACGATAGATACCGCGAGACGGTTTGGCAAGGCTCGATCCTCGTCCCAGGCGCCGTCATCTCGTACGTGCAGCCGTTTGGGGGCGTGTCGGACAATAGTGAGGACTTCGTGAAGCGGATCTCTGATTCGCAAGTCGTCTTTGACACACGCACTAGCGGTGACTTTGACGGCGTCGACATTTTCCTAGCCGAAACCTCTGATGCGCCTTCAACTATCAGAGTCTCGGGCCACGTAGGCGGATATGTGAAAGTTGGCGACGCACTCAAGGGCAATCCACACAAGCCCCAGCCGCGGTTCGATTTAGTCGTCAGTGAAGAGGAAGCAAAGAAACCCAGCGGGATAAAGGAGGAGATTCGCGGTGGCGCAGAGCTCTTCGTCTCTGTCGAGAGTTTGCTGGCTGTGCCGCTGCCCAGGAGAGTCGAAGGCAGTTTCATGGTTACGGCAGGCTCTTTGGACACCGGTCACAGTCGAGCTGTCTATTTTGTTGGAAGAGAGCACTCGGGTGGCAAGGTTATTACCAGTCCTGTATTTATTAAAAGCAAGGTGGAATAGCCTGCAGGAACATAGCTTGCAGGAACTTGGCTGGTGATGAATTAGAGTGTCACATATAATACTGCTTACGTCGCAATCTTGACTGGGGTGTAAGGTAAACTCAGAGTTCCCCATTGTGTTGTGCCTTTACTTTTAAACAAGCACAAACTTTACAAGATGCTTAGTTGACCAGTTTATCCCTAATTGGTTGGCAAGTGTAAGATGTCGGGTGTGCTGTGCGGTGACTTAGGTTAAGCTAACACTAGTCCGCCTGCTCATCCCGTCTCCTTTTCTCTTGCCGTGCGTTGGCCAAAGATATCTCCAGCCGTTGAGCGCAGGACGAATAGACACCTGTAGTGGCCTCAACCAACTGCCCACCATAGAGGCCGCCCAATGCCCAAAAGATGCGGCAGTGGTTGTTGACCCATCCGCCCGTAAAAAGCATCCACACTGCACTGATACTGAATCCTGTAATAGCGGCTGTGAAGTAGATGCCTGGAAGTTCGCCTGCAACAAAGATAAGGCAGGTAACCATAATAACAGTTAAAGGTGCAGTGAAGAAGGACAGGATATCATGAGAGGCAAAGGTCCCGTCGCTGTAGGCCAAGGCACCCATAATAAGCCAGGCCATAAAGGAAGTTGAAAAGAAACCCATAAGCGTTGCAGTACGGCCTGAATAGTGATGAGAACAGGAGGCTGACATTTTGTTTGGAAAATCTGTACTGAACTGTGTTGGTGCTTTTAGGTGCTGAGTTGGCTGTGTTGAAAGGAATTCAGGCAGAACATTGGGTACATAGATGAAGTGTGAAAAGGAAAAGGGGGATAAGAGGATAGTAGACAATTAACATGTCAGGGCTCGCTGACGGCTAAATTCGGCAACACAGAGCTGGGCAAAGCTCTCTGGACCAGGTAGAAACATGGAACCAACTTGGGGACGAACGACAGCCTCAGCCCTCGCAAGAACCATCAACGTGCATGCTGTGCCTTCTTGGGATATAAATTCAAGTACCCACACCAGGTTGGTTCCAGTTGATCTCTGTTCCAAAAAAAAAAAAAAAAACGCCAAGAGACAAAAATGCCTCCCCGGCAGAGTGCGGCCTTGGCTATTGTGGGAACAGCCAGCGCAACAAAGCGCTCCAACATGCCACTTCCGCTTAGAAAACACAAGTTTCCGCGCTTGGAGAGTTCCAAGTAATGTCTGTTTCAACAGACGCCGAGAGATAAAAGCACCTCCCTAGTAGAGTGCAGCCTTGGCGGTTGTGGAAAGAGCGCAACAAAATGGTCTGGTCCAACATATAAGTTGTGTGGAGATATTCCAGCCTGTATTAAATTTCCTGTCTGATGATAGGCTGTTGTACGAGGGGATAGATGGAATAACCTAAAGGTGTTGGGTAAGTGGATTATCCTAGTCTTCCTGGCATCTACCTAACTACAGGTCGCCAAAAGGGAGGTCAATGGACTTAGTTAACAAGACCTTCTCTACTACTGTGAAAGTGTCAACCTCCTCCAGGCTTATTACTACAAAGAAGTAGACTTCTTGCCATCGCTATTTTGACATCCTTAACTATATTGCGCCTACACCTATACATCTTTTGCCTTATTACAACGTTTTTTGTCACGTTACAGATCCAGCTATGGTTCTGTTTCGTACCGCTGTCTTAGCTGCGTCTTTAACAGTGCAAGCCTAGAGTGCAACTAGTCCATTTGTTCCTCGGGCCTTTATTCAAGCAACTAATGCAGACCTTAGATTCCTTAAAAACATGAACAAGTTTGTTGAGTTTGTGGGAGCTAACTCTACTAACTGGGAGATGGCTGACGAAGAACTTATCGAGACTATTGACCCAGAGGCCTATACCTTAAACAATCTTACTACTCTTATAGCAAGGTAGTTAGAAGAGTGTTTAAGCCGAACTGGCTGGGTGTAAATCGCCTGCGAGAACATGCCTAATAGCTATGTTAAATATGGAGTTGGAGCAGGTCTCCTAATCTACTATGCCCCTAAACTCGTCTTCAACTTTCTAACGTTTATTGGCAGACTTGTCCATAGTGGCGACGACGTCTGGAGGACTAGGCGATTAACGGAATTAGGAGCAGTTTGCTGGGCGTCGAAATGGGACGCTGCGGGACACATCTACTTCAAAATCGCGCAAACCTCCGGCTCTCTCCAGTCTCGGTATATCAACGAAGACGGCGTTACAAACAAGTTTTGATCTGTAAAACGAGTACTCTTACGACACTTCCGCACAGGAGATCCACTACTGGTCTACAAGAAGCAACTTTAGCTCAGGTGACTATGTCGAGTTGTCCAGACTGAAGCCCGCCCTCAAACCCCTCAACTCCCCACCTTGCAACCGGTCTTATCCCTCGAGTCTCCACAGCCACGCATCTTTACTTTGCCCAAACAAGACAGCTTCCGTCCCCGCAACCTCGCAGAGAGACCCTTAGATACTACATAGGCCAGCAAAATGCCTCCTCTAGCATCCACTTCTCCATCCTCGGATGTGGGCATTCAATCTCTCATAACAGGCCTTGTGGCGCAACGGTAGCGCGTTCGACTCCAGATCGAAAGGTTATCCGTTCAAATCGGGTCAGGGTCATGTAGTACGAGTAACAGGAGCCAAATTTTCCAGTTTTTTTTGTTGTTTTCTCGAAGCTTTGGTGATGTAGGTCTGGGTTGGGAGTTGAGATGGAATCGAAAGAGCCGTGCGGGCGAATTTTGAGTCGGGAATTGGTGAAAGTGGGTCCGGACAGTAGATCAACGCCTGCCGAGTCTTCCTTCTGAGTTCCGTGTAAGTGGAAAGAGCTCTTGTGGTTGCGAGTTTGGTTAAGAGACCGTAGAGTCTACCACTACGACCGGTGTGAGGGACGACGGGTCGTCCTTCTATTTTCAAAACCTGCACTTTCCATTAACAATTGAGTCCCCGAAGACTGGTATCTGCAGAGGCTGTGTCTCTCGTTCTTGCAACTAAATGGTTTAGAAAAGCGACGAGGACAAGAGGAACCACAGGGCTTGCTCTCTCTCACTTTACCCTCTGTGCCGCCCATGATTGAACGAGCAAGCTTCCGCAGGGCCAGAGCCACATGCCCAACCAAGGCAAGAAGAGAGAGCTTCCGACGTGGGATATCGGGGTTGGAGACACTATTCCGCGGTGAATGCGGAGAGTACGCTGACGACTCACACTTTATTTCTTTTGTGACATTTCTGCAAAGAGCGCCAATAATACAGGATTTCTTGCTTGTTCAAAAGCGCTTTCGATGGCGGCCTGCTGGCTTACAGGGAATGTGATGACTTCTTACTATGCCTCGACTGACCTGGCAGTAGGTAGTTGTAGGCCAAGCAAGGAATGGGACCAGCGGCGATCAATTATGCCGTGAGCGGAAATAGACACCAAAACTGAGGCAACTCGAGAGTCAAGCAGAGAAAGGACAGCGAAGTCATGTCACATCATCCCCAAAAAAATATGCGGCAACTTTGTTGTGATGCTCATAACACTTTATTATGCTCCCAAGACGCCATTGCTATGTCCGTGAAGACCTCAAAACTCCAAACATGCCCAACCCAGAAGCCATCCCCCGTTGTGGCGACCATGGCATGATCTCGTAAGCGCCAGCCGGGCGAACCGGGCTGGCTGAAATGTAATTATCCATGATATGTCGTAGCAATGCAGAGTTCTCTCGCTCCTGGCTCGCCCAGAACTCCATAAGTCTGTCAGAGCCTACACATGCAGTCACTCTCAGTGGCGTCGCCTCTTGGATTCGTCAATCTCCTCTCCCATCTCCATGGGGTTGGCGGGGTCGATGTAAGCCGACAGTCTAGTGTCACCCCATCGAGCACCGACAGTCACCCAGACACCCTTGATAAAGCTGTTGCCCATGACGGTCTCGCGGTAACCTCCCCAGCGCAGTCTGTGGTCACGGTCCATAGCACTATTACCCAGACCGCCGTTTGTCACCCACTCTTTGACTGCGTTCTTGATAAACTCAATCTTTCGACGGAAGTCGTTTGCAACTGGAATCCCCTGAAGGTCTGCGGGGATCTCGGGGCGTCGACGCGACGTGGTGGTCGTACGAGTAGAGCGAGCCGCCGATGGCTTCGTCTGGAAGTTCAACAGCGTCTGCAGGGGGTAGGACAGCATGGCTCTCTCGTCAAGAGCGGCGGCTCCGAGACTGCCAGTGGTGGCAAGGTTCTGGGCCGCATCAATGGGAAGATGCCAGAAGTGGCACCAAGTTCCTGCAGCGTTCAAAACAATCTTGGTGTGGTCAGGGAAATTAAACTAGGGTTTTGTTAGCGCTTGTCGTGTCAAGGTTGTACAACTGCATCTTACCTGAAGATGTCCGTCACCAAAGACCCAGCAACCAACATCGCCGAAGCGTTGATAGAAGGTGACCAGGTCTGAAGGCTGGGAGGTGTTGCCAGAGAACTCCATCGGGCGAGTAACAGTCTCCTCGGCGGGCAGTGGCTCGTCTCTGCCATAGGCGATCATGTAGTTGGCGAATTTCTTCCAGAGGATGACGCGCTCCCTCTTTCTGTGCTCGTACACGTCCTTTCCTGGATTCAGCTTTCCGGGCGTTCCGTCCTCGTAAACCGGCACGCGGAATTGCCTTGAGGAGACAGAGACACGGGCGAGGCCTGACTCGCCGTTGTTCTCGTAAAAGTGAATGTCTTGTTTGGGCGGCAGTGGTTGATGTCTCTCGGGGTACGACTCGTCGTGTCGTCGCTCGATGTGGCGCTCGGCATCGCGGACAAGCATGCACGCGGAGGGCAATGTGAGGGTCTTGCTCCCTTCCGTAGTAGGAATATCCCGCAAGATGCAGCCGACGCCGCCGTCGTTCAGGATGTAGCCGAGACCAAACTTGTTTGTGTAATCCACCCATTTAACCACGACGTTGGGATGAGGCGGGGTGGTGTCCTTGGACGAGATGATAGCCATGGTACGAGCATTCAGAGCACGCTCTAGCTCGGTCTGAAGCCGGCGAAGTCGCTCCAGAACAACATCTGGCTTGGAGCCTGCCACCGGTTCCGCGCACTCAGTCGGGCTGAAGAGTGACGCCTTTTCAGTTTGATCAGACGAGATCTTGAGGTTTTCCATGAGCCCGGTCATGGTGACTGTAGCTTGGTTAGAGCTCTGGGACGCCATAGCCTGGCTAGGAAGAGAACCCGCCGACTGCGATGTCGGAAGTGGCGTTCTCCGAGTGGTGCTAGACTTCCTCAGTGGAGGCTCAGCAAGCTGGTTTGTTCGTGACTCCGGTGCAGTATGCTGTCTGACCGATCTTGACCGTGCCGCTTCCGCCAGCTCAGGTGCCGCTTCTGGCTGAGGCCGTGGTCTGGCAGTGTTTGCCATGGCAGAGGGACGGTTTTGAGCTCTCTGCTGCGCGGCAAAGCTCTGAGGTGGTTGACGCAACAGGCCTGTCGGCGCAGTTTGCGAACCGCTCAGATGCGGTTCCGATGTGGCGTCGGAGCGGGTAGACGACGAAGCAGCAAGGGCGCGGGCGTGGCGCTTCTCGCGGAGCCAGTCGTCGAAAGGTCTGTAGACGACGTCCTCCCCCAAGGGAATCATGGGCGTCAAGCCAGACTTCTCCTCCGCAGCCATCTCTTTCCATGTCTGCGTATGGACAACCTGCACAGGTGCCCAGGGGCCAACTCCGCATTCTCTGCACATGTCCTCCAGGTTCTTCTTGGTGACCGCCTGCAGTTGAGAACTCATGCGGTTGGCGTAGAACTCAGAACTGTCAGGTGGCAGGGTGAGAAGTCTGGTCGTCATGTCGGCCTCCACCGGCATGTAACCGCAGGTGAAGAAAGGGTGCTGAACGATGACGTCCGGGTCGGGTCTCATATCTGCGTCCTCAAGCATCGTGGCAACGCAGTCCTTAGCTTCCTCGCTGATGTACTTTTGCGATGTTTCCGGGTTCGGCCATTCGTAGTCTCGTTCTCTCGCTCGGCGGTAAATCTCCTCGGTGCTCGTCGATTGGAATGGTGGCTTGGATGTCAACATGGCGAACCTACTTCAGTCAGTGAAAGAACCCCAGGCTTCGGCCAGCGTGTACTGACATGATGATACCCAAACTCCAAATATCAACCGCGTGATCGTGTCCCTTCTTTCCCTTCTGGAGAATCTCGGGCGCGATGTAGTTAGGCGTGCCGCACAGGGTCGTCCTTCTTATGGTCTGCATATCCCGGCCGGTAACCAACAGAGCAGCCAGTCCAAAATCACCAACCTTGGCGTTCATACGGTGGTCGAGAAAAATGTTTCCCATCTTCAGATCTCGGTGGATAATGCCCTTTCCGTGCATGTACTTGATTGCTCCAGCCACCTGCACGGAATAGAAACGAACCTCGGGCTCGGTCAGACCCTTGCGCTTCTTGACCATGTCCATGAGAGAGCCATTGGTACACAGCTCGAGAACAAGGTACATGCAGTCGTGAAACGAGAAGGCCCTGAAGAATTGCACAATGTTCTTCTGGTTCATCTTTGAATGGATCTGGAGTTCGGTTTGGAACTACGCGAGTTGTTAGAACCAAGCGTTGTAAAACACCATAGTGGGGCAAAGCTGACCTTCTGCTGCATCTTGGACGGCATCTGGCTCCGCACAATCTTCAGCGCATACTTCTTGCGCTCCGGTAGATGGTATCCCGTGTAGCACACGGCAAAACCACCCTTGCCGAGCATCTTGCCGACCTGGTACACAGCTCCATTGGGGCGATCGTTGGCCGGAGGCTCCTCAACGTTCGCAGGCGGTTGTGGTGGTGGTTCTTTGTCCTTCGCAGCCTTGAGCTGGACGACGGGTTTAGACGTCTTCATTTCGATTGCCTTGGGCATACGCTGAGCGTTGGCGTCCCTAGGCGACAAGGCCTCCAAATCGACGCCCGCTTTAGCCACTAGTCTATGGGCCATGACTGTGGCCTCGAGGGTCCTGTGATCGGTGCAGTCTCGAGAGGATGGCGACTCTCAGGGACGGAGGAGGCTGTACTGCAAACTCAAGGTAGGCCCTGGATGGTGGAGAGGAAGGGCCTGTTATACGCGCGATTGTCAGCACATGGGGAAGCACGGCGGGTGGGAGAAGTGATGGGTATGAAGATGCAGTGTTGGAAAATATTTGGAAAGCGCAGGCGAAGTGTAGTCCAAGTGCTGTCCAACCCGTCAAGCGCATGAGAGCAGAGCCGAGCGGGCAGGACAAGCAGCAACAAGCCGGGGGATTCTTTGTTTACTCACCAGTCTCGGAAAGAGATCATATGCGGAAAACAAGATGCTCTGAAAGAAGTTCGTGGGCAATCGACAATGCCAGAACAAACTGCTGACTGCTGACGAGACGAGGACGCCGCAGAAGAAACTCACCGCGGGAGATTCGAGTTGTCGGGATGATGCGCCGTTGAGACGAATGGTAAACTTTTGGTGATGGGGGTGGAGTGAAGGGCCGGGTTAGTGTGTACCATCGCTGTTGACCTTCGCTTCGCGTACCGTTGCCCGGGGAACTGAAACCTGGAAGAACTGGGTTCAGCACTGGAGAGCCACTAAAATTCGCCGATGCTACTCCACAATCAACCTTTTGCCGGTCGGCCGCTAGAACGAGCGACTTAGGTAAGCAGACAAGGACTAGAGAGTTGATCAACAAGTGTTCCTCTGGGGATATCGTGCTATCCGTTCAACGCTCAGGTAGTATCAAACAACCCTCACCCACAGGTGAAGGCTCGCGATAGTATGAGGCTCATCCAAGAGCGAGTTTCACACCGAAAAGAAACTTGGCTGCCACTGCGTGCTCACAGGCAGCTCCGCCTGGAACCTTGGAAATTGAGTCTCACTCAGCGAGCCGGGGCCTGCTGGATTCGGCCCCGAAGCCCAAAGAAGCGGAACATCAAATAAGCGTGTTCCGTGCATTTCCACCGCGGGACAGTGGGAGATCCGTTCCAAGCATCGACGTCAGCTGCCTAATGTGACTCCGATAACCCCGAGTTACAAGAGTGTCCGTCGCTGTCCATTTTGTCGACCATTCCCGCGCGATTAAAACGCACTTGCTATAGTCCATGAGCATCTCTTATTCCAATTGACAACAAACAGCACCGCCAAGGCTGAGCCAAGCTGAGCCGTAGCACGGAGCTCCCGGAGCTCTCTCCTGACCAACCGCACTCTCGTCACTCGATCAGCCCTCGAAACCCACCCCACCATGGTACCACTGCCTCTCTTCAAGCTCGCCGCGCTGTTCGTGCGGCACGTGTCCAAGTATGGCGCCGTAAGTTGATGACCTCAGTCACCCCCATCCTCCGGGGCCCTTGTAGAAAGCATCTGACCAGTGTCTGCGGCCCCCCAGAACCAAATAAAAGCGCAAGCCCACGAGCACCCCAAGTTCCGCGCCTTCGCCGCCCGCTACGGCCAGTCCATCCATCAGCTCAACATGCGTCTCAACGTTGCCCTCCTCCGGAACCCGAACGCCGAGCAGCGCGCAAAAGAAAAGGCGGAGGCTCCAACGGTCAAGACGAAGGAGCAAGTCGAGAAGGAGGAGGCGGCCAAGGCGCGGCAGGCCAAGCTCGAGGCCGAGAACCCCGACGCCGCGAAACGGAAACCCCTCGTTCCCCCGGCGTCGTCGGGAACCTCCTCGTCCACCTCATCCTCCTCGGCTTCGGGAAGCGGCAGCAGCAGCACCGCCAGCGGTTCCGGCAGCACTAGCAGCTCAGCAAAGGAAAAGCCCAGGAGCATCTGGCGCCGCAAGTTCCGTCCCCTCCCCGAGAACAAGGCCGTCGACCTATTTGCCGATGTCATCGGCGACGCCTTCATCCTCGGCGTCGCGAGCGCCATCATCGTCTACGAGTACTGGAAGGCATCGCAGAAGCCCGACCAGAACGCCGAGCGCATCCGCGTCCTCGACGAGAAGCTCGAGGAGCTGACGCGCCGGGAGCGCGAGCTGGCTGAGCGCGAGGAGGAACGCTCCCAGCGGTACCTCGCCATGGAGGCCGCGCTGCGCGACCTGAGGGACCCCAAGACCAAGAAGCCGCTGCTGCCGAGCCTGCAGCTGCCGACACAAACGCAGTCCCCTACGCCAACGGCGGCATGAGGCCTTCCGAGCGGATGGTCCCAATGGTTGGTTAGACAAAAGGCGTGGAGTTTTTGTAAGATTTTTCATGATACCATTTAGCGGGCGGAAGGCATCCTCTGTTGTACTCAGTACGGCGTGTGTAACTTTATCGGCGGGCATCTTAGACAAGGCACTTCACTCTTGGGGAAAGAACCAAAAAGGCAGGGGCGTACAGGCAGTTCCTGCCGATACATACAGACTTGACTCACCTCATATAAAGAAAATCATCCACAAATAAATGAAAAGGCAAAGGTAAATTGAAAGCTTAAAGCTCAAACACACTACCAGATCCTACATCCTGTGACACCTGCTCGTGGAATTCGCATCAACGAGGCCATGTTCTGTTCTTCTCTCCGCAATCGTCCGGAATGGACACCAGCGATCACCCTCCTAGCCGGCAGCACGCCTCGGTTCCAAGGTGCTGCAACGCCGACCTCTTCGTCATGTTGGAGAGACTCACTGACGACAGCAGCAGAGAGCAGGTTGAACACGCATGATATCGCGCTCCCGCTCCCACAACAGCAGGGCCGCTTCTTCCGCCTAGTCCTCCTCTCGCCAAAGGACGTCGGCACGGCAGTTACAGAGCAGCGTCTGGAGCGCCTCTTCAACCTCAACGGAGGCCGCGACGCAGCCGTCATCTTCCTCCTCGGTCCGCAAGGGCAAGAGGGGAACCCGATGGTGGTCTTTATGAACCTGCAGATCAAGTAAGCGACCACCAAAACCCTCCGAACCATTGCTTAGAAGTGTGTACGACTGATGACGCTGATTCAAGTATCCTCAACAAGCTCGAGCTGCCCCTGATCCCTTTATCCTCCATCTCAGCCCTCCCATCCACTCTCGCCAATCTCCGGACCTCCCTCGCCACAACACAGCCCGTTGCCTCCCCGGCCCAAACCACCTTCTTCTCTCTCCTCCAGCACATGGCCAGCGGCAACGATCCCCTTTCAGAGCACATGACCAACCTCCTTAGTGAACTTGGCCGATCACCCCGTGAGGTGGCCGCTCTTGCCGAGACGGAGCAGGGAAAGGCGCGGATCATGGACCTACTGGGTCCAGTGGAAGGGGCGCGAGTCCTTTCGTTCCTGATGCAGGAGAAGCTGGCATTTGTTTGAATAAGGACCAGCAAGCGTTAAAAAGGGATTCAATCGATGCCCAGTGCCATATGAAGCGGAGAGGATCGCGATGCGTCGCTCGACTCCGATGGCATCTCGTTGTCCGGTCACTGACTTGCCTGTAGTCCAGCTAGGAACACCAGTACCCGACACGGGTTGGACGAGTCCGCAGAGGTGACCCATGGTAGGATGAGATAGGGGAGGAGTCACGGGGAGGCTGTGTTCCGTGTGCATCACCAGGGGCTACTTGAGACGAAAAAGGGGTTAACGGCTGGGTGGCGATGCCATCGTAACGAGCGGTGGGGAACTAAGAGACAGAGAAAGTAATATGGAACAATGCTTTGACAACCTTGGCTAGTCACTCTGCCTGCCTAGTCTGCTAGGCAGAGGATGCATAAGAGAAGACAGGAGAGGGAGAGCAGCCACAAAAAAAGAGGATTTAACAGTCGTTCGCGCCTTGGAATACCATTGTCACTGACAGCCGCGGGAGAGGCGTTTGGAACAACTGCCAGAACTTGACGCGTCGTCTCACGAAATTTGGGATGAAAGGCCTGGGATCCGTGCGTATGATGGCTGGCATCTGACGTTTAGGTCGGACTCTGGCCGTGTTGTGAGCGGATGTCTCTATCCCCGTGCCAGCCGCATGGCAAAAAATATGAAGCACTTGATGTTCGGGACGCGAGAGGCGTCACACGCTAGATCCCGGCCGAATGCCTGGCCCCGCTCCCGGCTGTGCCCAAGATCCGTGCTGATCAAAAGAGAAGAAGAAAAAAGCCATCCAGGGCCCCGTTGTTGTTTTGCCATCATCCAACGTAGATCAGAGAGAGAAATAAGGGAGATGAGAAGAAGAGCTTGCAGCAGTGCGCGTTTTATCAAAGGGGTCGGGCTTGGGCTCCAAACGTTGGTGGGAGCGTACCGCAGATCCCATGTGAGCGATCAATCGTTTAAGCGGACTTGGTTCTCAATTGCCGTGACTCCCGCTGGAAGCACTGTTCTGTGTCGTAACTTCGACTTATGATCGATTCGTTCACGCCCGTTTTCTTGCTCTCTTGTGGCCACTGCTAATCTTCCACTCCGTCGAAAGGCTCCAGAAGTTTTTTTGGGCCGCCATATCCTTGCCTGTGTTGCCAAAATGCCGAAGATCCCATGAGTGGGGTTTGACCTGTTCATGTAATTTTCTCTCCCTCCTTTTGAAGGGTCTGGTTCCTAGAAGACCAGGGGAGCATGTGAAGTGACTTGGTACAGGCACGTAGTCTTTTGCGATTTTTTCCATGTCACTTTTTGAGTCGTGCTGCAGAGGCCACCTGCAAAATGTTCGGCGTATGCTTGGATCTCGGACCAGGAAAAACCTTGAATTTGTCCGGATCAAGGGTGAGGGGGCGGGCAGTCCCATATTGCGTCCATATTGCACCCGTATTGTGCTATGTCCATCTGGGTGTCACCCAAACGCTGGCAAGACGCGACGCTTGGTTGAGATCAGACGCTGAACAATATGCTTATCTGTCTGCTGGTAGGTACTCTGGACACTTATTGCGCCCCAAGCTTTCTGCGAGAGCAGCAACGCTACCTAGTTTTGAAGACTTGGGCGAAGGAGGTTCAGCCATACCAGGCAACTAGAAGTCGTTTTCGCATCTGCTCGTGGCAACCAATATGACGATGTCGGTGAAGGTAGGTAGTTTTCGGGCGGGATGCTTTAACACGGGAAACTCGCCTTGCATGGCATGAGAAGGCCTTGTTAGGTAGTCCTTGCATTGGGGACATTCCGGGAGAATTGTCTGTTCACAGGAGACCTATTTCTGGCGTGGGTGCCAGTGTGCCGGTGTGCCGAGCGTCATCAATGGTGGACGTAAGCATCCTGACCGCCTCTCGAGGCCCGATTGTGAAGTCGTTTGCAGCTGCCCAGAAGCCTATATAAATAAAAGAGAATCCAATAATGCTGTGATTGCTGTCCGGCGGTTGCAGTAGCACAAGTGACGACGGCTCCTCCGGCAGGATGCAACGGCTTTGCTGGTTGGCCAGAGCCCAAGGAGGGGCGGGTCCAGGCCATGTGGGTTCTGCGAGGGGAACCAATGATCAACAATGCTGAGCCGCCCGCCAAAATAAAGTTGAAAGCACTGTTTAGCGGCGGTTTCCCCTCTCCAAGGGTTATTTTTAGTGTCCATCTTGCAGCATAGCGATGCAGAGAGCGGATAAGCGGGAAGGGGTGCAGCCTCTCCAAGCTCGCCCGATCGGTAGGAGTGCAGACTACCAATTGGAAAGAATCAAGTACGGCACTGCAAACCAGCCCCGCGTCTGCTGAACCGACCGCTTGGCCAGAGACTATGGATTCGACGTCACAACCCATACCTGCTGTGACAATGTTGAATCAGGCAAGAAGCCAAGGCAGTGGCTGCCATCCGCTGAGCGAGCACCGTACGTGCAGCCCACCATTCTCGACTCAAGAGCACGTCCACCGATGCATCTCTGGAGACGCAGGTGACACAATTATGCGTGCCCAGGCCGAGGCCAGTGACACCCAGAGACCTGGTGAGGACCTGGCGACGAGAGGCGGATACCATAGACAGCCAAGGTGAGGAGGACAAGGACACCTTCGAATCCTTCTCACTAAGCCTTGGTCTCGGACGGTGGATCGGAGCTGTCAGCAACAACCCTCGGGCAGTTGTCGCAGAAAGCTGACGATGCCAGCCAGAACAGTCGGCGCTTTGAGGACAACGGCTTTAAAACCCCAAAGGGATCATCTGCAGAGTGGCCAACGCTCGGCCTGGTTGCGTCGTGGACGGGGTGAGCCAGCAAGACGAGTAGGCTTAACTTCATTGGTTTCGGGACCAAGGCCGCCATCTGTGCTGGAAGGCAGTCCCCTTCTCCTGCTCATCTTTAAGGTTCTACCGACATGGGTTGCTTGGCAGCTTTGATGGCAGCGTCACTGTTCCCTTGGTGGCCTGTCCTCGGTCTGAAATGCAACGTGTATCCCTCACTGCCTCAGCCCTCTCTGTTGATCGGCGCAAGACTTCAACTGGACGGAGTAGGGGCCTGTGCCATGAGACAACAGCAAAATTAGGAAGGTAAGCGTTCATGCGGCTCAAAACTTTGCTGAGAAGACCGCCGTCACCGTGGTTCGGGTGTCGTCCGCACCGTTGGCTCGCAACGGTGAAGCTTCATTATGTTGGTAGCGAGTGTACCGAAGCCAGCAGCAAGTTATGGTAGACATGGCATTTCGGGTCGGCCGGCAAAACCAAAGTTAATGAAGCTGCGATGCTCAGATATCGATGCGTGGTTCTCCACCATGGCCGAAGACTGCCGTGGCCGCTGTTCCGGTGTTCATTGACGACGACGAAGAGCATGGCTGCAGTGGGGACCATGATGCCCCCAAGAGCGGTGCAAGAAAAAGAAAGAAAAAGTCCGATCCATGTCAATATCTCTCCTCTGTGGTCGCCCTCCAGCCAGGATGGGACTCTCTTGGGGCAACGGGGCCGGGGTCGGCGTCACCCATACATAGTAAGCTTGCTAGGTACCTGGTTGGGGTCGGCTGCCACCCCGGGCTTAATCGCCGAGTGTAGTTTAGCTTGTTGTGTGAATGGTCGGATACGGACGACAGGGGACAGGGCTTGGGGGCTCGGACGAGACCGCGGTGTCTGCGACCGGGCCACAGAGCAGCCGTCCCATCTTCTCAAACCACATGTGCCTCAGCACAACCATTCTGGAACTTGCCTCTGTCTGAGGCGGTTTTGATCAACCGTCTCAGGGCTTTGCAGAGGATCAGATGGCACGAACTCACACTTGGGGAGGGGGACCGATAATTGATCTGAAGTTCGGGGTGGTCTGGGCTATGTTGCCTTTCCTGTTTGTGGGAGCGATCCCTTGACGCCATCTGGAAGATCGATTGAGTTCGTGCGACAGGTGAGGTGTGTAGGAGGAGCGGGGATGAGGGAAGGAGGAAGAGAGCGGATGATGTGAAGGGGGGGCACCATTCGGTCGTGCAACGGTACCTGCTGTAAGCGACTACCTCTTTCGAGGGGCTGGGCATATGAACAGCGGGAAAGGTTGACTTTGTCTCACTGTACTTTTCTTGGGGAGGTAAACCACCCGATGTTTAAAGTGCCCCAGGAAGCTCAGGAAACAGGCAATGGCGGGTGTTGTTTCTTTTGACGTGATTTAAATGTCCTTGTCGTCCCTAATTGCCTTTCGCAGAATTCTCTGCATGCTCATTTGCTGAGACGGCCGGGGCTAGATTAATTAAATCGACCGCTCGTCCGTAGGTTATCGGCAGCCTCTCCTCTAAAAGTGGGTAGGTGGGAGGGCACTTTAGCACGTCCGTCCGCTGGAGGCTGGTGTCTTACAGGGCACTCGGTCACTGCACCGGCGGTAGCTGCTGCTATGTGAGCTGCCGCCCCCTTCTGTCAAGTCTCTTTTTATGCATGTCCGACCAGGAGCAGGCATTTAATCGTAGTGCACATATGGTGTGGTAGGGGCGAGAACGAAAGCCTGGGACGACAGGAAGGGTACCTCCGCTGTCAGCCAGAGTACGCGCGGCTGCCAGGTATCTGTCCCGTACCTTCTGAAGCTGGATTCTGGGATGCCATGATCTGACGGTAGACCAGACGACCCCAGTTACACACCCCTGAACCCTTGGCGACAGGGGCGGATCCACACCTCGCCTGCCAACGGTGATGAGTCTAGTGATCTCATTGGTCCAAGCTCGTTCTCTAACCGCCCACGCCTTTTGCGTGCAAGTCCAATCACGTCAATCGTTAACCACTTACGGGGTCCTATTCGCGCCTTTCTTTCGACTGTCACTTGAACCATGCAAGACAAGCCCTCGCCTCGCCTCGCCTCGCCTCGCCGCTCGTTCTACATACTGCGCTATATTGCTTGCTAGAAACAATATTGCCTCGCTCTCAACATCGTCCCCATCTGCGGTGCTCCTATCCCGGCCCAGCTTGCATCCGTACCCGCCGACCTACATTCTTCACCCAAGTATATCCCCATCTGTCAACTAGGTGACGACTGGAGCCCCCTCAGGGCCCCGGCCGGCCTAGCGCCTGGTCGCTCCTCCGATACGTGTCTGACGGCTTTCGACTGGCCCTCGAGTGAAATAATGGGCGGTCTCGGCCGTGGCTGGGCAGATGGGCGGGTAGCGGTAACGCTGCGATGCCAGAACGGACGTATGATGCTGCCGCTCTCTGCGCGCTGCACTTCTTTCGTGCATACGATCCCGCCTTGATGGACAAGACCACACACCAATGGGCTCAACAACCCCGGCCGTCCCCCAAAGGCTGGCGTTTCTTAAAACTCGTCTACCTCCTTCTTTCGCGTGTGCGACCATCCGCCGTTTCCTGTCTCTCTTCCACCTCCTTGCCTCACCAGTGTCCCTGGCAACTATCTTGTCTGATCTTCAAACAACCTTCATGCGACGGGGTCGATAAAGCACAGATCCCTGACGAACATCACGTACAGCCGTCTCCACCACAACGCTTCACCATCCCGACTTTTGCCTCATACCCCGTACACAATAACGGCCTCCCGGCACTAGGGGGAGTACTCTCCTACACAGAGCCTCAACGCATCAGCCTTCGGATCCCCCTACACCCACGAACATCATACGCCATCGTTGCCGTCACCGCCAGCACTTTACAATAACAACTTGGCCAACCCCAGCATCCCCCCCTGGCTCCGCCTCTTAGTTCTGCCTGGCTGGTCTATAGCAGAACCAATACCCTCCCCTCTTGCGCAACCAGAAACGTCTCAATGCCGCTCGGATGCCCGCTGTCATCATAGATCAGACTGCCCGAACCTGGATCTCTAGAGAACTCGCTCCGCTATCGAGCCAGAAACACCCGATACCGATACCCTGCCCAGCAAGCTAGCCCGGGGCCCAACTCTGACACAAGCCTCAACCAGCTCTCCTGTGCGGCTCGGCGTCTTGCCCTTTGGGCTGGACAAGCCTGCATCCACATCCTCCTCCACCTCCTACCAATACCCCTGGTCCACGCTTCGGCTCAACTAGTCACATCCATCCCGACTCTCGTCTCAATATAGACCTGTCGGTCTCCCCGCGTTGTGTTGGGTTGACACTTCTTGTCTCTCCTCTTGACCTTCTCTTCTTTCCTCGTCAGCGCTGCGCACTAGCCTGTCGATAGCCTTCTTTTAATATCGACATCTTCACTTCGAAACGCCTTCACTTCTTCGTTCGTCCCGCAGGTTCGGTACCTATTCCCTTCTTTCGCCGCTGTACGGTTCACCTTCGACTGAGTCGCCTTATCTATCACCATACCCGGTTTATTCGCAAGAGAGGATTCGATCTCGACGACCGCTTCCCTCGTTCCTTTCATTCGCTACTTGTTCGGGTTCTTGGGATCAGAGACAAAGGGCATATCAAGGTCAAAGCATCAGGGCTTCATCAGCAACAGGCAAAAGAAGGATCGAAAGATTTCAACGACACTGAGCAATCAGAAAGAGAAAGGAAAAGAAGGCTTCAAGGCGAAAAGCATCACCGATACATAATCGATAACCATGGGTCGTCTTATCAAGAACCACTGGGCTCGGCTCATCGTTATGAGCGCCGCAGTTTGTAAGTCAACAACCATCATGAGGGCCCGAGCTTTGCTCAGTACTAACGTTACCTGAACAGACCAGTTTGCCGCCGCTCTCGAGGCTTCTTCTGGCCCAAGATCTTTTGGGATTTTTTGACCAAAACCTTGGACCCGGCGGTCAAGCCCGTACCGATATTGCAGATTATCAACATACTCATGTCTCTGTTCATGGTAGCACTGGAGTGGCCTCTGGTGTTTATCGCCGGCTCGTCAATTCACCGCAGCCTGGAGTTCCGCCTCATCATCCTTCCTCTCACCAGTCTCGCCGCTGCTCTCATCTACCAGGGCACCAACGCCGCTCTCTACTACCTGGTTGGGCTGGTTGTCTACTTCTGGGCTTACAGCGAAGGAGAGGTAAGTCTCACTTTGGACTCTTTATTCACACGAGCCTTGCCCTAACTCAATGACCAGATTGTCTGCGCCAAGCCCTGGACACTTCCTCAAAGAGGACGCAACGGCTCTCGCGTCTAAACATTGCTCGTCTTTCAATTCAAGCGTATACGACCGTCTCAACCTGATGTGGTATTGTGACCTGACAGGGACCCACGTATACACGACAACGAGCCAACGCCCATCTCAACTATCTCGGATGAATCAACGAAACCCTCACCGTTAATTCTCTGAGCAATATTTATCAAATCACTTTTTCTTATATATGTTTAACGACTCCCAATCGATATCACGGCATCTAGCATCGGCGTTATTCCTGACGACAAATGGTTCATCAATTTTCCTCCGCACTCTCAGTTGAAAGTGACTCGGAAAGATCCCATGACAGTTTTTTCCATTTTCAACCTGTTTTCCTCAAGTCATCCAGGCGTGGGCATACTTCTTGTTTGGGGCAACGGTGGCTGTGTGTGTGGTTTGGACACGGGGTGGTGATGGCTAGCATGGCCATGTTTCGCACCTGCGGATCATGGATCTGTGCTATCATGGATTGACGCTGTTGTGTGTGCATGCGTGGCTGGGCATGGATGGCCGGGAACAAGATTGGAGACAGGGGCCTGCCTTGGCGTCACGCCTTGTGTGAGAATGCCGCCTCCCACGTCTTGAAGGGTGTGGTGTATCATCCCGAAGCTCGGCGCAACATCACTCAGTGTGGGGCCCGGGTTTCCGGAGTGGAGAGAAGATGAGAAGAAGAGCGAATCTGCCCGGAATAGCCAAGACGCTGTCAAGAGAATGTGGCCTTGGTCTTTTAGAGACCAACGCACCAATGCTACACCTAATGTCACGACCAACAAAAAAAAAATTCATAAAAAAAAGATACCACAACAATAAATGTCGTCTCCCATGTGTTGTCTCCCACACGCGACTTGATGGTGAACCTTTCGTGCCGACTTTGCCATAACGTCGAGTGGGTAGGCCTCACAGCACCTGTCAAGTTCTCCTTTAACTTTCTTTCACCTTCGACGACTTAACTCAAAAAATTTGGGTTTCCGGGATCGCCTACACTTCCAGGGGGGTTGTCATTGCCGCCCATCCGAGCATTTCCATTCTTGTATTTCGGGTTTAACCTCACGGGTTTCCTCTGGCCGCAAAGGGGCCCCGGGGTTCACGAGTAGGAAGGAAGAAAGACAGAGGTTTTTCTTCTGTTTTCTAATTTTTTTTTCTCAACCGTCAGGCCGTTCCTGCCGCTCTTCCATCCGCCCCCCCCCGTTTTCGCTCTTCGCCGTTCAAGGTATGCGTGTGTAAATGCATGGCCTGGTGTGCTTTTTCGGCAACACCTCCGAAGATCAGAGACCTTCATGAAGGGAGAGGGGGGAAGGAACAAATTTCTGCGCCAGGTGTGTAAGGCGATGAGGTGCAGGAAGGGGGCGGGGCCAGGGGGCCGTGGTGAGGCTCCGCGCAGCCCCCGAAACACTTCAGAAACGGGCGCACCACAGCAGCATTGTGGGCAGAGACTGCTGGGAGGCTCCACTTTTGACAGCCCTTCGTAAATTGAGCCAGGTTATCAGACCTTTTATATAGGCTGGGGGTGGTAATTTTCCCGCGGCTCATTTACTCGAGGTAACTTTTGACCAAGTCGCTGGGAACAATGGCCCGTTCACCCACACAGAGGTCTTTCGTTGAGTCGTGGCCATCGTGAAAACCCAGGCCAAGCTTTTGGGTCGTGCGGCGACTTTGACCGAGCACTTATTTCGGGCATCTACGAGCGGCTAGATCTGGTAAGCTGTCTATCTCACACATCAATCGCCAAAATGGAGTGCAAAAAAGCCACTGAGAAGTCGTGTGCTCATGTTCCGCTATCTACTAGCTTAGAGAACCCATGCTATCGACCCCATGCTAGATTAAGGCGTCGATGTTGAACCCTTATTGGGCTCGAAGGAGAGGGGTTTTAAGGTTATTACACCTCAATCGCCATCCTTCGTTGCATGTAAAGTGGTTTATTAGAGACGCGCTTCATATCGCTTTCGCATATTCCCATGTCGAAAAGTCGATGCCGTGGCACTCATTTGCCGACCGCAATCCATTCGCTGCCGTTGCTGCACAACACCGCCGAAACATCATAACGCCTCATAAGCCAGTATGTCCGTCGAGTGCCACTCGTGTAGTGACCATCGTCTTGCTTGGAAACTGGTACTTCTCTAGTGGGCAACCATAGCGCCTTGAGAGTCGTTCTTGGATCCTTGACGCTCGGGGAACTGATGCGATCCGTCGTTAGCCATGATGACCCTTTGATGCCAAAGTGTGAATGAGAGCTTACCTCAGAGTTCTGCGCCTCGCCCTTCTCAAGGATCTGAATGATCACCTTGTCGTCAACACTGGTGCCGAACTCATTCTCCAACGTGGACTTGGAGGCCGCGTCGAATGTGCCCTGGTTGCCTTGCCTGGTTAAAGTGGTTAGTCGCTATCGAGAAATAAAAGTGATGCGAGATTGGGTGGTTAAGGTAGTTGGCGACTCAAGCCCCAGCCAAAATGTGAAAGCCAACATGTACACTTGATGAGGCGAACGAGCTGACAGCCAATAGAACAAATCGTGTCCACTTGGCTCATCAGAGTCGAAAGACCACATTGTGGAGGGGAAGTGAGGGGTAATCCAGACTAACTTACTTGTGCGTAACGAAGATCTTGAAGGAGGAGATGAAGTGCGCCAAAGGGATAGACCTGTCCGTCTTCCACTTCTTGAACAGCTCAGGGTCCTCAACGAAGACAATGAAGTCGTCCTCCTGTCCCTTGTAGTGGACCTTGGTCTGTTGAGCCTCGCCGCGAACCATTTTGACGGTTGATGGGGTCTTGGTGTATTGGTGATTGGTTGTGTTGTGATTGACTGATGAGCTCCGATGGAGTTCTTGATGTTTTGCAGTGATGTACGTGAAAGACGAGAGTCGTCTGGGTATCTCAGAATGTTTTTTTGTTTGGTTGATTGATTAATTGATGAGCGAAGGTCGGGGAGGAGCTTACCTCAAGGCCTTTTAATAAGAGCAAGAGCTGAGGGGGGGAGCTTCCCCAGCTGGGACAGGAGAGGGCGGGAGCTGGGAAGCTCGTGATTCGAAAGCTACGTCATAGGTGCGGAAACACGCGACTGCCTTTCATCACTGCCCCGCCATTGGGAGCTTGCCCGGGCAGGGAGCGGGGCATACCGTGCTCCGTGCATTGCCCAGCTCGCCCAGGTACGTAGCCATTAGGTACCGGGAACTCTGAGCGTTCCTGCATTGAACCAGTGTAGTACGTCACTGCTAATCTCAGACCAAGATTTTAGGCCAAAAGGGTATTCACACGTTGCGGCTGGAATGATCCAGATGGGGAAGGAAACGTTTGGCTTAGAATAGTCCCCCTCAATTCCCGCACCGCCATGTTCCGAGGCACCTCATTGCAGGTCGCCTCACTGACCGTAGCAGCATGATGTGGTGGGGCCGGAAGCGGGTGCTGAGCATCCCAAGAGGTCTGAACATGGAGACGGACACCCGCAAAGCGAGGCAATGCTAACGACAATCAAGCCACTCTACCCAATACCTCTCGATGGCCTCACTGGCATCACATGGCCTGCGTAGGTGGACGCTATATAATCCAACTTGGGGGTATCATTATACTATCGTCAACTTGACGGCCAACACATTCTGAACTAAGAATAGCGATGGACATGGCACTCCCCGGTGAGAGGCCCTGAATTAAGGTAGCCAAGGGCAAACAAACGACGGATGTGGTATCTTTGCTTCTTGCGTCCAAGCCTTATTCCGTTGTAGCTCTCTTATTCATTGAATCGTAAAAACTTTTGGTCCGCACTCATCGAAAGAAACTTCTGATGCCCTGCACCAAGTCATCTCTGTTTAGTGTACCGACCTTGCCCCAGCGCATCGATGGCTTGTGAGAGAGTTTGGGCGCTTTTGATTCCCGGCTTTGATTGTCTCTGCCGTCTCTCTCGGATGGGCAAGGCAGTCTTTTCGGGGTTATTGGATCTCGACGAACTCGTGGTAGATTGTTCCCCGACGCGGTGCGCAACACGGCTGGTCTCGACGGCAACACATCGCTAGACAGGAGGCCACCGTACCCAGATCGAACCCGTTCGACGGCGTCGGCATGTACAACGATATTGGACTGAACCAACATCGGGGTTGCCGGAGCGCTAACCGTGCTTGTAACCTCGATATCGTCGTCGATTTTGGGCAATCGAGCCTTTGTTGTTTCATCAACTTCGTCACCGGGACCGTGCTCCGCGTTGGAACTCTCAGTTTGACAGAGCTTGGAAGGATGTCCGTGATGCATGCTATCTTTGTCGCCCGTATCATCATCAACCACAAATTTTCCAAGACTGGCCACACTGTTAGATCTCTTTGCAAAAGAGCTGGCGATGCTCGCAACGCTGAGTTTCCGCATCATAGTGCTTGCTGAGCTCCGAACAAGGTGCTCGCTGCGAGATCTGCCAGTCATACCCGGAAACGGAAGTATATCTCGACTCCAGATATCGGTCATGAGAGCTTCTAGCCGAGCTCTCTCGCCTCGTGGTGGAGCAAGAATCGGAATTCGGGGGTTTGTTATCAACAACGACTGCGAGCGGTTGATGGATGAATTGGATGAAGCGTCTGAGTTGTCTCGCACAACGCTGGTGTTTTTCAAGACGACTTGACATAATGGAGACTTCGGACCAACCGTCGTGGCGCGGTGAATTGAAATCCGACGGGCAACCGTGCCTGAATGACTGTCAGTAATGTAGCAAAGCCATTATTTGACTGTGAAGACCCACCTGGTTTTCTAAACACTGTCCCAAGGCTCTTCATGCTCAAGGACATCGAACTGTACAGGTTGGGGTCGGTTTGCTCCTGGTCTCCTCTGGCAGCATTTGATAGCCGGCTTCGCCATTCCTCCTGCTCTCTGGGAGAGCAGGCTGTCATCAAGAGCTCGTACAGTTGGGAGTCGCATTCGAACACAAGTTTCCACGAAAATGGAGCCGTGTGGCACTGGAGTCCTTTCACGGAGTTAGTTTGGGAATGCACGATCGGCTGTGACACCATCACGTACCTCGTCCATTGTCCGTTTCCTCGATTTTTGTGCTGCCCAGATTGATACACGCCTGTATGGTGTAAATCTGGTCGGCCTTGCTTGCTGAGGCTAAACACAGAACGTTGTGGTAGAGAAGACAAATCATATACTGTCCCTTGGCGCCTTCCTTGGTCTGCCAGCAAACGTGCAGCGCGCCACAAAGTTCGACATGGCCAAACGACCTGATTCTGTTTTTCGATGCTGCATCGAGTTTCTTTCTCGCTGATCAGCCACAGCCTCTTGAAGTGGATTGAGTATCAGCTTACTTGCTCGGGGAACACCAGACGATCCTGAAGGATCCATGTCTTCTCCAGGGTGGATTTCATCCGCCTGTCGCTCGTTGCTCGGTTGATCTCGGCCGTTGCCTCTCGCAATCGAAGAAGGGCGCTCTCGACTTCCATGTGGGAATTCGGACAATCGGCAACGGGTGTGTACTTTAGTAGTTCCGCAAACAAGAGCGGGTATTTACAAATGCGCTGAATTGGCTGATGGCTTGTTAGCGACCTGGCTGGTAATCTCAATGGCATGTTTCTCACCTTGACAAGCAGGTCTCCGATGGTAAGAGATTTCTTTGACTGGTCGATGTGAGTGCTCACAGGACCCAACGACGACGCCAATGCTTCGATGCCTCTTTGATAGGTATCCCATTGCGGCATGGTCCGATGAGCCGAAGCAACATCCTTGATCATCATCTCGTACTTTGCCCCGTACTCCTCGTAAATAAAGAAGCGGTTCATCTGGTAAGAATGTTAGTACTGTCATTCTCGAGTAAAGTATTGCTTTGGTTAATTGCCTTCCTGCTGAAAACCTTGGCCACGTCACCGGCAATCTGGGCCTCTGAGATCATCCCGGGTACTTCCTGCAGCCAGCTTATGGCTCTGTTGTCGTCTTCTGGCACGGAATCAAGACTCCTCAGACGCTGATGTCCATGGTCCGTTACTTTGCTGGTTAACGGCGAGATATCGATCTGCGTATACTCCGAGTCTGGTACAACTCGGTGCAGTTCGCCCAGGAGTTCCTCGTGGAGTTCGACAATGTCTGTTAGATTGCGGTTGATTGACGACCTGAGGCCCATGGGCAGAGTGGGCAAAGAAGCAAGAATCGTGATGTAAACCTATTCCGTTTAGCACTCTTATCTCTTGACTAGTCCGTCAGGAAAACATACATTCATAAGAAAGCGAATGTCCCTAATGTAGCTTTCCTCCGTGCGGATGAGCTCTTCCAAGATGCGCCGGCGCTGTAGAGCGCGTTCGGTTGCTAACGGGTCAACTTTTGCCGGCCATTCGACATGACAGCTGTCTTCCGAGAGTCTTGCAGCGGTAAATGAGGCCCTGCTGCTGCGATCCGTCTTGGAATATGCCAAAGAGCGACGGCTGTTGCCCCTGGGGCGCGTTGCAGTACTGCCGCTAGCAAGACTGACACTAGCACTTTTCACCGCCGTAACGAAGCCAAACGATGAACCTGAAGATGACCTCCTGTGGCGAGTTCTCCGAGAAAGAGCTGACCTATCGGCAGAATCAAGGAGTTTCCAGGGCAAAACGCTGTCTGCGTTCATCGGTCGAGGCCGTTGTTTGGCGCGTCGATGAAGATTTCTCATCCATTTGTGAAAGGGGCCTCGTTTGGGCGGCATATCCGAGTCCGAAAGCTCAAGAGCGTCGTCGCTATCGTCAACTGATACCCGTGGAAACAGAACAAGATCGTCATAGGAATCGCCGTTGTTGGGCTCTAGTCCAAAAGCAGCCATGCTGCTCAAAGTGTCCCAAACCTCGACACCGTCAATGTGCAGACCGTCAAGACCAGATGAAAGGTCTACATTTTCGAAAACATCTTCAGACTTGGTCGACTCGTGCTGTGATCCGGGCGACGGGGGGCTCGAGGTGGCGCAACTTGTCTTTCGGTTGATTCGGACAGAACTGGAGCGGGAACAGGAACCAAGAGATGCAGAGTCTGGTGGCAACGCCATTTCGAAGTCCAAAAAGAAGAGGTAAGACTGGGTTCAAGACACCAAAAAAAAGGAAGCAGATAGCAGGTCCAAGAGGATTCAAAGCATGATGTACGGTAGCAACATCAAGAGATGAATGATGCAAAAGCGCTGGGACTGCCAGCGGCACGAGACTTGGGGGGATTGAAGCCGAAGAGGATGATGTCGCCGGCGTGAGCTTTCTTAGTCGAGGAACGGGAAGAAAAGCCAGCGGATGTTACTAGAGCGAAGAAGGGAAGGAGGGAGTCTAGGCGGAAAAGCTCTTTCACCACCGGGGATGGGTAGAAGGAGGTGGGAGGGGAGGAAGTGAAGCACTACCTTCATATGACAAGCTAGGTGAGGGAAACGCCAGCTGATCGAGGCAAGGTCATGGCCGAATCGCGGGGTCCGGTCTGCATATCCATCACTCCTGCTACTACTTTGTGCCTGGTTCAAGGCCTTGACGGCGACCAAGCTGCCTTACATAGCTTGGCTTTCACGAGAAGTCGCGGCGTGGTACAAGCCTGCAGTGGAAAGTCGCACCCGGCGAATCTACCCACAGACCGGTGGTAAGGAACGCAGCTGCGACATGCAGCCTGCCCGCTGGGCCAAAAAACTGCGTCTCTAGCGCGCATCGCTATTAGGTTCAGATCTATGGATCTTGCATCAACGATGTGCATTGGATGGTATTGTATCACATATTGAGCCAGAACGTGAAGCTGCCGCTCGAGTCGGAGTTTCTAGTGAAGCTCAATGAAAGTCTGGGTCGACACGGCGCGTCCGTATTTGGAAGAGAAATAAAAACCTGACAGGATGGTGGCGGTCCGTAGTCTATGAGCGCCATGTCTCGATGCGTGGCGTAGCGAAACGGAAGACAAAGGACTCTCCCCACCGGTCTGGTCGTTAAGATGTCTGTACCGGACATTTGCCCTCGCCGCCAACAATGGGGCTTTGGGGGCTTGCCAGCATCTCGAGACCTTACCTTAGCAAATGGCGCTGGCTGAATAGGAAATCTTGAGACCTCCGAGACTTTGCCAGTGTAGGTGAGTCGCCTCAACAATCCATGGCTTCGGGCTGCCTTGCGCAAGACACACGGCTGGTGAAATTGGCTGTCCTCCGCACATCATCTTCGTTCCTCAACCCTGACTCGGTTTCGGCGCGAGCGATGGAGGGCGGTTCCGGAGCAGTCTAGTCCCAGTCCAGGAAAGCCGGACGGGGACGGCGGGCCTCAAGGAACAGTCGGATCGGGAACCTCTCGGCGGTCACGTGAAAGTCTGCTTATGTCAGCGCTTCATTACCTTTCACTGACTGTGTGTCAACCTTTATCGTGTCGGCGGGGCGGGGAGGTCCGGGTTGCCAGGTTCTCACGACGACAAGAGGTCTCTCCTTTCCCTCTCCACTCTGCCCTACGATGCTTGGTGCTCCGGATTATCGGCTTCGGGTCTGTACTTTTAGTCGGCCTCTGCCCCACGTTTTCTTCCTCAGGGCCGCAGTGGCTCGTCCCCGATGGGGCCAGGGACGTACAGGTGGATGCTAGGACCTTGGGAGTCTTGTTTCTAGTTGCAAGGGCACCCCCACCGGCGCTAGCCATAGCGGGATAAGCTCGGGCTCTTCACTCGAGGGCAGAAAAAAAGGTTCCAGAAGGGGAAGCTAGGCAACCTAGGCCACTGAACGAACACGTAGAGCGTATTGGAAACTTAGGGACATCGGCGACGATTTCAGCTTCCTGCCCCACTGCGACGGCAATAAGATATGCTGGCTCTTTGATCGCAGCTTTTCCAGCACATTCTCTCCCTTCTCCTTCACATCCTAAACCTTTCATTTCGCCAGGTTTGGATCTCAACTTTACTTTTTCTCTTCCACAATTGTTGAAGAGTCCCTTCCTTTCCACTCCATCACCCAGCAGCAGAAACCCGACGGCCGTTGAGACTCGGCTGGATACTGTCGGTTCCTCGATAAGACACATCCCGCGCGCAGCGCAGCTTTCGCGATGGAGAGCGCATTCGCCTCGCCCACCGAAAAGGTCCTCTCGACTCTGGGAGTGAATCCTGATACTGGTCTGACCGATGATCAAGTCATTGCATCGCGGACTAAGCATGGCAAGAATGGTGAGTGGCTTTGCGACGCGAAACCCACGACAGACCCGTGCTGATAGCCCTTCGCAGTCATCCCCGAAGAACCCCCCACGCCCCTCTGGGAGCTCATCCTTGAGCAGTTCAAGGACCAGCTCGTGATTATCCTCCTCGGATCTGCCGCCGTTTCCTTCGTGCTCGCTCTGTTCGATGATGAGGAAGGCTGGAGCGCTTTCGTCGACCCAGCAGTGGTACGTAATCCTCGATGCCAAGATACCCACATTACCAAGACTTTCCCGGGCTAACGATGCCGATATTCCAGATCCTGACCATTCTGATCCTCAACGCCGTCGTTGGTGTCTCACAAGAGAGCAGCGCCGAGAAAGCCATCGCCGCCCTGCAAGAGTACTCCGCCAACGAGGCCAACGTCATCCGCAACGGCCAAATCTCTCGTGTCAAGGCCGAGGACCTTGTGCCCGGTGACATCGTTTCTGTCCACATTGGTGATCGCATTCCTGCCGATTGTAGACTGGTTACCATCGAGAGCAACAGCTTCAACGTCGACCAGGCTATCTTGACTGGAGAGAGTGAAAGTGTTGGCAAGGACTGCGACCATGTCGTTAAAGACGAGAAGGCCGTCTTGCAGGACCAGATCAACATGTTGTTCTCCGGAACCACTGTTGTTACTGGTCGCGCCAAGGCTGTCGTCGTCTTGACCGGTTCCCAGACTGCCATAGGCGACATTCACGAGAGCATCACTGCCCAGATCTCCGAGCCAACTCCTCTCAAGCAAAAGCTCAACGACTTTGGTGACAGCCTTGCCAAGGTCATTACAGTTATTTGCATTCTGGTCTGGCTTATCAACATCCCCCACTTCAGTGACCCCAGCCACGGTTCTTTTACCAAGGGCGCCATCTACTACCTGAAGATTGCCGTCTCCCTTGGTGTTGCCGCTATTCCTGAAGGTCTTGCTGTTGTCATCACCACCTGCTTGGCGCTTGGTACTCGCAAGATGGCTGCCAAGAATGCCGTGGTCCGAAGCCTGCCGTCCGTCGAAACTTTGGGAAGCTGCAGCGTTATCTGTTCTGACAAGACTGGTACATTGACCACCAACCAGATGAGTGTCAGCAAGCTCGTCTACCTAAGCGAGAATGGCTCGGGTCTTGTCGAGCACGATGTTGAGGGCACTACTTTTGCTCCTAAGGGATCCATCTCTCTCAGAGGCGAGACCGTTACCGACCTGACCCGTTCTTCTTCTACTGTTCGTCAGATGACTGAGGTCGCTGCGGTTTGCAACGACTCCAAGATCGCCTATGATGCCCAGAGCGCCACCTACTCCAATGTTGGCGAGCCTACTGAGGGCGCCCTGAGAGTTCTGGTAGAGAAACTAGGACCTTGTGCGCCTCCTGGCAGCAACCCTGAAGACTGTGTACACTACGCCAGCGCTCAGTACGAGAGCCGACTTCCCCGCCTGTCTACCTTCGAATTCTCCAGAGATCGTAAGAGCATGTCTGTTCTTGTTCAGAACGGCCAAGAGAAGAAGCTCCTCGTCAAGGGTGCTCCCGAGTCTGTCATTGAACGATGCTCGCACGCCCTTGTTGGTGCTGACGGAAAGCGCCAACCTTTGAACGGCAAGCTCTCGGATTTGATCGCCAAGGAAGTTGTTGACTACGGCAACCGCGGTCTTCGTGTCATTGCCCTCGCCAGCATTGACAACATCGGCGAGAATCCTCTGTTGAAGTCGGCCAAGACTACTGCCCAGTATGCCCAGATCGAGCAGAACATGACCTTCCTTGGATTGGTCGGTATGCTTGATCCCCCTCGCCCCGAGGTCAAGGCCTCTATCCGCAAGTGCAAGGATGCCGGAATCCGCGTTATCGTCATCACCGGAGACAACCGCAACACTGCTGAGAGCATCTGCCGACAGATTGGTGTCTTTGACGAATACGAGGATCTCAAGGGCAAGAGCTACACTGGTAGAGAATTTGAGAACCTCAGCGAAAGCGAGGCTATCGTGGCCGCCAAGAACGCATCTCTCTTCTCTCGTGTCGAACCCAGCCACAAGTCCAAGCTTGTTGACCTACTCCAGCAACAGGGAGAGGTTGTGGCCATGACCGGTGACGGTGTCAACGACGCACCCGCCCTCAAGAAGGCCGATATTGGTGTCGCCATGGGTTCCGGTACTGATGTGTCCAAGCTTGCTGCCGACATGGTGCTTGCCGATGACAACTTCGCCACGATCGAGGTTGCCATTGAGGAGGGACGTTCCATCTACAACAACACCCAGCAGTTCATTCGCTACCTCATCTCTTCCAACATTGGCGAAGTCGTCTCCATCTTCCTCACTGCTGCCCTTGGCATGCCCGAGGCATTGATCCCTGTCCAGCTTCTCTGGGTCAACCTGGTTACCGATGGTCTTCCCGCCACTGCCTTGTCGTTCAACCCCCCTGACCACGAGATCATGAAGCGCCAGCCCAGAAAGCGTGACGAGCCTCTCATCGGCGGCTGGCTCTTCCTTCGTTACCTCATCATCGGTACCTACGTAGGTGTGGCTACTGTCGCCGGCTACGCTTGGTGGTTCATGTACAACCCTGAGGGTCCTCAGATCACTTTCTCTCACCTCTCCCGCTTCCACCGCTGCTCCACCGACTTCCCGGAAATCGGCTGCCAGATGTTCTCAAACAGCTCTGCCAAGTCTGCCTCGACGGTTTCGCTCTCGATTTTGGTCGTCATTGAGATGTTCAACGCCATGAACGCGCTGTCCTCCAGCGAGTCTCTCTTGACTCTGCCTCTCTGGGCCAACATGAAGCTTGTCTACGCCATCACCCTTTCCATGGCTCTTCACTTTGCCCTCCTCTACACTCCTTTCCTCCAGAACCTGTTCTCCATTCTCCCCCTGAACTGGAACGAGTGGAAGGCGGTCTTGTACATCAGCGCCCCTGTCGTGTAAGTTGATACCCATCCTTTTGCTTTCGAACACATGCTAACAGCGTCATAGCCTCATCGACGAGGTTCTCAAGGCCGTTGAGAGATCTTTCTTCAGTCAGAAGAAGACGGTCCAGTCCTCCAAGGGAAAGAAGGAGAATTAGATGGATAGAGAGAGGTCAGCCCAAGCTAGATCATAGATCACTTGTACCATAGTAGCACTGTCAACCCATGCACAGAGCTGTACATAGACCGTCGCAGCCGACATCAAGGCATAAAAAGTCACCAAAAGGATGTAAAATCAAGGTCATTCGTCTAGTTCATGCAGGCTTCGAGGGCCCTCTCATAGTGGATCACCTCCATCTATTGGTACAAGCTAGAAACCGTCTATTTGCAGCGGTTCTACCGAGCTCTCCTCCCTCCACAATAAACTCCCCGCACGCAGATTAGTCTTGTCTGCCCTTAAGCAGTCTCTTGGTGACCTTGTCCTTCTCAATAATGTACACGTGTGCACCCCAACCGGATAGGGCGTCTCGGTCAACAGCGTTTAGAAGTGACTGAGAAATGGTTTCGAAGAGCTCATCGGGACCCTGCGTAAAATTCAGTGTTAGCTTGCTGGCAAATCCCGCCGCATCGTTCGCTGTCACGTACCAGATCGGGTTCCCATAAGCTCTCGCACATGCCAAAGAGTTGTTCGGAGGCAGTGCCGGAGACGATGAAGTCCTTGGCGAAGTCGATGCAGCCGATGGAGTCGAAGCCGCAAATAAAGGGCTTACCCGTCTTGGGGTCGAGGCCAGCAACGACTGGGGAGACGAAGTAAGGGCCGAAACGGCGCTCGTAGAGGGAGCTGCTGACGAGGTTGGCGAAGGTGGTCGGAGCGATGTTGCGCTCCTCGCGCAGGCGGTACATGTTGACTTTGTAGCGGAAGAGGTCGCCGACGGTCGTGACGTCGGTGGCGAGGCCGGTAAGACCCAGGAACACGTCGCCGTACTGGAAAATCTTGGGGAAGTTGTTGGAAACGGTCAGAGCCTGGAGACCGAGGCGGAGATCGCAGGCTATTGCGACACAGTCCTTGCCGACCATTGCGACGCAGGCGCCGCCGTCTAAAGAGGCTCTAGTTAGGAGAGTGATCTAGAAATCATTTGGGAATCGGAAAAGGTAGAGGAAGACGAACTGATGGAGAAGGGGGAGCTCTGGAGGTCCGGTTAGCTGGGTGGTTGCACCTCGAGGCTGAGGAGGGGGAGGAATGACGGGCGTACCATTTTGGCTCCTGGAGCGAGGGACCGCTGGGTACTTGAATGCTTCGGATGGGTTTCGAAGGAGATTTATCGTCCAGATTAGCGTTGTGATGGGATCGCGGGGTCGGCCGTGGATAGCCTTGGTGTGTTGCGTCGAAGTCGTTGATGGCGGGTCGTGATGGTGGTGGATGTAGCTGCAATTGAGGTTGACCGGATCGGAATGCTGAGGTAGCGTAGCACCTGCTGCCGCCTGCTCTTGCTGGGCTCTTGCTGTTGCTGCTGCTGCAGGGCAAGGCAAACACGCATGGCGCGGCCGAAGCGGTCGGAAAATCCACGTACAGCGAGTTGGAGCTTGCTGATTGGTCTGAGCTTGCTGCGCGGCCAAGCAGCTTTCAGCGGGTGCTCAGCGATGATGCACGTCCCCCCGGCTGCCTTCGCTGACGGAGCACATTCTTGCCTGCCTTACGTACCTACGCTTTACCTGGACTCTACATTTGAAGGAGTCAGTTACCTCGTCTTGCGTAGACTTTCACTTGAAAAACGAGTGGCGATCTAACCTCGATTTCAGTGCACCCAAACACGACTTTCTCAGCACTGGAAGAGTGCCAAGGATCGACTGCCGGATATTCCTTGTCCTTCCGCCGACTTCCACCAGACTAATACATCGCCCACGAGCTTGACGCAACGCCCGCCCCCCGCCGAGCATTCAACCCCGCCAACAACACCACGGAACACGATACCAAACCAGGCGCCTAGCAGCGACTCACGACTTGACAGCGAACCACATTCTATTCTGACAAGGACAACCACGAACTGTCCGCCTACGACATCTATACAAACAGAATGTCGCATGTGGTGGTGATCGGCACGGACTTGCGGAGGGCTACCGTCAAGGTCAGCCCAGGTACCTACTTGACAGATGTTTTGCAGGAGGCCTGCAAGAAGCTCAACTTGCCGAGTGATAAGTACTTGTTGAAGTAAGCTACAACGATTGTATTACACTCATCGCTTTGCGCAATAAAGTTAACAACCCGAAAGGCACAAGCAAAAGCAGGTCGATCTGTCCGTCGTCTGGCGAGTGAGCGGCCTTACTCCGGGTGCCAAACTTGAGCTCGTCCAGAAATCCAACACACCTTCAGTCGTTTCCGTTGCACTCCAACTACCCGCACTTGAGGCAAATGCAGCACCAAACGGTCGGTTAATTGAGAAACTACCCAGCGACTTCACAATATGGAAGGTCTTGCGCCAGTTCGAGAGTGGCGTTGTTAGTCAGGGGAAGAACCTCAATCTTACAGCACGAGGAGTAGCACAAACAACAAGTGGAGGCGCGAGTGGGAGTGGCCAGATGTACTATGAGACGCCAGTGTTGAACATCATGGGCCGGGAACTGGCTACCTTTGATGACTTCCAGAAAACTCTTTCACAACTTGGATACAATTCCGGCAGCGTCTTGATCCGGTTGTCGTTCAGGAAGACGGATCAAACCTTGTTTGAGGCTATGGGCCAGATCAGTCAGTTCTTCTCCGAAGTCGAGGCGGAAGCGAAGAAGGCAGACCAGACGCCACCCGCCCTGCAGGAAACAGTAAAGCCTGGGGCTGTTGAGACGACCACTCAGCCAGCAGCTCCTGAGGATGAAGTCAAACTCTCAGTCGCAGATGCTCCAGACAACCAGCAAAGCAGTGAAACATCAGAGCAAGACCCGGCAGATCTGACCGAACCGACGGCCGAGACGATGGATGTCGATCAACCAGATGCGGCAGACCCTTTGCAGCCGGTCAGTGTCTTCCGTGCTCCGAGTGGAACGACACCTGCGGCAGCTCTCGCGGATGTACCAGAGGACGACTATGCCCCGACCATTGCCCACGCACAGCTCCACCAAGCTCGACTTCAGCAAAGCGCACAGAACAAGCGACTGCTGTCCGACAAGGAACTCGAGGCGCTGAGGCAAGCCGAAGAAGCTCGTCTCGCTGCTGTTAGTAAGGTGCCGATGAAAGTGCGATTCCCTGACAATACCTCCGCGCAATGGACATTTGGCCACGAAGCCACCGGCGCCACCCTTTACCAGGCCGTCAGATCTGTGATGGCTCACAACACCCAGGCCTTCAGGCTGGTTATACCCGGTAGCAAGGTCATTATCAAAGACGAAGATAGCCCGAAGAACCGCTTGATTCACGACTACAAGCTCACGCGTAGTGTGCTTTTGAGCTTGGTCTGGAACGACAGTGTGCCGGCGGATATCCGCAAGAAACCCTTCTTGAAAGGCAGCGTCGCCCAGAAGGCGACAGACGTCACGGTCCCTGATATCCCTAAGGGCGACGACAAGGAGGAACAGCAACCAACTGCCTCATCCTCGAAACCGGAGAAGAGGGAAGGAAGTGGCGATGGCAGTGTTGCGAAGAAGCTTCCCAAGTGGCTTAAGTTGCCTGGAAAGAAATAGACGAGATCGCCTGTTGTAAACTTTAGACCACCCGACCATTTCCATATAGAATTTGGCGAGTATGTTCATGGTTAGGAGTTTGCTGAGCAAAAGGGATATGGGGCTTGGTCTTCAATTACTTCCGCTACTAAGCATAGCATGTCACAATCACAAACATGATCAAAGTGTAGAGAATAGTTTTGGATGCGAGGCAACATTGGGTGTGCTTAAAATTTTGGTATTTGTCGTCATGAGCTGCAACTATTCCATGATGCAGCATATCAGAAACCGTAAGGGGGAGTCCGTAACAAGACAACTTTTATGACCACGCCTTTGAACCCTTATGCCCAACCCAATATTTGCCAGTACACCCGTACGTCGAAATCGATTGTTTAGTGACCGACACGGCGGGACTCGGCGATGACGCGGGTCATCTCCTCGACCTTTCTCTTGGCGCGGCCGAAGGTGCCGAGCCTCTTCTTGGCGAGCTTACGGGCACGCTTGTCCTTGGAGTTGCGGAGCAACTCAATAACGCGGCGCTCGTAAGGGGCAAGGCTGTAGTAGAGGGTGGCTGGTTAGCATTTGTTTCGAACAAAAGGTCTGGCAGTGTTCAGGCCGTAGATATTGCACATTGCCGGAGACCGAGGTCATCCTCAGACGTAATGCCAACGATCCACGAACATCGAACGGGAACAACATGCCCACCGCCACGGGTGCGAGTGTAGACTTACCCAGCAACTTCCTTGACGACGTCACGGACGAAAGAGGTGCGCTTGCTCAGGTGACCCTTGGTGCGGGAGACACGGGGCTTGACGACGCGGGAGGTGGTCTTCTATATTACCGAAATAACATCAACCGGTCAGCGTCCATCTTCTGCAATAGAAAGCGGCAAAGGTTTGCTCGCTCCCCTCGTGGAGAGGGTTATGTGTGTATGCAGAGATCCTCCACGAGGTGAGACGAAGCGGGATGAGGGTTTCCCTTTCCCTCGGGTAGCCCTTGTTCCATTGTATGTGCGTATTGATTTCCCATTCTCGCATCTTTCGATTCGAAAACTTCGTTTCGCAATGGCCGGAGGGCTTCCTTCAGGTCGGGGTCGCCAAAGTGGTAATGGTGGTTCGACATACGTGGCCGTGGTTAAGACCAACGGTGAGACCGCTGCGGACGGGCGCTTCCTTGGCCATCTTGCTCGATGTTGGGCTGCTGATGGACGGTGGGTGGTCGGGTTAGTATTGTCGTGATGGTCGGAGAGGAGAGAAAAGGCTCGATCTAAGGGAAAAAAAGTTCGGTACGGTCGATTGGCAATTTTCGGCGGTGGGTTTGTGCGGTCACGTGCTTGGGGTTAGCGAGGGGATTTGACTGGCGTAACGGGTGTTGACCAGTAGAGAGAGAGGAATCCCACCATTGGTGCTGCAGCGGCAGTGGTCCAGTGCGAGTTGGCTGGGAGGGGGACAGGCAGTTTTTGATTCTTGATGCGATGTGATTGGTTCGTCTCTTCTGCAGGACCCTTGAGTGAGAATCGGCAGCATGTTGGTTCCCCTCCAGGCAGTCGTCGTGCACCCGCAGGCTGAAGTTGGCCTGCTTCACCTACATCTCACCGACTTTCCGAACTCAAGCCCTAGCAGGTCGTGTACGCATTTAGACCGAGAAGCTATTGCTATTGCATGCTGTGTCTTGGTAACCGGGCTCAACGCATTGCATGCACCTCGTATCTGTACCTGAGCAGGATCACCTTGAGAAACAAGACCCGGACTAAGTAAAGTAGGTCCAGCATTGTTGCTTCTTCCGTAGACCGGCGCGGCCAAGTCGGGCCAGCCGCACTTGACATCAGGGTCGCCGCAGAGCCGCGCATTGATACCCTATCCGTTCAACAAGATCGGGTTTGGCTCTGCTATTCTGCTTTGCCGCTTTCTTCGTCACTCTTACGGACGACTACGGGGGCTCCCCTGGAACCCAGCTTCTAGACCAAAAAAGCCGGCCGAGTCTTTCGTCCTTGACCAACCTCCTGAAGACAGCCCCGCCCCGTCTTCCTTGAATGTCGTCCGAACAACGTCCAGAAACCATGAACAGCGGAGCGAGGTCTGCTCTATCATAGGGAGCTCAAGGGCCGGTACCAGACGGGATCAACAACCAGTAGCCCAGCGCAGGATGCCATGCTTGGAAACATGAAACACACACCATCCAATCACAGCTAACGTTTCCCCTGAAATAACGCAGCCAAAGCAACGCTGGGCGCGTTAATGCGAGCATTAACCTCTTAACTCGGTGCCCTCTTTTCTCCATATTACCAGAGGCCCGTCTTAATGACGGGCTGGTATGCTTTCTATCCCCTTTCCTCCCCCTGGAATGGAGCTAGGAGGCCCTCCTCAGCCATCCCGTTGACGCGGGCGGTCCGGTTGATTGCATCAGGATCTGCAGACGGCTGACTATTTTCTCGAAAGTTTAGCCATGACGGGCCACGTCGTTCCCACCCCTGAGGAGCCCGGTCCTGCATGGAACGGCGATGGAGATCTGGAGCTGCTAGTGCTACTGGGTCCGATCCTGTTTGTAACTGGGTCATATCAAAGGTCAAGCTTGGAAGGAACGGACTACTTAGGCGATCAGCAAGGTCCTTGACTCTGATCAACCAGTTTCTTCAGTCCTGGTCTGTTTCTTACAATCTCCTCTTCACATCTTCTCTGCACCTGGCAGTCTGCGTTTGAGACCGTATTCCCCTACCTGATTGTACCATCCACCATCACACCCAACATGAAGGCCTCCCTGCTCTTCGTCGCTGCCCCGGCCGTCCAGGCCGCAGTCTCCTACATGGCCGCAGTCCCCGAATCCCTCATGGCTAAGGTAGAATCCTCCGACTGCACCCTCCCGGACGACTTCCAGATCCAAAACTTCGCTGCTGAGTCGCCGGACGGTGGCCAGACGGTCGAGTCCCTAAACTTCAACTTCAACGACGACAGCGCAATCTTGAGCACGCCGTGCCAGCTCAACGCCTCGTCGGTTCCCGTGACGAGTGACGGCCGCACGCCGCGGTACGCCTGCGACGACGCGCGCGTGCAGTTCATCTGGCAAAACGGAACGATCACCGTGATTGAGAAGGTCTGCCCCGGTGACGACGGGTGAGTTACAAAGTCCATTTGACGCTAGGTTTTGCGCCGGTTTCTCGACTGACAGACTGAATACAGTGCCGCCGACTATGAGGCGTCAGGAACGGCCGTCGTTCCGGTGGTGTGCGACGGGGCCGCCGGGAACGGAACGGGCAACGCTGCTCGGCAAAGGCGCCGCAACAGCAGGAGGGCCGTTGCGTGTAAGTCCAACTCGGACGACATTCGCTCGAGGTTCTTCAGCATCCAGCCTGTCCCGGGCGGCGGCGAGGCGTAGACAATCTTGGGATGAACCGAGCAAGGAAACAAAAAACGAAGAAAAAAAAAACGGCACTGCGTGGATGATGAAACAAACCAATGAACATACGCTGAGACAGCCTGACCCAGTGAGGTCACGGACAAAGTCTGGGCCTGGGCAGGTTATACTTCCCCAACAATTGGGCTGTACATACTATTACTACAAAGTGCATAGGACGTATGGTGGAAACAGTCACATGGACAAAGAAGATCCAGAATAGAGTAATCGATAGACCTTGTCCCGCTCTTCGCATGAGACTCTTGAGATGAGGTTCCTCAAACAAACAGTGCCAGAAGGTCAAGACTAAGGGGGAGGGGCCGCCGGGTAACTGACAGCTTTTCGCGGGGGCAAGGACAGTCTAATCCCAATTCGGCCATTGCCCAGCAGCCACTTGACCCCTCTTCCAGGGGCTGAGCACCACTCAGAACCAACCGCTTGTCGGCAATCGTCGCTTGGCCGCGCCTCTCCGCATCTTTTTTTGTCAGTGAGGTAAGGTAGGCACTGCTCGCAGGTCCTGCATTGCCATATGACCTCACCACGCTCACCTCACGAGATCGGTCTGAGACGTCGGTATCCCGTCCTATTTTGTGACTCGACGAGACCACACGCACACGTTCCCCAACCAATCTTATTTTTGCAGGAATTTGTACAGGCGCAATCGTCATCATGCGCTCCTGGACGGTCAGGCCCTGAAAAGCCCTCTTTATCATTTACCTGATCATTCTCGTTCGACTAGCAGACCAGACCAGCCTGGCGAACCCTTCCTTCCTGACAACCATTCGTCGTCTCGCCTATATCCTACCTTCTTCCCATCCTCTCGTCCGACGGTTACATTGAGGGAAGACATCCACCCCTGCGCAATGTCTTCCAGCTTGGGCAATCGACCATAGCCTGCATTTCGCGAAATACCTACCAGCAGACTATCACGAATCCCCGACGACAGAATGTATGCACCCACGCGACTTCTCCTCTACCTGCTCCAGCTCGCGCCACTGGCTGGCCTAGCCTCAGCGACACTGCCTGGCAACACGCAGCAACCCCTGCTGCCGACCAACGATAACAAGACCGACGCACCTCCACCGATCGTTTCCGTTGAGCTTTTCCGGTCGCTCGAGCGCACGTCGCGCATCGTCGATATAACCTACTGCGTCGGCACCTCGGGGATATCGCAGCCATTCTCCTGCGTCTCGCGCTGCAAGGAGTTTCCCTCGTTTACGCTGGTTTCGACATGGAACACGGGGGTCCTGCTGAGCGACAGCTGCGGCTACATCGCTGTGGATCATGGCGTGCGCAGGCCAGGGGATGAGGATAGGTTCAATGGCGAGGTTGGGGAGAAGGCTATCATTGTCGCTTTCCGCGGAACTTACAGCATCTCCAACACCATTATCGATCTGAGCACAATACCGCAGGAATACGTGCCTTATCCCTCCCCCGATGACGGCGGCAAGTCGCCCAAAGAGCCTAAGCACGAATGCAAAGATTGCACCGTCCATATGGGCTTCCTAGCGTCGTGGCGCCAGGCGCGGAACCTGGTGGTCCCCGAAGTGAAGAAGTTGAGAGAGCGGTACCCCGACTATCCTATTCATCTTGTCGGCCACAGTCTCGGGGGCGCCGTTGCCATGCTCGCGTCCCTCGAACTAAAGGTATCAATTGGCTGGGACAACATTGTCGTTACGACTTTTGGCGAGCCCAAGGTCGGGAACCAGGGCCTCTGCGACTACGTTGACGAAGTCTTCGGATTGAAGAACGAGGAAGACGAGCATTTGTCAGAGCGGACCTACCGCCGCGTCACCCACGCTGACGACCCGGTGCCGCTGCTCCCACTTACAGAGTGGGGCTACAAGCCGCACGCCGGCGAATACCACATTGCCAAGGCGGAGCTGTCGCCGTCGCTTGAAGACGTGATAGTCTGCCGCGGCGACAGCGACGCGCACTGCATCACGAAGGGGGATGGCGGCTTCTTCGAATCTAAAGTGCAGGAATCGGCAGAGGTTGCAAGGTCGGTAAAAGAGGCTGACGAAACCAAGTGGATAAAGAGGCTGCCGGGCTTTCCGGCTCGGCTCAAACTTTGGCAGCTGCTCTTCGCCCACAGGGACTACTTCTGGAGACTCGGACTTTGTGTGCCTGGTGGCGACCCGGCGAATTGGGGGAGAGACAAGTACGGCGGGCGCGACGATGCGGTATCAGATGAGCTTTGATCGGTGCCGCGTTGCTTTTGGGGGTAAACTCTGACTCCTTTCCGAAGCGCTTGTGAAGAATTTATTGCTACAGGACCCGCGGCTCTTTATAATAAACACGAGGCAGTCTTTGGAAAGGCAGGAACGGTACGGCGTTTGGATGGGACGGCGGGCGTTTTCACTTTCTGATACCTTGGCATAGCTTAAGACTGTAACGGATTTCAAGAAAAAGCCAAAACCAAAAACCGAAAAGGGGTCCCCCACCATTGTGATGTTAACAATCTTGACTGAGTCGCGCGACAACTCCACGCAGCGTGTGCCGAAGACCAAGTCCCGAAAGGCCTCGGCAACAACAAGCACCCACATCTAGATTCGTTCGCCGGTCCTCATCACTGAGAGTTGCTAGTTGCATCTGTCTTTGCCACGCAGAATAAAACACTAGAAGCTCTAGAAAGAGGATCGAAGACTGGTCTAGATCGCTAAGAGACAACGGCGAGCAAGGGTTTCCATTTGCGTCTCCCACCTGGAGGTAAGGGGAAGAAAAGACTCAGCCCTCCACCGGTGGTTTCCCGCGCGAGGTCTCAACCAAACTCCACCGGTTCTGTGATGAGCTGGACTTCCAGTCTACATGTGGGGCCCAAGTCGACACGCCAGAACTTCCAGATGTCGTCTTGCTGGGTCTCGAGAAATCCCAGAAAGCTGCGGTTATGCAAGCTATGGCCGTGCTAGCAGGCAATATGTGGGCGCCGGGAACAGCCCGGGTGGGTGTGCCCGCAGCGTCCCAAGTCTGTCTTCCTCGCGGCTATCCGACCGCTTCCACTGTCCATGCTGGCTAGAGGACCAAGGTGGACTCGGTGAGAACTGGGTTGGCCTGTCATCCGCGTGCAAACGCATTGCCCATGCTTCCCGGTTTGGAGGTCTCCTACCAGTCGGAGATGGGAACCCGGGGTGTAAGATGAGGGGTAAACAAGAACGAGGTCTGTAAAGGAGGATGGCGCATCAGTACTGCCGAAAAGCAGGTTTATTCTCGTCGAAGCGTGTGCTTGGGGTCGAGAGAGATATTCTGAGCTGCACGGGCCCAGAGGATGCCACGCGATAAGGCGGCAGCCATGCGTGTCGCTTGTTCGACCCGACCAAATGGAGGGGAATCCCCCCATGGGCTGTGCTGGCCGTGAGTCACCAAGGCTGCGTTGATACCGAAAAGGAGGGTAGGAATGGCCCTGTTTGGGACGAATAGGGGGCCAAGAAATTGGAGATCAGAGTCAAGTAAACCAGGTGTTACTGTGACTATGGCCAGGCAGGTTGGGCCGAGTTCAGCTGACCATCATGATGGCATCTTGAGCCTTTGCCGTTTCACTCGCAGGAACTTTGCGATAATCCTACAAAGAGAGGAAGCTGGAGATGTTGGATGGCACGCTGATCGAACTAGGGATAACCCCTTGGGTTGAAACCAGTTACTCTGGGGTTAAGGCAGAGGAAACACCGCAGGTTGATGAACGATCGGATATTTTACAGACTGGGTGCCGATGGGTGGGCAAAGTAGTTTCGTGCATGACACAGCACCGCCTTGTTGACAAGCATGCATGCGAGCGGTAACGCGAGATGTAATGGGGACCACCGCAAAGCAAGGCGACTCTTCAAAGAGGGTCGTCGTGGTTGGACGACGTGTCGACTGGGATCGTGGCTTGGTCGGCCGAGTGGCTGCTAGTCCCCCACAGTGAGGCGCCGACTTCAGCATGACAGGCAGAGACCACATGGCTATCGAGACTTGGGCGACAATTGGGCAAAACCGGACCGTGATGGACGAATACAGGCAGCCGATATTGACGAACAGTGTGTCATCGTGAATCTGTTGACCTTGCCCATTCCATTTTCCAGGGCTTTCCGGTGGATTGTCGTCCAGGGGTCTTTTGATGCTCGCAATACTCTCTGTGTGTACACTACTGATGGCATCCGCCTCTTTGACTTGTCCGGCAACCAATTTCCCAAAATCACCATCCAATATATACAGTTCAGTCTGGTCGTCAGATAGACGACAATGACGGGTACCCAGAGAAAGGCGGCCTTGTGTCTCTTACAAATCCAGTCGTGGGTGATTTGAGGTGATTTGAGACCGTCAGGAATCATAATCCGAGACAAGATGGGATGGCATTTAACGAAGGATAGAAGCGCAAGTGCTCATCCTCGTGGTTTGGTATGAGATAAGCCACCAGAAGCGGGAATTCCAGGACTCAGTACAGTCCGGCCATCTAATCTGAGCGAATATTTTGGGCGTATTGCCTACCATTTCTTGGTGCCCGTTGGAATCGACGGATTGGTTATTTCACTGGCTGTCAGTAAGCCCACCACCGGCTGCCCAATGTAGCTGGGCGTCTGTGCAATGCCGACTTGTGTCGCCAAAGGTTACGCCATTGTTGTGTTGGGCAGAGCATAGGAGGTGAAGGAAGTGATTGTTACGCGATGGGAGTTGAGGTGAGGGGCGGGGATTTTCACTGATGGGCCGACCGCAGGGGGTGTCTTGAGCCAGGGCCCAGCGGACTCTATCACGCGTAGATGTGCTTGGAACGAGAGAGAAACATCAGAGTAGGAATCACGAGACAAGAAAAAAAAGGGCAGTTTTGGCCAGGGAAAGAGATACGTACATGGCGGGCGTGTCGCAAAGCAGGAGCGGGGAAACGCATGGAGAGGGTGGACCTAGCCTCGCGACGTTCAGCCAGCCAGTCAGCGGCGAGTATTTGCCATTCCAATGTTCACGACCCAGATGTCGCTGCGCCGTATGCTGTGCTGGGTGTACAGTGTGTGCCATGTGCTGAGCTGGCCGTCCTTCAACACACACACACTCACACACACACTTGAGCTCTCACATTCAACATGCCCAAGCAAATGACCTTCACCTGAGTTATCTGAGTGACATGAGTGGCCCCCTCACAGACTAAAATTGGCCAGCCCATTTCTTTTCTGCTTTAATTTCCTGGGCTGGAGAGGCAACGCTTCCAATCCCAAGACTCGCGCAGGCAGCCTCGTGACAGTTGCTCGAATGGGGAACTGATCCATCTCAGCGGGAATTGGCAGATGAGAGGGACACTGCTGGGCCGGCAAGAACGGGTTTGTTGGTTTTGATTTTGGGTAATCAGAGAAGCAGGCGCTGCGGATTACTACCTACAACGGCGGCTCTCGAAGTACCACTTCCGTACATCGTCAGCTTTCTTCTGCTGGTCGCTCGTCACTTAAGGACTAGGCCGATACATCGTGTCCCGACTCCCTGCGATGCGGAATCTTGCCTTCGATGCTCGGCAGACTAAGGCAATCTCAGGGCCGCAATCCACCCAAAGGGACCTCACCACATGCTAATGCCATTTGACCCTGGCTGACCCCGTTGAGCCCTGGTCTCTCTAGCCTCTCTCGCTCTCCCCTTTCCATACACGGGAATTCAGAAAGGAGCTTTCGCCCAGGATAGCTATTTCATGCGATCGGCGAATACACAGCAAACTCGGGAGGAAAGCAGTGAAAGGAGCAAATTGACACCCCGGCTTCTTTCCCCTGCCACTTGTCCACTGCCTATTCACTAGCCTCAACTTTCTAAGGTACCGTTCTGGTGACCTTGGGCCTAAGAGTACAGTAGAGCCCAGCCTAGTCCAGCGCCCCATTTCTCTTCCCCTCCCGCCAAATTGGAAACTGCCCATGCCCTGGATCAGTGTCCCCGAGCCCCCGAGAGCCTAACCAGCTCATTCCCATCCAATGCACTTGAGCAATTCAACCCAAGGCCCAGCACAGGCAGAAGGGGGGAGGGGGCTTGGGGAGGAAAGGAAACATAGTGGGGTTGAGGCGGCAGGTGAAGCCAGCAGCCAGCAGGCACAGGCCACGACCAGGGCAGGCACGTTACGGTACGGCGCGGTAATAAAGTAAAGTGCCATGGGGCTGTCCACCTCCCTCAGTTGCTTGCTGCTAAGGCAGGAAGTAGCGAAGCAGCGACCCCAACCGGAGGTACGGGTACGGGTAGGAGACCCAGCAGCCCAGGAGAAAGAGAGGGAAAGAGCGACTTGGGGACAGTGGACGTGGACTTGGGGACTTGGACCAACCCGATTAAATCTTCACTGACCTCGCAACTTCCCTTTGAGATTCCCCCTCCCAAAATAATTCGTCACACGTAAACACTCCCTCCGCCTTCCATCCTTCTCCCACCACACATCTTTTTCCACTCTGCAACAACAAAACAAACCCGCGTCAACTTTTCACCAACCCCCGTTGCACGCTCTACCACCATATCTATCCCTACCTTCTGTCAAATTCTCTTTTCCACCTCAACCTAGTCGCATCACCTCAATCCCGAAGTTCAACATGTCTGGCGATGTAAGTACCATTTCCCCCACGCTGCCCAATACCACCACCTCACTCCAAAACCCCTCCGTCGCCCCTCGCCCGCCTCTGCCCTGCCTGTGCCACCGCAACGAAGATGGCTATGATGCGACCGCTGAACCGCCGCCTGTATCGCGCGTCTCGCCGATTTTTTGCTTCACTTGGGGGTGCCTGAGGTCGATGGACTGTTCTCCTATTCTGTTCAAATCACTCATCTCTGCTATGTCCTGCGGAAAGAAAGCATGCTGACCTGTGCCCCTCTTCTAGCGTGAAAGGTTTGTGCCGAGCCTCCTCGTCGATGGACCACCTCCCATCAACCAGACCCTCCTCTGCCGAGGGTCTTGCGCACAGCATCATGACTGATTATTTCCCTACAGCAAGACCTTCCTCGCTCGCCTTTGCGAGCAGGCCGAGCGCTACGATGAGATGGTTGGCTACATGAAGGAGGTTGCCAAGCTGGGCGGTGAGCTGAGCGTCGATGAGCGCAACCTCCTTAGCGTTGCCTACAAGAACGTTGTCGGCACCCGCCGTGCCTCGTGGCGCATCATCTCCTCCATTGAGCAGAAGGAGGAGAGCAAGGGCTCCGACAAGCACGTTGGCACCATCCGCGAGTACCGCACCAAGATCGAGACCGAGCTTGAGCAGGTCTGCCAGGATGTCCTCGACGTCCTCGACGACAGCCTCATCCCCAACGCCCAGACCGGCGAGTCCAAGGTCTTCTACCACAAGATGTACGTTTTCTGATGCTGCCGCCTGTTGTAATCCATGTCGATCCTAGCACCGGAACTAACCGTTGCGTCCCACAATCCAGGAAGGGTGACTACCACCGCTACCTTGCCGAGTTCGCCTCTGGCGAGAAGCGCAAGGGTGCTGCCACCGCTGCCCACGAGGCCTACAAGGTACGAGAAGAAACTAAGCCTGGTGCAATCGCCCTTGAGGACACTGAGCTGACGCCGCGATTTTTAACAGAGTGCTACCGACGTCGCTCAGACTGAGCTGACCCCCACCCACCCCATCCGCCTCGGTCTGGCCCTTAACTTCTCCGTCTTCTACTATGAGATCCTGAACTCGCCCGACCGTGCTTGCCACCTTGCCAAGCAGGCCTTCGATGATGCCATTGCCGAGCTCGACTCTCTCTCCGAGGAGTCTTACCGCGACAGCACCCTCATCATGCAGCTCCTGCGTGACAACCTTACTCTCTGGACCTCGTCCGACAGCGGCGACGCTGAGGGTGCCGCTGCTGGCACCGCCGAGGCCTCTGAGGAGAAGAAGGAAGAGCCCAAGCCCGAGGAGCCCAAGGCCGCCGAGGAGACCCCTGCTGCCTCCTAAATTCCTGTCCTACCCTGATACCACTCCATCTCGGCTCAAGATAGGACTGAGATGGCTCGTCTGCTCGGCCGTTGGTATGCGCTACATGCGGACCCTCTGATGGCCGGATCTGGCCGCCACTTTAGTGGCTGATGATATCTGTGACTCGCGATAAGCGAGTCTCTTGGCGAAAGGGGGAAGATTTTGGGGGGTTTTGGACGCGGAGAAAGGAATAATGCGTGGCATGGTCTTTTTTGGTCCCTTGGATGTCCACCCCGGCCCGGAACAGTCTCGTTCCTCGGACCAGGGAGGTGTTGGAGGACCCTACTTGGCAGCTAACTACTGACTTTCCCCTTCTTCATACCCGTCCATGCCCAGAATCTTTTCTCCTTTCGTTCTCCTCGAATCCTGCTTTTTACCCCTGTGCTGGATGGTTTACGGCTGTCTCGTGTTCTCTTTTCGGTTTTCCTCATAGTGGTCCTTCAGTTGTCGCGCGTCTTCTCACGGAGAAAGAAAGTCCTTCCCCCCCAAATGCCCCCTGTCTATTCAGTCTACAAGACCAAAAAGAAAATAACAAACGTTCATCAACAACCTTGGACCAATGATTCAAGGAGCGTGCTTTGCGTGATTTTCGCAGGGTAGCATGTGACCAATGCGGTTGCAAGGCGGAATGGGACAACAAGAGCTCGCCGGGTAGTGATTGGCGGGGGAGCACATTGGAGTCTTCCAAGGTTGAATTTCGGGGGGGGTTCTTCCATCTTGAGTTTTTTACACTTTCAACCCTGACAGCACGACGTTTGCCCCAGACATTGTTGGTCAAGTGGCTAGAGAAATTAACAAATTGGTATTTCCTGCATGGCTCTGTGTGTGTGTTCAACTATGTATGTGAACCGACCCATTTCAAAAATAAAATAAACAAAACGCCGAGCACCAACCATTTCGTTTCCCATATTTCACACACGGTCTCCAACATGCGCCTCATTCCAACACCTAACCGCGAGCTATTCGCCTGCTCGCCCCGTGTATGTACGATTTCTAACGGTTCCCATGAGTCCTCGCGAGGAGCCTCGAGGCCCTCCTAAGCCGTGCCTGCTTTTCGGCGATCAGCTTCGGCACATGGCCTCGGCCCTCCGAGTCGGCCTCGTCGACAGCGCAGTCCCCGTCTGCGTCCATTTCGGCGTCAGCGGCGGGGTTGATTGCGACGTTGAGGGGGGCCGCGAGGGTCGCGCGTCGGTACATTTTGGTGGCTTCCTCGGCGCCGCGGGGCGGCATGGGCCCGCCGGTCCTGCTCCCGCTAATCTTACGGACGAGGTTGCGCATGCCGCGGAAGATTGGGTGGCTGCCGTGCTTTGCACGGAAAAGACCCGCCGGCACGTGTCCACCGGGAAGTGTCTCTGTCTGGTCGAGGTAAGCCCCTGATGGTTCCAAGCCCATTGCCGGCGGGGCTCCGAGGCGTGAGCACGTCGGGCAGTACGTCGGTTGTAAGGGGAGGATGTCGCTGCGGGGAAATGTGAAGGCATCGCCCGCCCCCGGTGAGGACGCCGAGGAGGAAGCTGATGATGATGCGGCGGAGAGGGAAATGTTTGTTGAGGAGGCAGATGCGGCCGGTGAGGACGGGGGGCATGTGCACAGGGATGCTGAAGCTGCAACCTCCTCGCGCCAGACTTGGATCCGCTGTTGCTTGTTGAGAGATGGGTTGTGAAGAGACATCTTGGCGGTGATTTTGTGGTTTTTCTCTTCTTTTTTTTTTTCTCTTTTTATGCTTTGAGGATTATGATAGGATTTGTTGTGTTGCTGGGTGTTTATAAGGGTGCGATTGTAATAAATGAAATGTGATTAGACTTTGGGAGTGGGTTTCCCGTTTTCGTGATAACTGGTTGCGATCGTTGAGTTGCAGTATTGAAATGACGGCAATGCTCTGCTGAGCCAAGCCCGAAAGTAAGAAGTGTGCTGAGACTTCGAGAAGGTCTGCGCGCCTTCTGCACAGAATGAAGCAAAATTAGGTGTTCGCCGTTGAGAACGGTTACTCCTCGGGTCCGTCCGCTTTGGAGTTCATCAAAAGGACAAAAAAGTGTAAATCGAGGGAAGGGAAAGTAGGAGGAAATAAGAAAAATAGAAGGATATTAAAGTTCGGAGCGTGTCGTCTAGGTGAGGTAGCACACGGGATCTGACTGGGGTGGTGTTATGGGCGTCTCCGTCTCTGTCTCTGCTCGGCAGATGGACTCGAATACACGGGTGAACACACGACGGAAGGGCACATGAACCAAGATGAATAGTCGGCGCCAACCCCGGATTCCGATGTCCCCTCCAACTGGATGTACGTGTGTGTGTGTGTGTTTGTGGGGGGGGGGGAGTTGATGGCGGGCAGATGACTGGATTAGGGCGGATCGAGGTGTGAAGCAGGGGATGATTGGAGTGGGCAAGAGTTTTGGGGGTTCAGGGCAACAAGAAAATAGATAAGAATACAGCAGGATGGATGAACGAGTCAAGCCTCCTTCTTGTCATCCGGTATTGGGGAGACCCGGGTGGGAGGTCTTAGCGGGAAAACGCCTTCGGGCGTATGAAACAAAAAAAAAGCTGGCGAGCCAACCACCGGAAGGGAACAAGAAAAAGAAAGGCTAGGGCCCAAGAAGAAGAAAAGAAAGAAAAAGATATCAACGGTAGAGAGAGCAGGCTTGTGACTGGCCAGCTAAAGAAGCCCAGTCGGCCCTTGTAGTTGTGGCAGGTGTTCGAGGTCAATAGGTGAAGGGCCTGGGTTCGAAGCAATGTGGTCGATGCTCGGATGGTTGCTGCGGGTCTTCAAAGGGAACACAACAGCAATAGCAACGAATAACGGTTGAAAGAAGCGACTGGTGTTTGGCCTAAGTTGTGTTGTTGCGACGAACGTCCGTCCGTCCGTCTGTCGTTCGGCCCTACAAAACTTGAATCAAGGGGCCAAGAGGTTACCGCTTGACTTGAGGGAGGATTGCAGCCGAGATTGAGAGGGAGATCGTGCAGGTGACTAGAGCACGCAACGCAGTAGCTCCGCCTGCAGGATTTCTCGACCACGCTTGGTAGGGTGTTTTGAACGTTTAGGTTGGTGAGAAGGTCAGGCCAGGCAAGATGGGACGGGAGGAAGACGAGCCGGAGGGCTGAAGGACACGGGCTCAGGCGACGCTGAACCAAAGATGGCACAGAAGGCGAGCGTTCTGGAGGCCCGGGGCGGGGGCTTTTGCTCCTGCCTCTACTGTACGTCTTTGGCCCCTCTTTCTGTCGTTTCCTTGAAAGGGACGTTGCCTGCTTCGGGCTTCGCCTGCCCCGCGATCGGCAGGCCCAGTCCAGTTGACCACTTTTCGGTGTGCCGCACTAAAGGAATGGTGTTGGGAAGGGCCAAGCCAGGAAAGCGGGCGGCCGGACTTGCAGTGTGGTCCTAATAGTAGAGAGTCCCGGGTATTCGAGTGGGACCTCCGCAAGCGGCTATTGCGGGCGGAAGTGGAGGGGGAACAATAGGCACAGGGAAGGTTGGTGCGGGCGGCGCGGCGCGTGCAATGACACTGGCAGAGTGATCTCCCCAGCCAACAAGCTCGAACACCACCACCACCATCATCATCACCCCTTGTTCGCTGTGGCGCCCGAGGGGGGGGCATGACTTGGGCTTTGGGCTAGGGCGGTGCGTGCTTGGATAGTGCCGCTGTCAGATGTCAATGCCTAGGAGCACAGGAAACGGAGGCGGGGCCAGTGCTCTACCTAGTACTGCAAGTACACTAAGAGGAAGCGGTGTGGTGTCTCAGTTGGTCAAGAGGACGATATCGTGACTCCTGCAACGGTTCGAGACGACAGAGGAGAAGAAGAAAGCGGGCGCGGTTCAGGAGAATTAAGAGTTCAGCTTTTCCTGAGACTGTCGAAATCCAGGGTCCATCCATCCGACACGCATCCTGCTCGGTGAAGCCGCTCTGTGGTGAGGTAAAGGGGTTTCTTCGAATGACGTTGTGTTGTGGACGGCTGTGGCATGCAAGCCGATTGGCGTTCTCCCCTGACTCACCCACATCGGGTCGCTTCGAGGTTGGCTTCCCCCCTCCGGCGGTGCAGGCATTGGGCTTCCTCATCCACTTGGATACGGAACCGAGGAGTGTAAGACGCCAGTCGATTCCCGGCGCACGAAAAATCTAACATTGAGCCATGATGAATGACAATGGCTTTTGCTTTTTTCTTTCTTCTGTGTCTTACTTTTCTCATCACGTCCAACCTTCCCCCGCAGTCCCTAGCAACAGCAACTCCGTCAATCTAGCCAAGTTTCTTCTCCTTGTCGGCCGTCCAAGACGTTCCGTCTGGCAAAATTGACCATATAATTTGTCAACAATGCCCGCCCACTTGTATGCTTTTTGTTTCTAAACTCTACAGAATCAATCTATCATCTCTGCGTGCTGGGAACCAGTGTCTCCCAGCTTCCCATGTCGCTGGGCCCTGCGTCACCCAACGAGTCTAATAGGTCTACTGGCTTTTTGGCCGGGATCTTCGGCTTGGGCCGTGCCTCACCAGCTCTCATCCCCGGCAGGGCGACTGCCCCGGCCATCGGGCTCTGTCTGCCGGGCTCCATGTTGAGGGTATCCGCACGCTTGGGCGGCTTGGCCGGTGTGCCAATCGGCTTTCTATGCATTCCTCTTTCCATTCCCGCGCTGAGATTGGTAAAGCCCGTCGAAGCCCGTGCCGGCAGTGGCGGCCTTTCTGTCGGATCGTCCTTGTACTGACTAGTTCCGTTGCTGCTCAAAACCGGAGATGTGGCTAGGTGGGCTGGCTTCTTCGCAACGGGTGGAGCGGGCTTGGATTTTGACTGTGAAGACAATTGCGACAACTGCGAGATTGCAGACGACGGCCGTGGAGGTGTCGGATTTTGGGATCGGTTTGAAGGGATTAATGGGGGTTGTAGAACTGCCGCGTTGGTTCCTGTCTGCCTTCTAGGTGGTGGCGGGGGCGGTGGCGTCTCTCCCCTTTGTGACTTGTCGTCTTTGATGTTGAGTCCGCCGACCTTCGATGACAAGGTCGACGGGTCAAATGGTGGTGGCAGCTTCCTTGCAATCCTATTCGAAGCCGATGAAGAAAGGTCGTTTGGTGCGTAGACATGCTCGTACGGCGATGTCGAGACGCTGGAGAAGGATGACAGCCTTGACCTCGGCACGTTGACCCAGTCTGGCTCTCCTGTTGGCGTAAAGGGATTCGGTGGTCTATTGGGATTCAGCACCGTAGCCTGTCCATCGGGGGCTTTGGGCTGCTTGATGTCAACTTTCGCCTGCTGCTTGTTCTCCAACCACCACTTTTGGCGGTCAGAGCTCGCAGGAGGCAGTCCCGGCTCAATAGCTTCGTAGCCAATTAAGTCCTCGTCATCGGTCTCCTCAGAGTCCAAGTTGGCAGTTGCGTCTCCCACTTCAGCTTTCCTTCGTTGATAGAGATCCTTGCTGATTCGGTCTCGAAGGGCTTCGTCAATAATGCTCACATTGCACTGGAAGACTGCATAAACCGGTCGATGATCCGAGAACTTGAGCGGGGCCGAGTTGTATGCCAATTGACGCAAGTTTGCTCCTTTACGTAGAATACGGTCGGTCCACGCCGGGATACGTGCCTTTTCACTATGGGAAGTCAGCCTCTGCATTAAAAACCAAGACGATGATGGTTCGTTGGACATACGATGTATCGTATTCGTCAGTTCCAAGGTCAAACTTGTACGTGGGCAGAAAGTTGATCCGGGCTTCGGAATAGAACGGGAACGCAAGTCCCGCAATCATCTGGAGGTTCAACTACCAAGTACTGTCAGTATGATGATCAGTTCGCAAAGACACTTTCTGTTCCTCACCTGGTCGTTCTCGTAAAGCGTTTCCAGGTCTCGCTTCTTGATCAAGCTTCGGGCAGCTTCAGAGCCGAGCCCAATTCTGTAGTTGAAATCACCCAGCCATACAACAGCATCTGTTCTCAGGTCAGCTCATATTCCAAACGTTGGGCTTTGGACAGTTGTTCTTCATCCTACCGTGGTCGTCAATGCTACGGTTTCGTTGGAAACGGAGCCCGTGGTGGATCGTCGCATAGTCTCTGTTCCTTTCGTCATAGTTCGAAAATCCAGCAGCCAAATGGGCTGTCACAAAACAGATATGGGTATTCGCATAGTCAAATCGTATCGCAACCGCACCCTTGTTGCCCGCCATCCCTGACAGCCCAGTCTTCTTGACACTTCCTTCGACATTCTTAATGTTGGGCAAGGCCGAGGCCTTGATGAAGATGCACAACGCAGCACCAACGAGCTGTCCGCTTCGGAGCAATACGTATCTTTCACCACCAAGTGCCTTGGCACGCTTGTTGAGACATCGTCTTACTGCAGCTTCCCATAACTGTTTTCTGGAAGGGTCGCTGTTCATGATCTGCTGCGGGCTCAACTCAACAATCTCTTGAAACCCCACGGCGACGATCTCAGGTAACACGTTACCGAGTTCTTCTGGGGCTAACCATGGAGCAAGATCGCTATCAACACCTTCAGTGCGGCCATTCAGGTTGAAAGTGCCGACCAGCCTACCACGATAAGTATCTCGGAGACAACATGACGGGGCAGTATACTTACATGGTGATGTCCTGTACGGAAGAAAATTCAGCGCTTCTCTTGGTGAGCTCGCCAGACACGTGGTCGCTGATAGGATCAAATAGAAGGACGGGAATTTGGTTGACAAGGCGTCCAAGAAGGCGGTCAATCGTCGTTTGCCGAGCCGAATCTGTGAAGTTGTTGTGATAGAGACGCTGCACCGATTTGCGCATGTCCGCGACGGCGCCAGCCAATGACATCTTACCGGAGCGTGTGAAGGATGATTTTAGGGCACCAGTGCCGGCATAGATCTTCGACAGAGCATCGCCGTTGTCCGCCCAGAGGGTCGAGTGTCTCATCCAGAAGTCCGACGTAGCATATTCGCCTCGATGACCCAGAAAAGCTTCTGTGGCCATTTGCGATATAAGGGTCTGGATCAGATTCGTCCTGTCCAAGCAATCAAGGCAATTCGTCCGGAAAACACCTTCCTGTTGGAGAACCACCACCATCCGATTTGAGCCTTGGTTATCGTTGTTGTCAGCAGCCCCGTCCACCGACTCTTCGGCCAAATAATAGGCAAATCCATCTATCGAGTTTTCGATGTATCTGCGAATCTGACGCGCCGCTTCGTAGCCTCCTGGGCCTTTTGTCTCGGCATGGAAGTCGTAGTGGGTTTCTCTCAGCAGTGCGTGGTCTTGCGATTCCTCCTCGCCGACCTGGCTTAGGGGGCAATGCTCTACCCCCAGGTGGTACAACTGACTCAGCTGGGCTTCGCCAGGCTTACCCTCGCTCAACAGGTTTACGACATGTACAGCACCATAGGCCTGCTCCAGGTCCGCGAAGTGCTTGTTGAAGGCTGGCTGCGCTCCCTCGGGTGATCTAATGACGGTGATGTTCTGCTTGCCGGGGATGAGCTCCGCCGTCTGCTCCCAGAAGAGCGGGACTGAGCCTCTGACTTGGGCGTATGAGAAGAGAGTACCGCCTGGACTCCAGTATATGGTCTCTGTCTCCACAAAGTTGGCGACATTGCCATCATCGTCAATTCCTCTGGAGTTGAAACGCGTTCCAGCTCGACGACAAGAAAGTCGGGACACAACGGTTAGGTACGAAGGTAGGCCGCTCGATCTAGTCTTCAATGGAGCGCTTGTCTGCGGGATCGCCATTGTTCGGCAAAAGCCACGGATGGCAGAGGTCAGAAACCTTGAGGAATCTAAAGCCTCCCGCTCCTGGGGCAGTAGACGGGACCGGAATTGGACCAGCGGGCTAATCATGTACGAATTCCATAGAAAGGAGTCGTCGAAGTTGTCGATGTCAAACGTGTACGAATTCACAGTTCTAAAGCGGTCAGCAACCTGCAAGTGCCTTTGGATTCCCAAACCTTACCTATCCTGCAACCTGTTTGTCAAATCAAAGTCGGTACTATAGTAAAAAGTGCCGTTGCCTAAAAGCTTCCGGAGGTCTGTACACGGATGCTCCACTTGAACTTCTCGCCCTCTGAGGTTCTGGCCATATACCGAATTGGCATCTGAAGTTTCGGAATCCAATGGGTCCAGAGAAACGACATCGTCCCACTCGCTACTGTTGAGGCAGAAGAAGGCAACGCTCGCAATCCGCTCCACGGTCTCCCCCGGTCTAAGGGTAGCGACTCTTGTGGCATGTGTCACGACGGAAAGGAACACGTCGCCCTCGACGGATATCAGACCCAATGTTCCAAAGATTGGTCGTGGAGTCAGGGGGCGGTAGTCGGCCAGCGTCTTCTTGGTGATCTGAGTAAACTCGACCATGCATTTTGATGCGGTTCCGTCACCATTTGGCCGTGATCGGGTAGATGCGAGTGAGGTAAGGGAGCCGTTTGTGCCGGTGCTGGCGGAGCTGTAGCGGAATATGAGGGCGTGGGACGATGAGACCAGGGCGATAGATCGATGGGGATAGTCGCGAATGTAAAGTCGGCTAGACTTCTCTGGTGCCGGCACCTGAGTAGGCCATGATCCGGAGCTGGCGTAGTCCATGTCGGTTGGGGGGTGTTGCTGAAGGAGTCGGAGAAGATGCGCAGTTGTCGCAGAGCATGCTTGGACAAGGGTGCTGGCCTGTGTTCATCGAAGGGGTGCCGTCGTCGCGGGGCGCAGAAGGGAGGCTCAGTGACGACTCGGGGAGGAAACAGGTCGCAGCGGGACTTTGGTTTCGTGAAGAAATATGGGATCGCGCAATGGGTAGAAGTGGTGCGAAGGTTGCGATGCGAACGTCGCGGCTGACTGAAGGGGAATTTGGGTCGCCAATCCGGAGCCCGACAATGACGTCCGTCCCGCCGGAAGGCAGGGGTTTTAGAGGCTGGGCCGCTGTATCTCTAGCACTTAGGCTCCGACTGGACAGGCAGCTCGCTTCTCGTTTCAGCCTCACGGACCACCTTTCTACCTTTGAAAAGCAGGGTAAGGAAGGATGGAGCTGACTGGCACATGTGGAATTCAGGTGGAGGAGGGCAGGGAAGCACGTACCTTGCCGTCCTACAGACCCTGATCACGATACTTCTGCACTGGAAGTTTTTTAGGTTTTCTTTTCTTAGACACGAAGCCTCGCGCACGACTTGGCTATCGACGACTTGTCTTGGCTCGGCGCTTGAGGGCGGCAGTACATAAGGTTCCCAGGTATTTGAAGCTGCTAGTGTTGTGGTCATAAAGTTCCATCAGGAGGCCCAGTGACAGGAAAGCGAGAGATGCGATGAACCCAGCAAGAAGCAGCAGGGGAAAAGGCACCTCCAAGGCACCCGAGCGTAAGAGGTGGTCTCATATCTTGACTTTGTCTAGATGTCCTACCAAATTATTCAGACATCACTGGTAAACATTGCCTCGCGCATCAAAAAGCACGAAGACAACAGATAGCACGAGTTGAACATAAACCAGGGCCCAACAAGTCAAATCGGGCCCCTGTTCCAACACGAAGTAGGCATCTTGGGCAGCTACAACCTTGCTGCGCCGCAGGGGCGACTATTTCAACTCGGGATTTTGCGCGATTCTGCTGTGTCCTAGTTACGTTTTCCAATAAATCCTCCGTTCACATGAAAATGGCAAGTATCGTTACATGCCCCCCAGAAATAGTTGCCCGTATCTTGGGTAGCTGTGCCAGCTTCACTGACGGACTTGCTCTCGCTACATCTTGCAATTATGTCCATAATGTGTGGCTGGATCACGACTCGACTATTGTAGAGAGCATCGGCTCGAGAAGCATTCCCGCATACGAACACGCTGTTATTACCGTGAGTGGTTTCGTGTTGCAAAGAGACGCACTCACTCACCGCAACTTTACAGATTCGCGCAACGAACTTGGTCAAAGAGGCTTTCTATGCTGGCCAACTACCGCCCACTTTCACGCACATCAACCGACTTGGTCCTCGTTTCAAGAGATGTTGTCTTTCGGAGCTTGGTGACTTGCTAGACTTCCATCACTTGGCCTGCTGCTTGGAGTACGCCTATCTACACATTGCAGAGGACGGCTACGCATGCTTCTCGAATCCTACCATCTCCGAAATCGCATCGTGTAGCGACGAAGCGCCTGAACTCCCGTGGCGCATCCGCGAGTTCCAGGAGAGGTTTCATCGGGTATTTTACAGAACCCTACTCGCGGGTGCTGTCTTGTGGAAAGCCCACAACGAGCCCTTTGTTCAAGATGCCGTTGAAGCTCACGCTGGTGCTTGGGAAAGCCGATTCGACTGGCCGCCTGCGTCTCAAGCCCACACAGAATACTTTTCGCGGTTCCCGGTGTACAACGTCCATGCTATGGATTGGGCCAGTCAACAGGAGGTGTTTGGACCTCTCACTAAGTACTTCATGGAAGATATTGCTTCCCTCACCAACCCCGTCTGTGAGGCCGACGTGCCTTGGGAGGTTATGGCCTCCATCTATGCCTACGAATATCAAAGACCCCATTTCTACAACGACAAGGGGAGACAGAGGCATGGCATTGCGCCTCGTACAGCATCATCAGACAGCAACAATGACATCAAAACCCGCAAAGTAACTGTCATTCTTCTTGGCGAGTTCCAGCTGGAGCAGATATCAATGCCTGTCAAGGTCGAGGAGATGCACAGTGCACCTCTGGTGGCGGCTCAACTCCAGATTTCACCGACACGGAGCTCCGAGGATGGTAGAACCTTTGCCTGCCACGGCCTTGACATATCGGCACTTTTGCAGTCGCGATACGAATCACTAGGCGGCGAGGAGAACGACAGTGACTGTGCGCCACATCCGCCACTTCAACTCTTCACCTTTATGTTACGCAAGCATTACAGGCTGCAGTTTAGAAGAGGAGTCTTTGACCGCACATGGGGGTCAGCTCCTTACTGCCAGTTTCTCTTCTTCCTAGTGTTCGCCCACGAACCGGATTCGGATCTCGAGGTCGTGCTTGCACCGGTCACTGGCGATCCGTGACAGCGCCAGTTGGGTACAGCAGGACACACTGTCGTGGGCAGCAGTTAGGGCTGGTAGCTTCACATTCTCCAATACGGCAGCTTGGTTTTGTACTAGCATTTGCGCAATGCTTCAGCCAACCCTTGGTGAGCCTGCCGCGCCACATGGGCTATGAGTGGCTGACATATGCAAAGGCGATGTGGCAGGTGGCAGAGACTGAAGCGGAGATGCCCAGTAACAACCGCTTCGAACTTGGTCACAGGCATGATCAGTATTTTTGGATTGATCAAGCGTGTGGGGGTGGAACGTGAAAAGGAGAAGGATGTAAAGATGAGACGTAGAAAAATGCCCAGAGGGGGGAACCCCCCGCGGGCGCAGAAGTGACAGAGTCAATGCTTGCGCAGATTAGGCTTCAGATATAATATTGAGATCACGCTGCCACCTTGGGTGGTCAGTCATTCTCTTCCTATCATGTATTGTTTGAGAATCATCATAAGCCTTATTGTGAAGAAGAGAGAAAAGGAAAAGGAAAGGTTTTTCATGGATATCGGACGTCAAATAGGCCCCACGCCTGGCCAATTGCTTACCTAAGACAGTCGAGCCAGCGAAGAGAAGGGGGGGGGGAATCACAACCTGCCCACCCACCTGGAAGGGAACGACTAGACGACGGAATTGCTCCACACTTTCAACGTGCAGCAGTCGGACTCTCTCCAGAATCCGAAGTGTTGTGCACGCAAAAGAGGCCGAAAGGGGACAGGGCAGGCCGAGAGGTGACAGGCTGAAATGGTGGAATGGCCCACTCTTGCGCCGCCTTCATGGGCAACTGATGCGCAAGAAGAACCCGCAGGCCTCCGTACCGCACTTGTGAACAGGGCCCAGCTGCAAGTAAAGGGCACTTCACTCACCGTAGATAAGCACTCCAGTGCGTAAGGTTTGCTCTAGCATAGATACCTGCCATGGCAGTACCGCGCCTCTCGTGCAGGTGGATTGCCGGCCGCCTGATCTCTCCGAGCTTTTAGCTGATCTTATTCGCTTCTCCCGCCGCGTCACTGATAAAGCACTGGGAGCAAGGGTTCGCCTGTCGAGGTACAACGGCCCCGCGTACCTTTCCATTCGGTTCGCGCGCAGGAGGACGAACATCCTCACCCTGCCTCAGCCCCGTTACCCAATTGCAGACAGATGTGAGGTGCAGGTGCAGCCCCAGTCCCTAGCGCTGTTAAAAAATATCCAGCCCCCCTTCCTTTCGCGACCTCGAAGCTCGACCCAGTCACACACGATTCCAACGGCCACAGCCTTGACACTTGCGGTGCCTTCATTCAACCATCTGCAACCCGCCTTTGCCTCCTGCTGCTGTTCATCGCGGCCTTGCGCATTGTCCAAGACTTTCTCGAAACCCAACTTGTTCTGCCATTCGTTACCCAAGCCGCTGTCACCATGTCTGACTACGACCACTTCGGAAGCTCCGAGGAGGAGAGTGCCGAGATCAAGAAGCTCCAGGCTGATGTGGTACGTCAAACTGCGACATCATCTACGTCGCGCCCACCATCAAGTTCAAATGGGGCAATTGCTAACCTGTCTTGCGCGCTTACAGGATGCCGATCCCGATAACTTCGAGACCTGGGAGAAGCTGGTTCGCGCCTGCGAGGGCTTGGAGGGCGGCTTGAACCGCAACTCCAGCCCCCAGGCCCTGGCCACTCTTCGCGATGCCTACGATCGCTTCCTCCTCAAATTCCCTTTGCTCTTCGGCTACTGGAAGAAGTACGCCGACCTCGAGTTCAACATCGCTGGACCCGAGTCAGCGGAGATGGTAGGCTGCGATCGCATCGCGTCGCATCGCGCGCAATGCATCCCTTGCTTCCAAGCGCCGCAGCTGACGATGCGCGTCTCTAGGTTTACGAGCGAGGTTGCGCCAGCATCACCAATTCTGTCGACTTGTGGACCGATTATTGCTCCTTCAAAATGGAGACCACTCACGTCCCACACCTCGTCAGGGAGTAAGTATTTGACGGTCGGCTTTCCTTCCCCTTAACATCACCATCACCACAGCATGCCTCACCGGCCGCTCCACACCTCGATCGAACGATGCGTGGGCCTCATCCGCCGCCTTCTTCACAAGTATCCGTCGGTGAGAAATGCCAACAGCAGCCCCATTGTTGGGAAGCCCTCTCACGCTAGTAGTTACCAGGCTCTGCTGATTTCCACTTGACGATGACTGATCCGTTGTCCGCTTCACGTCGCATCTTCACCACATCGCTCCCATTGGAACACCTTACGTTGGGCTTGGATTCGCTAGTTGATTTCATTTGATACCCCTTCCTGTATAGCCCGCCTTCCCCATACTTCTGACCACTCCCCTTCCCCAGCCGTTGCCCTTATGCTGACTGTCTACTCCAGGCTTTTCGAGCGTGGTGCCACCTGCGTCGGCCTAGACTTCCTCGCCCACCCCTTCTGGGATAAGTACATTGAGTACGAGGAACGGCAGGAGGCCCAGGACAAGATCTTCGCCATTCTGTCCCGCGTCATCCACATCCCTATGCACCAGTATGCCCGGTATTTCGAGCGTTTCCGCCAGCTGTCCCACAGCCGCCCCGTGACCGAGCTGGTCCCCGCCGAGACGTTGGACAGATTCAGGGCCGAGGTGGAGGCAGAGAGTGCTCAGTTTGCCGGCGTTCAGCGCACGGAACTCGAGGTTGAGCGTGATATTCGTACCAAGATCGACGCCATGTACTACGAGTACTTCACCCAGACCCAGGCCGAGACCAACAAGAGATGGACCTACGAATCCGAGATGAAGCGGCCTTACTTCCACGTGACAGAGCTCGAGAGCTCGCAACTCGCCAACTGGCGCAAGTACCTTGACTTCGAAGAGTCCGAGGGCAACTTCACCCGCATCGTCTTCCTCTACGAACGGTGCTTGGTGACATGTGCTTTTTACGACGAATTCTGGTTCCGGTACGCCCGGTGGATGTCTGCGCAGGAGGGCAAGGAGGAAGAAGTTAGGATCATCTACCAACGCGCTGCCACTCTGTATGTGCCTATCAGCCGTCCGGGCATCAGGCTGCAGTTTGCCTACTTCGAGGAGAGCTGCGGGCGCGTCGACATCGCTCGCGACATCCACGCGGCGATTCTTATGAAGCTACCCGACTGCATCGAGGCCATTACCTCTTGGGCTCACTTACAGCGCCGCCAGAGCGGCCTGGACGCGGCTATTGAGGTGTTCAAGGCACAAATCGACTCTCCTCAAGTGGATATCTTCACCAAGGCGGCCCTTGTCACCGAATGGGCCTTTTTCCTATGGAAGGTCAAGGGCTCGGTCGAAGAGGCCCGCAATGTGTTCCTCAAAAACGTGCAGTGGTACGCCGACAGCCGCGTCTTTTGGGACAAATGGCTCGAGTTTGAACTGCAACAGGCTACGAGCACGGAGGTGGAGGACCAGCATGGCGATCGTGTCAAGCAGATCTTTGACGAGCTCCGGAACAAGAGCCGCCTATCAGCTTCGACGAAGAAGGAGCTGTACCAGATTTACCTGTCTTACCTGCAGCAACGGGGCGACAAGGACGCGATGAAGCAGTTCTTGTCTATTGACAGGGAGATTTTTGGGTAAGCCGCAACTCCCATGTAGTCATGCTTGGATGGCGCTAACAATGCTACAGACCAAGCTCTATTTCTCTGCTGAGCAAGGCGACCGCCGCCGGTAAGGAGAACGGCGTGGCCGGCTCCGAAATGGACGAAGCGACCAGGCACCGAGCGGAGGCCAAATACCTTAGGTACTATGAACTCCAGGGCGAGCCAGACCTCGAGGGCCAGGCGACGGCGCCTTTCAACTAGGCTGTGCCACCTCACCGGGCGCGTTTCTTCTATGCTTCCGGAGCTCCAGGCTCTTGAGTAGTTGCTCCTTGAGATTTTGTACTATACGACTCGTTTTGACGACAGATCATGCGCGGGTGGCTGGCCTCGGGGAAATTGTACTGTATGCAGTGTTTATGAGGTGGTCTAGACAGACCAGTGTCGTCCGTCAGGACAGACCATGATAGGAGGGGAATCGTCTTCGGGCACCACGGGTCAACCCGACCCCAGCCCACGAGATTTGCGAATCGATCATCGACGCAGATAATAATAGCTCAACCAACATTCAAAGAAACAGCGACATGTTTGCACAGTTTGGTGAAAAATGCAGTAGCGTACTTGACTGCGAAAACATTTTACACCGGCGACCAATGGGGTCCGATGCACCGGTTAAGGTACGGGCAGTGCCGCCGAAGAAGACCGGGAGCCGCCGAGGCCCCCGGGTAGGGCGCCGCGGTGAGGCGCAAGGGTGAGAGGCGCCGGCCTGGCAAGGGTTCGAAATAAATTCTAAACTCTGGATTTAAGGAAGAGCATCACATAGATCGAAGGCAAGGTAACGGGGATCACATGGTATTTAGATTTCTTCCGCAGTCATGACTTTCTAAACACAACGAGGTATAAACGCATGACTGCGTATAAGCATACTGCGCACAATACATCGTAGACACTGGGTACTGGTTCTTGACGACGTTGACGTGGCTGGGCGATGGAGGCTCAAAATTGCCTGATGGGTCGATTACCAAGCAACGACAGGGGTCAGGGGCTCTTGAATTCCCAGCAGGAGGTTTTTGCCCGTTTCAGATGCTACTAGAGTAGGCCTAGAGTTCACATTGTTGACGGGTAAGTTTTCCGAGGACACCCTCGGTTGGGGCGCCGTTGAACGGGTCGACGTTGGCATTTAGGCTCGGAAGAGCGGGAGGAGATTCAAGACGCGTCTGACAAACTAAGATTGTTTTTGCATACCGGGCTTCCAACCATTCCCATGTGCTCGTGTGTTCGCCACGGTGTGTTCATGATGCTATTGACAATATGGCGTGAGCTGGAGAGGAAGCATCCGAACCCGTGGGAGGTGGAGGCAGGGCAGGGTGGATAGCGACAACGGCGTGCTTCTGAGCGTCATTGAGGGCCCCCCTAATGCAAGATAGACCCCGAACGGCCGAGTGCGTGGCGCGCCCACGTGTAAAAGGCTTGGAGGGGCTGCAGTCGACGAGAGTGCCTGGGATGAGACCTGGAGAGCGACAGAAGCAAATCCCGAAAGGAAAAAACCCTGTGCTGTAAGACATAGCGCCGAAGCCGGAGCCGAGTCATACCTGGGCCGAGTATGTACCTACTTTTGTGGCGTTGTGAACAGGTCTATCAGAATGTGCTAGTTTGCACGGAAACGGCACGATAAAAATGGATTTGCCTGGTATTCCAATTCACAGCACCAAGCAGCCAGTCAGATCCGTGGGGGCGTTTGGTCCTCCCGAGCGACGGCGGGCCGGGGTGGGCTCGAGTCGACGATGGAGCAACTGGATACCCGGGAGATTTATTACAAATACTGCAAGATGGAGAGGGCAACGCGCAGCTGCTGTCAGCGGGGGTCGTAAGGAAACCGGCTGGCTAGCCGAGGGAATCTTGGGACGTGGCCCGGATATATCATTGGGAAGCAAACGTCGATGGGAGTCGAGAATGCAGAGAACGGGCCATTCGATACCGACGATTGCCGTGTGCTAGACCCGAGCCCTTCGTTGCTTACGAAACCAAACCCTCGGAGATGCTCGAACGGGGACGAAGGGGGAAAAAATGTTGGATACAGCGAGAGAAAGCCACATGGCACGCTACAGCCCCATTATCCCGAACCATATCAATGTCGTGCGACGTGCCTCGCCTTAGGCCTTATCTCTTGCAGATACGGCGGTACCGGGGGCCGGCACGTTTCGAACGTCGATATCGGTCCCTAGCGCGCTGGTGGCCACGCACCAGGCACCGCGCACAATCTTCCGTCACAAAGCCAGCGGCGTGGTGAGCGCGAGTCTGAGAGACGGGTGCGGGCTCCATAATTGGAGGCCAGCAAACGTAAATGGGAACACTGGAAACCCACATCGCGAACACACACGTCCACGACCCTTGCAAGCAGACCCCCAGGAAGGAAGAGGAAAAAGTGGCACCTGGCAAACTCCTGCTTCTGGCCACTCAGAGGCCACCAATTTCTCATTTCACGGGTGCGAAGCCTCGACAGGTCCCCTCCCTCGGTCCCAGAGCCAGAGGAAACTGACTCTAGTGTTGGGCCGGGCAGGGTACATTGGTATTTCTCAAACGCCCCCGGGGCAACGAACACTTGTGATTTAATCTCTAGACCGTCCTCCCCTCTCCTTCCCCTACTTCTTTCGAAGCTTCTCTTCTTCCTTCATCATCGTAATTGTCTTGTCAATTTGCCTTGATAATCCCACATCACACCAGCTTCTAGCAAGGTTAGTACTACCCCCTTCCAACATCCGCCGCGGCTTACACGCCACATACGATCTCGTCGAGCTCCTGCCACGTTATCTTTTACCGAAATGTCCCGATACACTCGTATCATTGCAACACCATCACAGGCACCCCTTGAACTAACACCCGTCTCCCAAACAGATGGCCGCTTCCACGAGACAGTTCGCCCGTGCGGCGCTGAGAACCTCCACCAGAACCTCCTTCGCCGTCGCCCCCCGTCAGGCCTTCCGCCAGCAGGGCCGCCGCTTCTACTCTTCCGAGCCCGCCAAGTCTGGCAGCTCGACCTGGCTTTGGCTCTCCGGCCTGGCCATCGCCGGCGCCGGCGGCGCCTACTTCTACACCAAGGAGGGCGGCGTCTCTGCCGGCTCGACCCCCAAGGTCGTTAACCCCACCAAGGCCGACTACGAGAAGGTGTACAAGGTCATCGCCGACCGCCTCGAGGAGAACGACCAGTACGATGACGGCAGCTACGGCCCCGTCCTCGTCCGTCTCGCGTGGCACGCCAGCGGTACCTACGACAAGGAGACCAACACTGGTGGCAGCAACGGTGCTACCATGCGTTTCGCCCCCGAGTCTGACCACGGTGCCAACGCTGGCTTGAAGGCCGCCCGCGACTTCCTTGAGCCCGTCAAGCGTGAGTGCAATCCCAAGGTCCTACGCAATTGAGTTGCAGAGGACATTCCTGCCCTCCCATCGGACACCAATTGCTGACTCTCTCGCAGAGCAATTCCCCTGGATCACCTACTCCGACCTCTGGATCCTCGGCGGTGTTGCCGCCATCCAGGAGATGCAGGGCCCCATCATCCCCTTCCGCCCCGGCCGCAAGGACGGTGAGGCCGCCGCCTGCACCCCCGACGGCCGTCTCCCCGACGCCTCCAAGCGCGAGAAGCACCTCCGTGACATCTTCTACCGCATGGGCTTCAACGACCAGGAGATCGTCGCCCTGGCCGGCGCCCATGCCCTCGGCCGCTGCCACACCGACCGCTCCGGCTTCGACGGCCCCTGGACCTTCTCTCCCACCGTCATGACCAACGACTACTACAAGCTGCTTCTCAACGAGAAGTGGCAGTGGAAGAAGTGGAACGGCCCCGCTCAGGTAAGCTTCGCAACCGCTTGGCAGGCGTGACAAACGTATCGATTGCTGACGGCATTGTGCAGTACGAGGACAAGACCACCAAGTCCCTGATGATGCTCCCCGCCGACTACGCCCTGATCCAGGACAGAACCTTCAAGAAGTACGTCGAGCAGTACGCCAAGGACAACGAGACCTTCTTCAAGGACTTCTCCAACGTCATCGTCAAGCTGTTTGAGCTCGGTGTTCCCTTCGCCCAGGGCGCCGAGGAGCGCTGGACCTTCAAGCCCACTTGGCAGGACTGAACAGTCACTCTGAGCAGTGGCTGCGACGAAGGAGAGTTTTTCGATACAGAAACGAAAATAGAACAAGGGAAGAAGAAGTAAAACCTGGAGAGATTCTAGACATAGACGAGAGATATCCACGCCATCGGCGTACCGAAAGAGAGTGGGGGAGCTGCGAGGGCGGCGACTAGATTAGATGCCCTCGAGCTTTGGTCTTGAGCGTGCCGAACCACCGACCTGTAGTCCGCTCCTGGACTTGTTTCCATATTTGTTATTTTGCGTCTCATAGTTGCTGTACAACATCAACGCGAACATTGAAACACATACCTCGGTGCCGACGGTCCTTGTGATGATTTTCCGCAGAAAGACACCCTTGGGTAAACGTGAAGTCGGAATAGAGATCAGACGAGAGGGGGTGAAGGATTCGACGTCGGATCGTCCGCACTAACACCCCCGGCATGAACGGCTTCTTCCCCCTCACCATCTCCCGCGCGCTCGGGAAGCCTTGCACGTCGGGGGGCTTGTTCGTCGCGTCATGACAGTCTGCAACGAAGGGAGGGGGGATGAAAGGTGTGGCTCAATCCCGGCGGTTCGGTACATCGACCAACCACTGCCATCTGTCCCGTCTTAGCGTCTCTGCACCCCGGGGTGTACATGGGGTGGTGGTTGTTGGTTCCCCCGCAATATCCGTTCCCTTCCTGGGGTTTACTTTGCATTTCCTTTTTGCGAATCTCTCTGTCTTGTTGGTTTTGGGGGATGTTGAGTGCAGTCCGGGGGTGACCTCGGTGACGGGCAGATGACGTGTAATTACTATGGACCCCGGCTCCGGTATCGACATACTTGCGAGGTGAGTTCCGGCAGGAATGGCTTCGCTCGTGAGAGGATAGACAGGCTTCGAGTTGCGATGAAGATGCCAACGGAAGGATAGAGGAGCCATACATGTAGCAAGGGTTGGCTCTTGGCCTAATACTAGCAATAGGGATGCAATGCAACCGTTGCTCTCTTTGGGCGGATTCGTAGCTGCAGCGGGGGTTGTGTTGCGCCTGGGTTTCACAGGTAGCTTTCGTTGTCGCTTTGGCCATAGTGCCAATGAGCTCTGTGTGTTCCCGGCGTTGTGGAAGCGACCGATCCAACGGTTCTGCAGGCATAAAGGCCGGGCCTCAGGTAATGAGAGAAACGCTGAGCTAGCGATGTACGCTGAGTGCGACTCAGGCTGGTCTCTCTAGCATCGCCATCATGTGCGATGGAGGTCAGCTGCATACCTCAGTTCACCATTCAAAAGACGGCTTGAGCATCCTTACGGATGAGGGGTATATGTACGAAAAGAATGCGTGCTCGCTTTTCTCGCTGATGGGGAGATTGACAACACACAATACTTGACCGCACCAGCAGGTCTAGTCCAGGTTTTGGCTCCTCACTCTTCAAAGGATATAATTGTTCTCATAACAGAGTAGGGCAGGTCTGAAATCTGAGAGGGAAACACGGCATCGGCGGTAGTGTTCCCGGCTCATGTATGTTGGGAGACTGTAGCTGGCTCTCGATTTTATGGGTACGATATTGCTACAGCCCATCCTGTCTTCCGCTCAGAAGCGATTACTTACGTCGCAATGTGCCTTGAAGAAATTGGGCCTTTTCCAAACACTGTGTAGGAAAATTCATCAAGGTTTTTGACGGCGACAGTATATGATGGTTGAAGAATTTGTAACAGGAGTGATTGAACTTGAAGGTGAATGAGAGACAGCGAAAGATACCCGTTGGCGCCCATACATATCCACAACTATGTATTTAAACAGCTGCTCAGCTGAAATATTCTCCTTAAATATCAAAATAATCAAAAGTCACATCATCGAAGATAACATAGTTCAAAGGAGCGGTGAGTAGGTGAGCAGCCTGGAAGAGGACGGATCGTGAAGGAATGCGCCCATGATAATTGTAACGAATACACTACTACAAGCTGTTTGGTTTAGGCACTGGACATAATTGAGGAAAGATACTGAGAACGAACTGGGCCGTTTTTGGACCATTGAGACTGGTTGGCGGCACGAGTCTCCGTTGCCGGCCGCTCCAATCACAAATCACCTCCGATATTCCCGGCGCATTCAAGGAATGGTCGGTATTTTAGCCGCGCCGAAGACCGGCCCCATCACCCGGTGCCCCACAGGAGCTTTTCAATTGAAGACGCTGCAACCTCCAAATGACATTCTCAAAAAACACTATTTTTTCGACCATCCGTCCCATCGCCACCGTCAACACCACCACCCGCGGTCAATTCTTCGAAACTAAACTGGAGAGGAACAGGAATACAAACCCTACCACACACAATGGCGTCCTGCCGCATCCCTGCCCTCCGGCACATCGTCACCTCCTCGGCGCGCGCCTTCCGCGCCTCGAACCAGCGCCGCTGGGCCCAAGTCCACGACGTACGCTTCCTCGCCACGACCCAACAGCCCCGAACCGTCGTCGAGAAGTACCGCGCCAAGCTCGAACAGAAGGCGCGCCAGGAGGGCGTTTCCAACATCGACGAGCTCAAGGCCGCCTACGCGGACAAGATCCAGGAGCAGAAGAAGAAGGACGCCATCTCGGTTCCCGGGCTGGACAGCCTCCTCAACGACGAGCCCGCGCCCACAGCGATACCAACAACAGCAACCAGCGCATCTGAGGGCGCCCCGGTCGCGAACGCCTCCCAGCAGAAACAACCCCCGATCCCCGGCTCCTCGGGCAACGGCATCAAGTCCCTCGACGAGATCCTCGACCTCCCCAAGGTGCGCGAGCTGCCCGACAAGGAGCTCACGGCGATCTGGCGCCTGCGCCACGCCTCCGACCCGACATCTCTCTGCGCCGTAATCCCGGCCCCGGCATATCGCACGATGGAGGCCCTCGCGAAGCAGAACCCGCAGTTCATCCTGCCGGTGCCGCACGAGGAGCAGGGCGCCGAGATCCACTTCCTGCAGTGGGTGTTCGACAAGGCCTCGCGGACGGCGACGGTCATGTTCACGCAGCTGGCCGAGTTCAAGGCGCGCGGCGAGTTCGCGCAGCCGCACACGACCATCACCCACCACACGGACCTGGCGGACGACAGGGGCGTGGTGCTGATGCAGGGCAAGTGTCTGGAGGACCGGGGCGTCAAGACGGCGCACGCGCAGTGGCTGGTCATGTGCCTGCAGAGGTTCTACGGCGAGGCGGAGGGTAAGGAGAGGGCGGCGGAGAGGCAGAAGTTGCTGGAGTGGTTCCGTACCGGCGATGAGAGGTTCAGCGTTGAGAAGCTGATGGAGGAGGCTGAGCGCATCGGTTGAGTTACAGCCTGGAGGAAGCATAATAGCGGCAGGATTGAGCACTCGGTGCTCGTTGGTAGGATAAAGTGCAGTCGCAGTGCGCCCGCGCGTGCCATGTTGATGGGGTCTGGAGTTGTGTCGCCCCAGACTACCTTGTCTATGCGAGAGGCATAGAAGATGGGGCTCTTAGAGTGAGACTTTTGTACAAATGATCCGATGGGACATGTAGAACATATATACCACATTTCTATTATTCTGTACAAGAGATCTCTTCGGGACTGTATTTCGCATGTCAAGTGGTCCTGAACAATGGGAGGCTTGGCGACTGAAAAAGAGTGCAGCTGGACCGTAGTCTTCTGGGCAGTGGTTTCCCTTCTCAATCCAAAGGGGTGTCTCAATGGTAAACCCTAAGTTGTCTCTAGTATTCGAGTGCCTGATCTTGACTTGCAAGGTGGCCCACGTCCTGGTGTTCTACGCATCACCATTCCGAGGCCACCTTACCTGGTATGTTGTGCCAACTGGCTGTGACAAATAATTCACACCAATCCTCACTACAGTAAAATGCTTTTCTTTTTGCCCTTATTAGCACAATGGTTGTTACAGCCTCTGCTAAGCTTACCATAGCTACAGCATTTTGTGGTCAGAGTGGCAGTCTCTTCTGCACTGGGAATCCTAACATGTGCTTCCCAAAGCTACAAATGCTTACTGCAGAGGCGACGGTAGCAAACAAAGGAGCATGTGCTGGTGAAAAGATGGGAGAAAGTTGTACCATGTCTATTGTTTGCGAATAAACAAAGGATATCTAGCAAATCCTATCATCACAAGATAAAGCAGTTGAGGTATGAAGTCTTCATCAGGAGCTTTCTTGACCTTGTATAGTATTGCAGACGGGGAGGATTACCAGGATAGACACTTTTCTGAGGGCCATAATTTCTAATAAGAAGGAAGATACAGAGGTAGAACCAATACAGGTTTGAACATTACAGGCCAATATGCTTTCCTATACCTTGGGACAATTAGCGCAATGTGACACAGCTGGAGTATGTAACCACAGGAGCATAAGGTTTATTTGATTGTCTTAACGTGCAGGGCATTATGGTCAGACCTAGCTCAATGGGTCTTGAATCCCAATGGAGCCGATATGATTAAGCTCGCTGAGGCACTCGTTCAACATCTGGCATAACAAGGGGTAGACACGTCTATACTCCTTCTCAACAGGCGCGGGGGCGAGGTCAAGATCACCAGGTTTGTAATCCGGACTTTGGGGTTTATAGCATAGACGTGGTTCAGATGGTCTTAACCCATCCTCGGGACGGCATTAAGATCACAGAATAAGAGGCAAACCGGCAGGGGCTTAATGTCCTCCAGCTCTTGCTCCACATACCCCTGAACAAATTCAAGGTGACAGAAAACGTTGTTGAGGCGGCTGTAGGGAATCCGAGGTTTGGCAGGGAGCTATGACGACTTCTTCTTAGTGGGAAAGCTAAGATTGAAGTCACAGATAGGCTTGTTGAAGCCATTGCTCCCAAATTTGATGGAGACGTTATGGGGCTCTTGCTTGACCGACAGGGCGAGACAGTCGAGGTCACGGAAGAAGTCGTTGAGGCAGCTTCGGGAAATTGGATGTTTGATGAAGAGACCGGCTATGGGGATTTTGCTTGATCAATAACTCTTGTTTAATCAACAAGATGAAGAGCAAGCTGAAGTCTAAGCAGCTACAGAAGACGAGTAGTAATAACCCACATGCTAGGCTTGATCCCCTACTAGGGAGCATCTTTATACTGTTCCATATTGACTTAACACTCATACTTATCTTGCTAAGGTTGTGCTTGTCTGTCGAAAACCACGACCACTGTCTCGCAAGAAACTATTCCACTTCATTGCATAGAAAGTAAGACTAGTGGTATAGATAACTCGTTGCAAGTGTGTTAAATGTATTACTTAACTCTAATTGCATATATACTGACAGCTGTGCAACCCTTAAAGTGTTCAAAACTCGGTGCGCTGTCTGGAAATTCCTTCCAGCTCAGCATCGTTAGCTCCTTCGCTTAGCCAGATGTCTCCTCGATCAGGTCTACCGGGTGCTACATCTGCTTTAGACTTGATGATTTCTGAGATATTCGATATAGAGTCACGGTATTACTAATACCCTTTTGGATGATCCTACTTCAGTTCTATCTGGGCGAGAGCTTGGCCAAATGGACAATTCTGCTATAAATCTACTATATGCCACCCCTCTAAATGACGAGAGCGTACATACTTTTGCGTGATGACCTCGATTGAACTGACTGAAATTGCCAGTACAGCTAGGAAAGCATGCTCTCGCATTCAGGGACAACCTAATGCGAGATCAAGGAGAAGAATGAGTCGCTTGCTGCTTTTGGAAGCTTTTCATGCTGACAATGACGCTAGAGTCAGTGTCATAAGAAGTTGTAATATGAGCAGTAGAGACACAGCCGAGACCCAAATAGCCACAGTTCTGCGATAAATCACCCTTTCATCTGGGAACATTCAGATAGAAAGGCATCGAAGTGAAGAAGAAGGTCCCTCGAGTTTGGTTACCTTAGGCCCAGCTTGTCTTAATGTGGTCAATTTACCTAGATACATGGTGTACCTCACAGTGCCGTATTGGAAAAGAACCAGAGACGGACACATCGACTTAAGGACAATGTGTGACACTGCTCCCAAGGGTTTCCTGTGCAGGAATATCATGTCTCATGGTGATGAAATATGATAGAGGGAGGACGACCAGAAACCGGATATCTGCCGCCGCTCTTCACTTGATAACCACGTCAAGTCCTTGAAACACATAGCAAACTAGGGTGAAGACTTGCCATGATATATGCCCACTTACGTCGGTTCCTCACCTGTGGATGACCGGCTGACCTACTTGCTATTCTGCCATCGTCAAGCACTGGACCAGCGTAGAAGCTTTTGCCTTCCATCCTGGTGATTTACTTGTGGAATGACTGCGCGTACATCCATTACTGACCGGCTTGCTTGGGTCGCTATGGACTTAAATAGTCACTGTTGTGTCAGCGGAAAAACTATATCATCGTGCTCAGCAGATATGATAGACTAGTCTGGAAAAAGCTTGACGTCGAGTCCACCATCACGCCCTTCTGCAGAAGGAAACAGGCCATCAGTCCACATACCTTCCCAGTAGGGAACAGCAGCCCCAGGATAACCCGTATATATATGATGTTGATTCCACGAAAGTTCAGTCGAAAAAAATACACGAGCCTCAACCATCCGGCCCAACCCAACGCTCAACCGCTGGCTTAGTTCCACAACTGTGCGTCTGTCCTAGCCAAACCACCCCAAAACACAACACCTAAGACTCAACCGAAGGACGACCGAATATGTTCGTTATACTACTGAGCTTGGAGTTGATTCATAAGAAACACACGGCCAATGACGACGCGGCGTCAAATGTGTACTTGCCGCCCCCGTCAACCCCGGATTCAAGGCCGGCGGGCAACTCAACTCAGCTTGATCCCGTACTAATGAGTCTCGGCAACTCGGCCGCCCTCCCAGGTACAAGTCAAATCATAATCCTGAACGCCATCAGAAGAAGCAAGATCATGGTATGCCGGGCGCCAGCGCCGGAAATCAACGAAAGCCACCGCCAAACGGTCAGTCTCAGCCGCGATCCAACGTGCCTTCGCCGTCACTTTTACTTTCACCATTCACCGTTCCACCTACCGACCGAGAAACCTCAACCTCACAGAAAACAAGGATCCGTCCAACAGACCACATCCTTCGCCAACGGCACACACAATCGTCCCTGTGAGAATCTCTCACACCCTCATCCGCCCCGAAACCGCCGCCCACAAGCCGAATCCTCGGCCGTCGCCCACGCCGTCGCCTCCCGTCCAAGCTTCTTCCTTCTTACATAGTACAATCCAAAACGCACCAAACGAAAAGGAAGATGGCAAGGGGCAAGGGAAAGAAAAAAGGATCTGAAAAAAAAAAGGCCAAGCAAAGACCACAAGTTCACGTCTCAAAACTCTCGACTCGGTGCCTCATCCCAGATACCCATCTCTAAACGCCTCGAACAACAAAACCCGTTCTTGGCGCTTGGTCGGACTCGTCACCCCAAACACGTCGCTCAAACCAACAAAACATCTTCCTCTCCCACCTCTCGTGCCTGTTTCTCATGCGTCGGTTACCGTCCCGCCGCCCTCCAGCTACCTGACCCGGCTCACACCCGGAGCTGCACGCCTTTGTAGCCTCTCTCTCATGACTCGTCCCTTTCCCTCCCCCCCCCTTTCAAACCCTTCGTCGGGCGTAATCCGGATCTTTACGTCTTGTCTCGGCGGAGGAGGAAACGAACACACACGACACATCAAACACACAAAAGCAGAGAAACGGCTATGCTCACATGGCCCAAAAAGAAAAAAAAAAAGGTGAAAACCTCCGACACTTGGTCCGATTCTGAATCACACGCTTCCGTGAATGTGTGTGATGCCCAACGACCGAATACGGACGAACCCGCAATGCCGACAGATTTTTCGTTCTTGTTTTGACAAACTTGCCTCAGACCACGGCGAACGAGACACGCAACGGTCCGAACTCCTACACAACACGCGCCTTCAACTATGGAGCTGACTGGTCCATGAACCAGGTACTCTGTCATCACAAACACCATTGCCGTCACCACAAAATTAAGACGAAACCAAAAAGTCTCCAAGACGCCTGTCCAAGACAGGGAATTATGCTATCTCGTATGTACAGGCTCCCCTGAATCTCCAGTCAGGCGTGTGCACAACTACACGAGCTTTTTGTCTGTCTGTCTTATCGCAATGTGGTTCACCTGCTGAACGCCCTTTTCGCGATGAAAACCGGGGCACACATGTTGTCAGCAGTCCTGACCATGCTTGGGTCATGAAGCATCTGTGTGTAATACCCGGTACCCCATGCCATGCAAATGCAGTTTCATGAAAAGCTCATCCTTGGAAAGGGAAGGAAAAAAAAAACCGAAAATGCGGCGGGGTGTGAGAAAGATGGATAGCCTTTGGTCCATACACAGACATGCAAAGAAAACAACAAGCCTCATCCATCATTCGATGCGCGGGGTCCTCCGCAATGCGTTCCATCAAACCCGCCTGAGAAATCCAGTCCCTTTTTCGTAGATGCCTGGTGGTGCGAGAAAAAAAAAGAAGAAAGGCGGAAATATGCCAATAGGCGCGATTCTCGTCCGTTATCCAACAGTCGGTCGCAACGACGTCGCCGACAAGTTGTGCCTAGGGATATCTCCGGAACCGGAGGCGCCTCTCTCAATCATTAGTGAAGTTTTGGGATTCCCTCCCTCATACCCAACGCCGGTGTGGTGAAATGTGTCTTTGTCGATGCCCCCAATGTGTTCTCTCACATGACTATGCAGTCCTTGTCGTCGCCATTCTTCTTAATCTTCCCGCTGCGAGGCGGCGCGACTTCCATAGGTGTGCCGCCACTAACAGCCGCCTGGATGATGGCCAGCCGCTGTTTCGCACGCTCGTCGCCTGCATCGGCGGCCTTGACGTACCAAACATTGGCCTCGAGGATATCGCGCCGGCAGCCAATACCCATTTCCGTGAAGTAGCCTACAGCGTACTGCGCCTTGACGTATCCTGGAGGTCAAATGTTAGCATCTTCCTACATGTCGTGTACGAGTCTCAACATACCCATCTCGGCTGAACGGCGCGCCCATTCGTAAGCCTCCTCCTCATCCTTCTCCAGAATTGGCTCGGCACCAACCATGTACCATGCACAGAGACCCATCATGGCTCCTGCATGGCCACGCTCAGCAGCACCGGTGTAAAAGTGCACACTCAGAGCAGGATCCCGTGGACAGCTGAGCTTGCCGTGCTCGTATGCCTCTCCCATGCGGAAGTTGGCCTCCGGGTGCCCCAGCTCTGCCGCGGCGGTAAACAGCTCCGCTGCGTAGACCTCATCCTTGAAGATGTCATCGCCATATCCTGTCTCATACAAGCATCCCAACTGGTAGGGGGCTGCGCTGTAGACGGAATCGGCCGCCTCGGCGGCAAGTTTCATCCACTTGATACCTTCGCGGTATCGCTTCTCGCCCAAATCGCCCGACAAACAAGCCTTGCCAAGTCGGGACATGGCGCCAGGGTGACGCTTGGAGGCAGACATGCGCAAGAATTGGACGGCCTTCGCAGGGTCCTTACGACATCCCCATCCGAACTCGTAACATAGCGCAGTACGGTATGCGGATTCAGCGTGGCCATGCTTCGCAGCGAGGACGAAGAGAGGGAACGCCTGGTTGTAGTCCTCCTTTCCCTTACTGAACAGGCCGGAAGCAAACCCATCGGCGAGATAGTATTGTGCAAAAGGGTAACCGCCGCTGGCAAGCTTCTGAAGAATACCCTTCGCCTCACGGAGGAGGTCATAAGGGGTTGACGCCGAGGCGTTCTTGGGGCTGGAATTGCCTTTGCGCGGTGTTGGCTCGCTAGGATCGAGGCCTTGTTCTTGGGCAGTGGAGATCAGGAAAACGGCAAAGGAGTACTGGATAGAAAAGTCGTTGGTCTTCTTGACGTTCTGGCGATACATCTCAAGGGTCTTCTGAGCACTGAGAAGCGACGCATTATTGCCAACAGCATTCCGTAGCTGATTGTTGTCGAAACTGATGGGAGCGGGGGCTGGTTGCGGGTATGGCACGTTCAACAGCTCTGCATATGACGCTGGCCTGGTTTCCGGAGACCTGCGTGTACCGGATGGCGTGCGCATCTGGGATCCCCCAGCCATCAGACCTGGGGAGCGCCCTCTAGGTGTATAGTCCGAGATTGCAGAGTAAGCCGATGACGGCCGCGGCATTGAGCTTCTCCTGGTGAACCCAGTGGGCGTCAAGTGACGGTTGACGGGGGTTCCATCGGCGTTCAAGCTGGGGTTTGAGGATGATCGACGGCCATCAAGCTCTTGAGGAACACTTGAGACGCGCTGAGGATACTCTTGGTGGTGGTAGTATTGGAACATGGGAACAGAGTGGTTCCCCGACATGTTGCCGTCCACGACCGAGCTCTCGGGGGAGTCATCTTCTTTGTACTCGGTCGATTCATTGAGGCCACCGGAAATGGAGCTTGCACTCGTCGTCGCAGACGATTCTGCCGACACTTGTTGTTGGGTGGTGCTCGAGGTGGTAGTGCCCGACTCTCGACTGTGGCGGTTGCCATCTTGTACTCGTGATGGGCTGTGGGCGCTGAAGCTATCGGACCCTCTTGTCTCCTGCTTCGGTTGGGAGGCTTGCTCGTGGTCACTTTTGTTGGACGGGAGCGAATTCGCAGGACTGAGATAATCGGGCTCGGCAGTATAGGAGGTCGAAGTCTTGAGAGGAGGGAGCATTTGTCGTCCAGCGGCCTGGTCATGGGGCGAGGTGTGCTGGGAGGCCGGGGCGTTTCGTTCTCGGGAACGATCGACTGTAGCAAACTCTGCTTGATAGGGTTGCGCCAACTCAATATTGGCATTCGATGGCTGGGCCCAGTTGTCGGCCTGAAAGTTCACCCTGACTGGGGAGGCGGGAGCGCCCCGAATTCTTGCCGACACCGATTTGCGGCCCACATCATCGCCCAAAGTCAGTTGATCGGGGGATATGTGCTTCCGAAGATGGTTCGGGTTTGCAGTCAGAGACATGACGGGCGGCGTCGGAGCCGTCGCGGCTGCCATTGAAGCCGTAGAGAGATAGGGACTTGGTCGGTTGGATGCCTCCTTTTTGCAGGTACTTTTGGTCGGAGGCGTATCTGACGGGGAGGCGATTTATTTTTTGTTATTACTGAGGATCGCAGAAACGGTCTCTTATTGAGGCGCAAATCTTGCCGTCAGCATAGGTAGGGTTGAATATCTCGCGCCAGATATTTCTCTATGAGGCACGCCCGGTGACAGCGAGTGAGGCAGGGAGGGGGGAGGGGGGGGAGAGGATGATCGTTTGGCGGATGGAGTCGTGTCTAAGGTGCCATACGCAGCGGGCGAAAGACTGTGCCAGAAACCGGATGATGGGTTGCGTGGATGGAAGAACTAGAAACTAGAAGGAAGAAGTGGAAAGAAAAGATTAGTGGGAGCAGTTCCAGGACAAATGTCAAACCACCGGCGTGTATGAGTTATTGATCAAGCTGAATACTTGTAGACATGGAGTTGAGGTTTTGAAAACGGGCCCTTGGCAGCACAATGCGTGGTGCGTGGCATGCTTGACTTGTTATGTAAGTCAAAAGACGGGGGAACCTGGGAGACGAGAAGAGGGACACCAGAGCAGGAGCAAGGAACAAGCTGAGTAGAGCCAGAGAGCCCGAAGGCGGCAGCCGCAGCAGCAACAGCCGCAGCAGCAGTAGCAGCACAAGCAGCCAGGGCAGCACGCCAGAGGAGATCCCAAGCACCAGCCCACCTTGCTCACCCACCCAACCCACTTTCTCGCCCACCCACACTGCCCGGACTGATACACACAAGGCAATCTAGCTCTTTGACACAGCGCCGCAGCAGGTTAGGGCCCTGCTCGGGTCGGGCTCGCCTGGATTGGATGGCATGCTTGGATAGTGCCTTGCTAGGGGGTGCGCCTGCTGCTGTAGCGCCTAGGAACGAGAAGAACCAGAGGGACACACTTGCACCCAAGGGGGCTAGTCTGGGCTTGTCTTCGAAGGAGGGAGGGGCTGACTGACAAACCATCTAGCCCGACCACTGACAGGGCAGGAGGGTTGAAGGGAACACGAAGGGGGACAGGACTAGACAGGTATTGCGTGAAGGTGCAGAACAAGGCTCCGAAAAGAGAGAGGGAAGGGTGGTAAGTACGTACAGTATTGGCAGCTCCAGGTATCCCAGAGATGCTGCGAGTTGATCTTTAGGAATCGTGACGTCGTTTGGATGGGCAACCGTTGATGGCCAGTCCAAGTCTGCCCAAGAACAGATGGAGAAAAGACCAGTTGAGAAAGAAGGGACAAAATGAATCTAAACGAGATGGCAGCGGATGAGCAATGTCCGAGATTCAGACAATGACGGCGGACAATGGGATGGTGCAAAGGCACGAATAATGTAGTCCGGTGTTGGATCTTGTTAGACCGGCACCATCAACTTCGTGCAGCAACTCGGACGTGGAGAGAAAAGAGCTTTGAGTCAGCACAGGGCTCTTGTCCCGCATAGCCAAATTGCTGCGAGTGGGAAAAAAGGGCCCAGCGCGGCCGGGAGAAAAGGCCGAAGGGATGTTGTGCAGGGATGAGGTAGGGTAAACCGACGAAAGAGAAAAGAGTAGATTGATTAGGCACTGGAGAGAAGAAGATGTCGATCTGGGGATTGATTGAAAAAATCGAGAGACCTGCTGGAAAGAAAAGGAAAGAAGGAAGAAAGAAGGAAAAGCGAATGTAACGCAAGGCATACAACACACAGGTACAAGTGAAGCAGTCAGCAACAAGAGCGCCGAGCTGTCGGAGCCACAGCTGGAGCTGGAGTTGGAGTTGGAGCTGAGGGTTGGTTGGGCCTGCGCCGTTTTTTGGCTGAAGAAGGAACCAGAGGCTATTTCGTGGCTTCGGTCGCAATCACAACGTCCAATTCATACCCTCTCTCCATCTTTGCAGTGTGGTAAGGATTAAATGTGGCAGTACCTTCGCGGCCAAGCTTCCAAGCACCCGCCATCGTAGCGACTTGCACACACCCATGGCGTTGCAAAAGCGCGATGCCCTGCGGTGAGTTGCATCATCACGGGCAACGTAATTGGAGTGGCGTTCATTGCCCGAAGCGCTGCAGAGCGGATTCGGATGGCGTCGACCGGGCGGCGAGGGAGCGTCTCAGACGGTTTCTGAGGGGCTTTTCCTTCCTGGCTTTCTCAATGACATGAGACTCCGGCCCATTGCGGTGAGAAGAGGACCCTCCAATGTGTGCTACCCTGCCATCCACTGGACTGTGAAGGGCTATCGACTTCATGCTCGGTGGTGGGTGGCAACGGTGGGGACCTGGTTCCGTACTGAAGGTGGTTGGAGATGATCAGGCACGACGATGCGTGCCTTGTACGGTTACGGACGGTGTCATGCACCTGCGTGGAAAGGCACCCCTCGCCGTCTTCCTGCAAAGCGATTGAATGCAACCTGCCCCGTGTTGCCCGGGTCCTACGTGCAGCTACTGCAGACGCAGACGCATATGCGTGAGGACGGTGTGCACCCGCGCCAAAAGGAAGGAAACGGAAGGGATATCGAAGTACGGGGCTCAGTTTGTTTTGCAGGTGCTGCGCACGTCTCTGTATTGTACTTGCCTTGCCTGCCTACATGGGATTGATTCTCAACCGACGGCTCGGCCCAAACACCAACGTGGTTGTAGAAGGCACCTCCCTCACATTCCTTCCTGCCTTTCCTTGTGTCAAGTCACCTAACGCGATCAAACCTGCCTCAGATACCTCTGTACGCCCCGCGGGAGATGGGCACGGTGTCGTCCATCTTGCCCCTCCTCCGCCGGCCATCGTCAAACTTCCACCACCACGACACTACCGCTCTTGCTCGGTACACACAGACGGCAGACCCGAACGGAACTCCATTAACGCCAACACCAGATCGCACTCCCGACCCCAGACCGGCATGACCAGTCGCAGTGCCTCTGTCAAACCCGTGTCGCAGTGCCGCAACCCTGTCATGTCACCTTGGGTCACCGCCTCTCCGCAGGACCGGGTGTCGAGCCATTAGAGACCTTGCCCGTTCTTGGACCCCGACGGGAGAACTGGAACACAATACCTGCATGTCAAACCCGTTCGCCGACGAGGCGGGACGCCCTCGAACGACTTCAATACTGTACCAAAATCACCTCCGGAGACGGATGCCAGACATTAACGGCCAAGGTGGGTCCCCTTTCCAGTCGCAACAAGAAACCTTGTACCAACCCATTGGACTCCATCCCTTTCTGCATTCGCCAGGTCTGCTCATCGTTAACTCACCACACGCTGGCTAATGAAGCAATAATGTCGTTCGTTTCACCTTGAATCGAAGGGGGGGGTGACCGCCCCTCAGCCTTCTATTCGCCTCACTCTCCTTCTCACCTTCGCCCGGCCCTCGAATCCATACCGGCACGCCAGCCAGCCCCTTTTGGGTGATTGCTGGGATATCAGAGGTGTGAAAGCACACGCAAACACTGCGCCGCAAAAGATTCCTGCCGCCGAGACCCCTGTCCTCACCTAGAGCACTTTGCAGTGGTTGTTGTGGTCCAGGATGCGCTCCCCTTGTCCGCCGGGCAGCCCTGTGCAAAAGAGCGTGCAAAAGAAGGGACCTCAGGGTATCCTCCACTACCCAGATGCCTGCCAAAAAGAACGGATCCGACATGATCCCCGCAAGAGAAAGGCAGCGAAGTTCGAGAACCCACCGTCAGCAGCTCCGGATAGAATGCGAGGGAGAGAAGCTGCTCCTGCAAGATCTGCTTCGTAGCACGGCAGGCCCTTTGCACATCCCGCACCCACACTTCCCGTCTTCGTTTCGAAACCTTTCTGCTGCTCGACTCGTCGATCGGGCAAGCCTGAACGATGCTAATTCGAGCTCGACGATTCACCCAAGGGTTACGTTCGGCTGTGCATATTGTACGTCACTGCAATGCAAAGAGCCGAGCAACATTGCATTGTCGACAGGAGGCGCATTGCCTTCCAATTTTGAGCGTCGCCTGCGTCTCGTTTTCCACCGTTCCATGGATATTCAAGTGGATTCTGGTCAGCCCCAGCGGCCCAGCGCTCCAATGTGGGTCAGATGGCCAAATCGGCAAGTGTTGGGGTCTAAATGATGGGCGCGCCAGACGACCCTGCAGCCGCTATTGGAAACAGAAGAGCGAGCCTGGATAGGGGAAAGGGGGAATGGACGACTAGAGGGGGAAATTTCAACGAGCACGCAAGTGGCCGGGCTGCCGGGCCATCGTTCAACTCGGCGCAAAAAAAAAAAAAAAAGACTAAAGAGCTGCCAGTGAGAACTCAGAAGCGCCGTTGTTTCCGCGCCTCGTCCGAGTCTGCCGTCATCTTCATCCACGCAACCACTCCGCGTGGAAATCGAGAATGTGGTCGGAACCGTGGGCTTCCGCGAAGAAAAGCGGGCGCTGCGGGTTTTGCTCGTCATGTGAGGCATCATCCAACACGATGCTGTCGCTATCCCAAAGTCGTATGCAGGGCATGGATGACTGACTGACCGTGCCCCGCGCCCTCGTACACGCACGGGGCAGGTTACCATGGATCAACACCGCCAATCCACTATTGTGCATAGCCAAGTCGTCCGAGCCTACATAGTGCTCCAACGGCCTGGAAGCCCCTTTTCAACACTGGCTCAAGACTCACATTCAAGTATTCTCTCATGGCGGACTTGGACGCCGTGTTGCGTGTGGCCTTGTGTATGGCACTGCTTAGTGCGGTCCAACCTCGAGAGCATGCATACATGGAATCGTTACAAGTTGTAGGCCAAACCTTACTTTGCTCTGCATCCCTATACTGAGTGAGCATCGGCGGCTTGCCTCTGACCACGAGGCTCGGTCTCCCTCCGTGGTCCTCAGTCATTCGAGGGTCCAACGCCAAATGGCGATGGGCCACGGCGGACATCGTGGGTTTACAGCCACAGAGTATCGTTGCAACCACTGCAGCTTCCAGCTCCAATCATCTCTGGCTTGACTGTACCCCGCATAGCCAGACGGCTGGAGACATA